CACAGCAAGGCCCCTAGCTCTTATAAGAAACAATCAATATGAAAGGATAAAACAATTCAAAACGGAATGTTTTTTTATATAAAATAAAACCCTAAGCATGACCCGCAGTTTTACGCATGTATGTCCCTCCTGCCAAAAGAACATGTAGGTACATAAGATATGTGTCATTGAAATTGAATCTCTCCATTTCTCCGTTGTGTGAAAAAAGAGTAAACACATAATCGCATTGAAATTACACTTGAATGCTGCCTTGAGACATTACCTTGTGACGTAATGTCGAAAACTCAATTGTATTATATAATAGGCATCCTTAACACTGAAATGCATAACGGCTTCATAGTAGAAATAAGCACGATGGTAGTTCCTATCTGTGTGGCTTATTCCCTACCACCAGGAAGTAATACGCCATGCGCCACCACGACTTCCCATATAGGTTAAGCATAAAAATAAATCCAACAACCTTTCTTTTTTAATCTGTTTTTAGAACTAGGAACATTCGAATAATCCGTTGCTAAAATGCAATGCTATAAAATAAATTTACGTGAATTAAGAGTGAGTCATTAATTACGAAATACACTCATTGTTGGCATTACATACCTACTGCTCACGCTGATTCTCGCATTCGTTCCGTACGTGAATCGTAATCTCGTGCCGGCGAACAATAAATATCACCTGCGGAAAACAACTCTCAACTGGCTCCATTGTTTTTCACGTTCGTGTTGAAAATTCTACAAAACTTCGCAGTAGTATATAATAATTATAGCTAACAAACGACATCGTAAAAACGTGTTTCATAAAAACTTTTATAATTCAATTAGAGACATATAGTATGTTGGCAAATGGTAGATGAAAATTTGTAGTGTGTTCTATGTAGCAGTTCCCAGACATAGATAAGGCTTTATATGAGTCGTCTACTATCAAAGGTGGCAATCTGTGCATTTGGACAAAAAAAAATTATTGATATGTCAATACAGATTGATTTGAATATAATCGTCTCCTTCAAAGAATATGGTTCAAAACCTGCATTAAATGAAGGTTAATACTTAACCTGTTATTTATCTAAGATGTCGTTCAGAAGAGTTTTGTGACTGCCAATGGAATACAAAGTCAATAATTCGTTTTTCTGATTTACCAATAATTGTCCAAAAGTCACATTGCCGGCTTTGATACTAGTCGACTCATATGTATTACGAATATCCACCTACCTTTTATAAAGGTTCGTCTTCTGAAATAAAATCAGCTATTTGATAAGTATTGTAATTCAGCACGTTTTGCGTACTTTATTGCAAATAAGATACTCGACAACGTAAGCTAAACTCTATTTCACGATTCATTGACTAAGGGATATTTAAGTTGAATTGCTCTACTGAGGTTTGTAAGCTTTATCTTCCGTGCCCTACAGAATATAATTTAAATTCATTCACATTTAAATAAATAAAAAGGAGTATATGACAATATATATATTTTGTTGTTGTATAGCTGCATGTACGAGCTCACTGCGTACATTGTGTTAAGTGCTTACTGAATACCATAAACATCACAACGTGATTGCCACCTTGAGACAGGAAATCGAAGTCCTAATTTAATATTTTAATTTTTTTGCATGAACCCTGACTCTGACAATACTAAATAGTATAGAAATTCGTTTAGGGACTAAAAGCTTTCCATTTGCACGCTAAAATGTCGTAGGTAGGTAAAAAGGTAAGGTATTCGTCGTCTTTCCCGTTCCATTTACTTGAACTTCTCCACACGCTATATAAATAGATACGTACGTATAGAATACATTTGCACACGGTTTATTAAATTAGAAACAGTATTAGAAAGTGCTTCGTCGTTACATGATTATTATATTTTTTCCTGCCTAGTCGCTGGTAGCCTAAGGGCTCTCAACCTGAGAAAATTGCTGATACTAGCCCTAGCAAGTGCTACACTGAATCTAACACCGGATCGGAATCGGCGCCCACTGACAAGATCCGGTGAAAAACTCAGTGGGTTGTTGCTATGGGCTAGGTTACACGTCGAACGTCGTATTCGACGATTAGGACAAGAACGATGCCGATGCTTGTAGAGCCTAAAGTTGTATAATATGCACGTACATAAAGTGTAATCATCATAACAAATGGTGTCTTTAAAATTTAATTTCATTGAATTTACAGAAGACCTGTTCGCATTGCAACTATTCTATTAATTTAACCGGAATATTTTAAAATAGAATCAGCATTCTCAACTTTGTTCATAAGTGTTAGAATTGATTTTCGATAAGCTTAAACTTCTAAATAGCGTTTTTGTGCCTTTGACAATCTTCGTCTTCTTTAATCCCGGGAGTAGACAACATTTTCAAATTTATTGCAAAACAATATTGTTTCAAGAGTAATTACTTTAATGCTATTGAGAAAAGGCAGATCGGCTATCTGCTCTTTTATAGTATACTAGCTGACCCGGCAGACTTCATAGTGCCTCAATCGATAAATAAAAGACCTAAGCTTTTGTATAAAATAAACTTAAAACAAACAAAAGGAATCCGTCCGACGTGGGACACATCAAAGGAAAAACAAAATCGTTACTTTTATTTAATTCCGAGCATTTTCATATTTATCTACCTTTCAAACCTTCTCTGGACTTCCACAAATAATTTAAGACCAAAATTAGCCAAATCAGTCCAGCCATTCTCGAGTTTTAGCGAGACTGACAAACAGCAATTCACTTTTATATATATAGATAAAAAAACTTCGATATAGGGATGAATAAATTCTAATATCGTACTACATTGTAATCATATATTTAATCATTTACATAGATATTATTGAACTTTAACTTTGTAAGCTTGTTAATTTGTTGTAACTTTATTATTGTTATGATTATTAAGAAATTATGAAGATCCTAAGGTGAAGGTTCTAAGTTGGCCGACGGCATTCAAATTTTGGTTTGTATAGACTTTGGATACTACATTAAAAAACTTTAACAAAAAATAAAACTAACTTCAACAAGATAACATAAAAATATCCTCAAATTTGTCAAAGTTATTTAATAATGCATTACTAAGGAGAACAGCTCAACATAAATTGCACAAATATTGATAAAAGCTTTGAAATAAAATAAAAATCATCAAAATCATTTCACCTATAATAAAGTGACACATAAAAAATACGATGCGAATTGAGAACCAACTCATTTTTTGAAATCACATAAAAAGCTCAATCAAGAGAGAAGAGAGGTTTTTTGGCTATCTACTAATATTTCTTTTTCTTTTGGCCACATTTCTTTGCTAGTTTTAAAGCATCAAAACAACTTTTAAGGGCTTTGTCTAGAATCGAGTTCAATCCTCGCCGCGAATTCTCCTACCGGATGCACAAAATGGTAATTCGAGTTTAGGAAAAAGAAAGATGCGTCTGGAGCGATCTCTAGGGAAAAAGGTTGTTGCACGATGGTATTTGTTGAGTTTTTGATAAAAAATCGGTCGCAATGATGGCGTTGTGCGAAGGCGCATTATCGTTATGCAAAATCCAAGAGTTTTGTTTCCACAAATCTGGTTATTTTTTTGGAAAATTTGCTCTAGTAGTCTTTATTTTTCATTTGACCTCCCGGTTAGAGTTCCGGATCTATAACACGATAGTAAAGAAAACAGTGAACATGACTTTGACTGACTAGTTTGCATGTCAAAATCATAACCCACGTCTCGTTAAACAGTTACAAATTACAATGCGTTTCATGAATGTTGGGTTGGAATTGACTCGTTCTAACATGTCATCAGCTACTCATATGGGATTGAGTTTTTGGAGAAAATTTAGGTTTTTTGGGACTAGGTGGGCATCATGTTTCATTCCCAAGTGATTATTTAAAATAAAAATAAAAACTAATATTTAAAGACATGCCCGCTAAGTTTCTTGCCAGTTCTTCTCAGGACGGAGGCTAGTTTTTGTGAATTGGCAGTAGTTTTTTTTGACGTTCAACAAGTAGGTATGTACTTTCATTTATGTTGAATAAAATTTTTTTGATTGATTGATTGCGACGGATGGATTCGTGAGGCACAGAAAGTTAGGCGGCTATCTCTCTGAAACTTGAATGAGGATTTTTAGTCACTATTTCCTTCATTTTTGCCATGTTAACTTCAGTTGCAGACGTTGCTGACCTACCCGAGTGAATCAAATCTTCCATCAAATCTTGACCTTTTTTGAACGCCATGTGCAATTGGGCACTCTTAAGCACGGGTTTTTGATAAAGTCGACTCACCATGCGCCTTCGGTAACATTTTCAGTGACTTTCCGAACACGAAATTCCACTGGCGATGCAAAATTTAAGACACTCTTTGTTCGATGTTTTCGTCCATTTGTAATCGGCATTAGATATGATATGACAGTAGTGTATTAATTCTAAATAAAATAAACCACTCAAGCTCCGCGGCAAAATGGAAAGGATTTATACGAATCTAACAAACAACAAGAACTTAAATTAAATTGGAAATCGGAACCATAAACAAATCATCCATTCCCGATATTTTTTTTACTGAATGTATGTCATTAGAATAATTGGTACCTGCCCGCGGAATTCGACACAAGCACAATAGTCACTCAGTACGAGTAAAATAAATCCTTTAGAACTCGTCGTGGCTTAGAAAAATAAGACGCTCGGTGCACTCGTGTTAAGCAATACACCACAGTTCAACGGTATATGAATTTGCTAAGCTAAGCTTAAATACTTTATTGTAGTTAGTTTTTTTTTGCCTATCTATCAGCCAGTAGCTTCGAGGTAATACTGGCTTCCCTTAGTTGGTGGTTGAGCACACGAGAGTCAGCCTGACAGACTTTGCTAACATCTTTCTTATCAAGAGCAATGATTCATTGAATCTACCACCAGAGACTGTATTTAAAATTATTTATTATTTATTTCCGAATTTAAAGTTAATTATTAAGATTTCCAGCACTATCATAACTAAATCATGATGCGAGACAATAATGCCACATTTTTTATTTATTTATGAAAATAAAACACGATCATGCTTTTAAAAAAACACCTTATTTATTTTAAGATTCTAAAGATTTATAGCACCAAGTCACAAAACATTAGGCACATTTTTTATCTAAGGATGTTTGTACACAGTACTATCTTATGAATAAAAAAGATGAATATAACACAAAACGGTTACATAATAATGTAATCAATATATCAAGCTCAATTCAATAGTAACACATATTAAAATAAAATCAATGTAATTTCAAAATCAAATTGGAACAAAAAGCTTCGCCGGATTTACGAAAAAAATTATTAAATGTTGTAGACAATGTTAACCATATTTATTTACAATTATTTTGGTGTATTTCGTGTTAATTTACTAAAAACAAAATGCAAACGTCCGTGTCCTAAACGGTACGATGTTCAGTGCATTCGTATTGAGTGATGCGAACTTTTTTGCCGTTATTTTTTAATTTATTATTTATTAACTTAATTATTTTAGTGAACCATTTACACTTATACAACTAGATTTCCGTAAAATTTTAAAGTCTTTTACGAAAGTTACCACATTCTGACTCCAGGCTTCTGTTTCTCTTTGCAGGTTATTGCGAATGTTAATATTCAATGTATATTACTTGATAATTTATAGTATGTTTTAAGATATTGACAGATGATTCAATAATGGTTAGGCCAAGTCTTGCTTCTGGCCTTGATTCGCGTCAGGCGTTCGGTCATCGGTAAGCCCGACATCTGCGTGCATAGTCGGGCGCCACCTGTTGGAGCCAGTGCGGTTGTATGGCGGAGACGGTGATCATGTACGTGCGGCGGGTGTGCAGCAGCTCTGTGTAGAGCAGCGCGGGGGGGGGCGGGCTGGCGGCGTGCAGCGCGGCGGCGGGGTGCAAGCTGGCGGCGCCCCCCGCGCCCGTCACGTACCGCGCCCCGCCCCCCGCCACGCCCGCGCTCCGAGACCACGCACAGTTGCTGAATAAGCCGCTCAACAAACACTTCAGCAACTGCAATTCAAACGAGCGAAAACTTTAGACTAGCACGCGTGCTCTTGCCGTGACATAATGAAGCCTTTTTATGATTACTAGTGGTGCCGCAATAGTCGAAATTCGACTGTAATTAATTAAAATTATAAGTTTGAACATTATTGCGGTTCTATTGTCAAAGTACTTCTATAATCACTGATTTCGCCAAGACTACACTATAGACAAATAATATTACAGATAAACAATCTTAGAATAGGTATTCTCAATTTGACCATAGACTTAAGCAATAATAAAAGTTTGATAATAATTTTCGTAAAATTTCGTAAAAAGGGGTGCAAAGTTTTTACTTCACTTGTTAATATACAGATTAGAGAGATAAAAAAGGAACTCAAAACTCACTACGTGTTAAACAATTACCAAAGTCCGTAAATGAACACAATATATTTAAGCGACTTAATGAACATATTATGTGACTAATTCAATAATTAACCCATCGATTATGGGATTAAAAATGTTGATGGCCAAATTAAGACACATCAATCTAAACACTATTAAAATTCGTAGGGTGGTCATCACTTTTAGCCGGGGCTGTATTTGTTATAATGTAGTGAGAGTTACTGAATATTTTACACTGTACCTGATCAGTTGCAGACCCGCAGCTTGATAGAGTTAAATTTAATCTCTGGCATATTGCAAGTAACTGCTGTCGGACTTCGTAAGCGTACGTTAAATTTCGATGATTTAAATAGTTTTCCTTACACCATTGCTAAAAATAACAATTAAAAAATTACACACGCTCTGACAAAAAACTCTTGATAATTCGTTAAATAACTCTGATGTTACACAAAACTCGATGCGCCATTACTTTTTTGCTTATACGTTTTTTTTATTTTTATTGCTATGATGCGTGGACGAGCCCACAGCCTACCTGGTGTTAAGTGGTTACAGGAGCCCAAGGACATCTACAACGTAAATGCGCCACCCACTGAGACCACCAAATGAGATATAAGTTCTAAGATCTCAGTATAGTTACAACGGCTGCCCTACCCTTCAGACCGAAACGCATTACTGCTTCACGGCAGAAATAGGCAGGGCGGTGGTACCTACCCGCGCGGACTCACAAGAGGTCCTACCACCAGTAATAAATAATGCGTTACGTATTAGTAACACATTATCTATTAAGGTCATGCATTGCTATGAGCACGAACCACAAGGGATGTGTAATAATAGATAATCTGACTTTGTGTAATTTTAGTAATGGGCGGTAAAGTAAGGACGGGGCGTCTTAAGATACTGGGATGGACTTTGTAAAAATGGATATGATGAACTTTGCGAAAATTTATATGCGAAATAAATTGTGAATGCAAAGATGACGTATGATAGGCCTGAATGGAGAGAGAGGACATTCTTTGCCGACCCTACATAGCGGGATAAAGACAAGTTGATGTCAAGACAAGTTGATGTCAATCCTACTCATTTGTAAGTATATCTACAGGCGTTAGCGCTGGTAAATTGTAACTGATCTTTGAAATCAATATATGTACTCACCAGAGGCGGATTATCCGTAAGGCAAACTAGGAACGTGCCTAGGGGCGTGTGAGCTCAGAATTTTTAAATAAATAAAGAAAATAACATATCGATGATTAAGAACTAAATGCCTGAATTAAATTTCCTGGTCTACTAAAGTCTAGGGTTTGATGATACAACGTCATCGTAATTGCAAAAACAACTAGTTAAAATTTATAGTATTATGATGGCGATTTATGGCCGGTACAGGGGGGCCGATAAAGTGATTACCTAGGGCGCTCTGTGTGCTTAGTGCGAGTTTTGTAACGTTCTCGATAGCGGGAAAGTTAACTCAAATTTGTATAGAGTCGGAACGATTGCCTACATTTTGCCTTACTGGTGGTAGAACCTCTTGAGAATCCACGCGGGTAGGTACCACCACCCTACTTATTTCTGCCGTGAAGCAGTAATGCGTTTCGGTTTGAAGGGTGGGGCAGCCGTTGTAACTATACTTGAGACCTTCGAACTTATATCTCAAGGTGGGTGGCGCATTTACGTTGTAGATGTCTATGGGCTCCAGTAACCACTTAACACCAGGTGGGCTGTGAGCTCGTCCACCCATCTAAGCAATAAAAAAAAAAAAAACATTTTCCGCTAGGGGCGCTGTTCCAACTGCATACAGATTTGAGTTAATTTTACGCTATAGAGAAAGTTAAAAACCCCGCACTAAGCACACTTGACCTTTAATCCGCCACTGTTACTCACCTTTTTTAAAGTAGCTTTGCAAAATGCTTTAAAAACATTTAACAAGGTGATGTGGTCTCCTGTTGGCGATATAAATTTTCGCTTTACTTTCAATGCTTCTTCGCGTTTGTGCATCGGCGTGTAGAATATATTTTCACTAGACAAAACTGCTACTAAACTTAAAGCCTACAAAAAAAAATTCATAATTATAATATAAATGTTTACAAGTCTAAATTCATTATTAAGCTTCTGTACTTTACCTCTTCTAAGCATCCATATTCGGGGGCACTCAGTAGTACTTTCGAATATTTGGGATCTATCGGGAATGAAGACATTTTGCGACCTAATACGGTTAATTTTGGATTTTCTACGCTGTCAATTGCACCTAAAAAAAGAAAAATTTATAAATGGATAAAATGATAAATATTTGCCATTTATTATTAAAATCAATATTATTTTGTAGATTGAATTAACTAAGTTTCCTATTATTACCATATAATTGCTCGGTTATGCTCCTGGGTACTGGGTAATGAGAAACAGTTTTATTTATTTATTGCTCTAATTGACTAAAGAGCTCACCTGGTCTTACTGGAGCAGATAGAAATAACGACTAGAAATGAAAAATAGTTTATTTATTTATTGCACTAGTTGACTAAAGAGCTCACCCGGTCTTACTAAAACACATATAAATAACGACGTGACCTAATAACCTAATCCTAATAACCTTAAAATTTTTGTTAAAAAGTGACTTTAGTCATTAGCTTAAGCAATTAAAATTTTCATCGTACCCAATTCCTTAAGTAACGTCAATGAAGCAGTGACGGAGTCTCGCGGTGGAGAGTCTATCAGCGGGAATGTGCTCGGTTCAACGCCGGCCGCTATTAGCAACAGTATTGTGGGAGCCAGTGGACATCTGAAATAAATTGTTAAATGTATTTATGTGCTTATTCATTAACATTTTTATTATTATATACCTCAACCAAGTTTTGAATTTATTGATATTAAATTTCTTAATTTTTATCAACTTCAACGATCAATTGAAAATTTGCACAAATATCAAACATCAATGACAATGCAAGAATTTTATTATTTTAGGTCAGTATCCTAATCGCCAATGATCTATCAGAGAACCAGCGAAGTAGTCATGCGTTTCATTTGGTAGGTTCGGTGGATGGGTTCCAATATACAACAAAATTGAAAATTCCACGTTGTGATGTACATAACCTTCGATAACTATGTAGATACTAGGTGATCTGCAAATTTATGCAGCCATACATAAAATAAATATGTCAATAAAAACGTTTACGACAGTATACTGAACCTTACGGCCGACGTTACAGAGCCCTCGATTCGCCTCGCAGGCTCCGTCGGCCGGGCGTGCTTGGGGTGAGCTGCGCCGTCTGGTTGTTATATTGACCGCGGTAACCCCCTTACCCCATCTGGGTTCTGACCTCGGAGGGGATCGGACGCTTGGGCGAAGAGTGCAGGGGAATCGTTTAGTGGGTAGGACCCTGAAAACATCCTTGAGCCCGCGGTCTCGCAGTCGCGGACCAGTCCCACTTACCCCGTACCATAGTCCCATATACCTCGTAGGAGGATCGGCACCCGGCGGCCTGAGCAAAAAAAACGCAAAAAAAAGAATATTGTACCTAAGTATTTCAGGCGTAGGATGTAAGGGTCTTGTGTTAAACTGCTGCGCGGTATAGAGCCTATAGGCGGCGCCGGGCGCGGTGCGTCCTGCACGGCCGGCGCGCTGCCAGCCCGCCGCCTGCGACCCGCTGCGCACCACCAGCCGCTCCGCCCCTGTGGCACTACACCACGACCTGGACGCACCCACATACGATCAATTTAATAATCCTGTTCGAAATTCGAACACATTGCATGAACGTGTCGTCCACTTGGTCCTAACCGATTACTGGAGCCCATACTTAACATAACACTGAATACTATCGTACAATTTTAGACATCAGAGTAAAGTCTCAATTGTATTAAAATTACGATTATCTCGGTTTTTAACTACAACTCGTGACGTATTTGCCGCAGATAGCTATAGGTAGAGCAGTACGACACTAATCCGTTGCTGTTTCATAGGTCACTAGCTATAACCGTCGAAGTCGTCGTGGCCTAAAGGATAAGACGTCCGGTGCATTCGTGTTGAACAATGTACCGGTGTTCGAATCCCAGGCGGTTTCCAATTTTTCTAATGAAATACGTACTCAAGAAATGTTCACGATTGACTTCCGCAGTGTGAAGAAATAGCATCGTGTAATAAAAATCAAACCCGCAAAATTATAATTTGCGTAATTACTGGTGGTTAGCACCTCTTGTGAATCCGCACGGGTAGGTACCACCACCCTGCCTATTTCTGCCGTGAAGCAGTAATGCGTTTCGGTTTGAAGGGTGGGGCAGCCGCTGTAACTATACTTGAGACCTTAGAACTTATATCTCAAGGTGCATGGCGCATTTACGTTGTAGATGTTTATGGGATCTGGTAACCAAAAAAAATTTTTTTTTTTTTTAAACTAAAATTTGTTTATTTCTCCCTACACACATACACATATTATTGATTACTACCTTTCTTTTACAACTCCAGTATCAATGACACACTTTATCCTGGGAATCGTGACCGATGCCTCTGCTATATTAGTCGCGAGGACTATTTTCCTGGTACCCGGCGGTGTCTCTTTCCACACCTGCATTTGCTGTGCAGGCGGAAGGCCGGCGTATAATGGACAAACCCGTATAGGTGGACCTGTTGTTTCCTGTAAATTTATATTTATCGTAAGACAAACAAAAAGTACATTAAACTGTAATATAAATCCAAAGCAATGTCAATTTATTTCATATCATAGCTATACATACTTTTCAGATACATACTTTCGCGATTTGTTTTATGTTATACATTACAGCTTCAATCTCTTCTTGCCCAGTTAGAAATACAAGAAAGTCATCACTAAAACAATAAACTTAAAGTTAATAAAACTTCGTGTTGCATTTATGTATATTGTATATCAAAACAGAGATACGATTGTACAGATAAGTACAAGATCTTGCCCACTTTTGTCACAAATCAGTAATACGTTCCGGTTTGAAGGGTGGGTGGGGTGACAATTATCTGGACCAACTCCTTATCTCAAGGTGGTTGATAACTTTTATACTGTATGTGTATCTGGTAACAACTGAATGTCAAATGGATATCATGTAAACTAACAAAGAAATTGTAGAATATATGTTTTTTTGCAGTTATACTTCTTTAGGCGCGTTATGAAAAATTTATGAGAGTAAAATTTTACGATGCGCGCGCACCGTGACACAAAATTAACAGAAATGAAGTTGCCCACTAAATCGCTCATTACAATACGACCGACGTACCTTGGCGAGTCTGAATATAGCCGCAGGTGAACTTTCGCGCATGTACACTCGTAAAAAAATGTATTATTAGCATTCATTTTTTAACGTTAAATATTTATTATTAATTACTTAATATTTAAAAAAAAAAAAGAAATAAATTTAATAAAAATAAAGTATAACTTCTTACGCGCGTACATAAGTACACGCACCCTTTTTTATATGGAGAAGGTATATTGAATTCTTTGTGATAATTAGATTACTGAAGCAAAAGTAACTTGAATCTTAAGTTAACATTAAATCTCTTACTCAGCAGGGGTAGTAGTGTGCAGCTGAAATATTGTGCACACAGCTGCATACTGGTAATCCTCTTGCTTGGTTTTAGAATGATATATTGTCACAGGATGTGTACGACCTTCCAAATATATTACTGGACAGCTGTCAAAATAATTTCTAAATGTATCAACATCCATTGTCGCTGACATTACAATGACCTGGAAATAAAATGCCTTTGAAAATATGAATATTTTTTCTTAATATTAGAAAATTCATTGTTTCAATATACTTAAGATCAAAATTAATTTGAAATGTATCTTTTTGGTTTCAGGATTATAGATAGTGTAGTATCATTCAATGTCTATATTATCTACATACAAATAAACTAAGTTTAGTGCCATTTTGTACTCTATTCATCAACCATTCTTTTCTTTTATGTTATGGATGTAAGATTTGGAAACTTAACATGAACAATAACAATAATATACAAATATTTTGTTTGTCATTGTAAAGTTCTGTTTACCTTTAAAGGATTAATAGTTTTTTCATTTCTCTCCTTTTGTGCTAATTTCACAATTCCAAACAATATATCAGTGCTCACAGTGCGTTCATGTGCTTCATCCAGAATAATAACTGAATATTTACTGAGCAAAGGATCTAAGATAGCTTCTCTAAGCAACATACCATCAGTTAAATATTTCACTTTAGTTCTAGGGCTTGTCACATCTTCAAATCTAACTGAGTACCTGAAATTATAATTTTAATTAATCAATGCACCAAATAAAAGTGATTCTTTGAGACAAATTGTTAAACATCACATTACCCAACAATGTTACCAACTTCAGTATTCATTTCAGCAGCAACTCGCAATGCAATTGTAATAGCAGCTACTCTACGAGGCTGAGTAACTACTATCAAGCCAGTGCCTTCTAATCTCTGTTCATGAATCATTTGAGGAATCTGAGTGGTCTTACCACTTCCTGTCTCACCTATTATTATCATTGTGTTGTTTTTTCTTATTTCTTCTAATAACCTGAAAGCCAACATAGTAAGTAGGTTAATTAAAATTATTTATTTCTGAATTATCAGTCCTGAGTTATATAAATTACTGGTCTTACTGATGTCTCATTGGAGCTTTATAAAAAGATTATCAAAAAGTTTAATCCATATGATCTTACTCATTCTTAGGGTTTCCGTCTCCTAACTAAATAGTAGTATCTTTGTAGGATAACTTTTATCTATTATCTTTGTCTGGCGAAACTTAAGACAATCACTAAAATACTTGATATTTACTCTGAGAAAGTGGATCAAATCCAGCATGTACTTCCCTAGATTGAAATTTGGAAAGAAATAAATTAGTTTTGGCGTACATGTGAAAAGTAATAAATTGATAATTATATCATTTAGCTAATTTTGTGTTTTAAGACAAACTGGCAATAGTAATTGTTTATTAATGTATATTAATTGTAAAAGAAAATAAATTTATCCAAAATTTGGGAAAGTCCTAGCTTCCAAAAGTTCAGTCATTTCAGAAAATTCTAATAATTAGTAATTAGGCAAAGTACGGCCTGCAGGCCAACTGCGGCCCGTATTTAATGCGGCCTGCCGAGATTCCATCCATCCTAAATATTCTAGTCAGCATTTTGGCGCATAACATCTGACGTTTATAATTGAAAATCTTCGAATTTTTAATGAAAGCTCCAATAAGTCAGGGGGGTTTTGAGCTTTCACTATCTCATAATTAACTTGCCATCATTAAAATTATCTCGGCAGTCTGTCACAGGTATTAGTTTATTTATTGGAAAAAACCATTCTTTTCACCTATCTATCACACGCCTCACGTTTCACACACCTAACAAGGTGTAAAAATAAAATGTATTTTGTTTATTAAAAAGCTTTAATACAAAAGATTTTTTTCTATAATTCTGGCCCTACTCTAGAATTTCTTAAGCTTTGTGGCCCGCCATTAAAAATGATTGCCCACCACTGTTGTATACTCATATGTATGACAATCCTGGACTTGAACCTGGTAACCTCAGGTGGAGTTTTACTTGCACTTGTCAAGTTTTTATTTCGCTCAACACTTTCTGACTGTTATCTATAATACTTATAATGCTCCCAATAACTACACAAAACCAAAAGTATCACTGTCCAAAAAGTTTCATTTAGTGTTACTGAAGAAATAGACATTTTTCATGGCTTTCTAAAACAGCTAATCTGAAAAGCTAGTGTTAACTTTAATCACCCTCACTTTTGATGCCATCTCTCAGATACTCAAGTATCAGACTGGCTCCATTATTCCTTACTGCACACCTTTGTTTCACTTGTTCTCTGTTTCATTAGCATTAGAATGTCGATGACCGTATCTTTTTTATCCCATACTTTCAATTTTAATCCCAGCACAACCTTAGTTTCTTATTTAAATGTAATTAAAAAACTATTTCATGAAAGAACTTATGTCTGAGACTCACCTGCCTCTAACCATAAATACAGGCAGTTTCCTTCTAGCTTCTTGCAAATCATCTGAATTTTTTTTAACAACATGCGTTTCTATGTTTTTAGAAACTTCATGGCCATTTTGTAAACAATTACTAATACTATCACTTAATAATTTGACCTTTTTCACACAAATACTAGCTGTCGGTTTCTTCCTCTTAAAACCATTTTTAGTTTCATTGGTCAAACCTATTGAGCAGTACTTTGAATCCATTTTATTGTTCTTAAATAAACTAATGCTAAATTACTATGGCAAAGTGTATGTCATGAATCCCTAGACATTATTATAACTTAAATATTTTTTTCCGGAACAGACCAAAATTGCCATCGTTTTGGTATGTTCAACTCGCACACGTTTTAAATTAAACTGTGTAAATTGCTGTAATTAACTCATGAATCATACACGTATTTTTAAGTGTTTGATTTCCACTTTATTATTATTTACATACTAATTGTTGGGTATTTTCAAACCATATTATTGTGTAATTCAATACATATTTCGTTCTTAATTTACTCAAAAGTAGTCAAAACTATTTTCTTCAGTTACTGAAACGAAAGTGTCAAATGATGTCAATTAAACTTCAAATCAAACACATGGCTAGCATAGAGTACCGTATGGACAGAGGAGGGACGGGGAACAACTTTTTTAAAGGGATTTTATGACCTGGTACCTAAGACTTTTAAGTCATGTCTTATTTTAATGTTATATTCTTATTTTCAAGAAAAATAATATGGACTGAAATGAAATTAAGACTATTAATTTGAGACATTAATCAACTGGGATGAAATTCAATGAAATGAGATGAAATGGGATGAAATGTAATCTCAGTAAAATGGTGGTCATTTACTGAGATTTTTTCAGTGGACTCTTTGGAGGATCCCAAAAAGTTACATCCAGCGGTTTTGTTTCATTTTCCCACATTTGTGCACTTTCACTGGTACTCCTCCACCGTGCGTCGTATTCCTCAGTGCTGAGGGTCGTGACCTTTAAGGAGCACTTTTGTTAGAACTACGTTCCTCCATTCACTCCTGTTCTCCGCGCAGTGGATAGCGACATTGATGCTGGATTCCAAAGTCGTCTTAATCTGATCGGACTAGCGCATGGAACTACGCCCCGTAGGCCTCTTTCCTTTCACTTTGCCGGTGACGAGAAGTCGTTCGAGATTGTCACCCTTTTTCCTCGCAACGTGGCCGAAAAACTAAACAGGTACTAAACAGTTAATAAACCACCGTTATTACACATTTAAACCTGAAGGAACACTAAATAGACAAATTAAAACAAATCACACAACTTCACTCCTCGCGTTCCCGCCAAAAAGTCCATCGGAGAACAACCATCAGAAATTCAGCATAGATAAAAGAATATGTATTATGGCGTTGCTATTATGGAGGGTAGAACTAAGGAGTAGGTACCATCTAGTGTACTAAAAAGTGTCCGCTGAAAGGGAGCCAATTAAAGTGGTGCTATAGTAGCAAGTGAAAAGATTTTAAAAGCGCCATAAACTACTACACTTCTGGTATATTCCGATTTGCATTGCGGGCTATCCTGCTAGATGGAGCGACGACCTGCGCAAGGCAGCTGGCAATGACTGGATGCGTAGAACCCTAAGATCGGGTTCAGTGGCGAGCTTTGGGGGAGGCCTATGTCCAGCAGTGGACTGCCGCAGACTGATAACGATGGTGAAACTTTCCTTTATGGTCCGTCGATTTTTGGGACGGGGGGGAGGGGAGTAAGTGCTAGCTCCCTGTACCATCCCCACTCTGCGGAACTCCATGGTTATGAAGATATCCACGGTCAAGGTTTTGAGGTTAGAATAGCACTATTTAGTCAACATAGGATTAAAATTTCAATTGTGGTCCATTATTTTTGAGTCGAGGAGGGAGGGGTGTAAGGGCTTACCACTGCACCATCACCAAGCCATAGTTATGAAGATATTCATGGTTAATTTTTTAGATTGAAATTGCATTATTTAGTCAAACTCGAAGAGAGCTTATGTTTGAATCCGCCTTATCTCCGGCGCTGCGGGAAGAGCAGCCCTTTCACCCTTGCGTGCTGAAGCACGGTCACTCGTGCTCCGCTCCGCAGCTTCGGCTTGATGGTTGCCTACGGCGACCAACCTCTGCCGCTCCGCCTCATACGCCTCGCACATGCTCCGTCACAGCGGTCGAGGACTGCTTTGCCTCCACGCCTCCGGTTTTTTATATACACTCTAGGGGTAGGGCAAACAAGACCAGGTGGAAAGTGGGGTGCTCTGATTCGGTTTTCGAATCGGATTTCGGTTTTTCGGATATTTATACAATTCTACTAGCTGAGCCGGCAGACTTCGTAGTGCCTCAATCGATAAATAAAAGACCTAAACTTTTGTATATAAAATAAACTTCAAACAAATAAAAGGAATCCGTCCGACACATCAAAGGAAAAACAAAATTATTATTTTTATTTAATTGTTAGCATTTTCATATTCATCTACCCTTTAAACCTTCCCTGGACTTTCACGAATAATTCAAGACCAAAATTAGCCAAATCGGTCCAGCCGTTCTCGAGTTTTAGCGAGACTAACGAACAGCAATTCATTTTTATATACATAGATTACCAAAACACGAGCAATTTTACTATTATAAAATTAATCATAATTAAAAAGATATTTTATTACAGAGAGATAAAAAGACGCTTTATAAAAATGCGCCTTTTCACATTCCGTTCCACAGTGTAAACAAAATTTTATTACTTTTTGTGTAAAAAAGTCCATATAATTACTTATTACAGCAACAATTACTGTGCACATTAATAACAACAAATTTACTATGTGAATATATTAAAATAATAAAATATATTTCGGTAAAAACATGACATAAAATTTAATAAAATATACGCTTACCGTGAATGGAACGTGAAACGTCAACTGTGACGTCTACCTTGACGATTTTTCTAATATTTAGGAAAACTTTAAAAAATTATATCTCGTAAACTGTGAGTTTCCGCAACTTAATATTTTGCAAAAAGCTTTCTATTTATGAGTACTATCTACAAAAAAATTGTTAACTTCCAAATCGACGGAACATAAAGGAAAGTTTAGCCAAAAATACACTCTTTACTAGAGCATATACTATTGTAAACATACATTAGATAAGTACTACATCAAAATATAGAAAAAAATGATTGTTTCAAGTTTATTTCGTGCAAGTCGTCAATCTACAGCAATTTCAACATTTGCTCGCTATAATCATGAACAGAAAAACCCCATGATAAAAACTTGGAATATAATGACGAAATCTAATACAAGATTTTCGTACCCAGAAAATACTGATATTGTTATAATAGGTGGTGGTATAATAGGAGCAGCAACAGCTTATTGGTTAAAGCGCAGAGCTGGTGATGGTCTCTCAGTAGTGGTCATAGAAAAAGATTTTTCCGTAAGCTACTTCTGTTGTTTTTATATTTAACTTTATGAATAGTATAGTGTATTTAAGCTTTTAACTCACCAGATGTTGATCGCTCATGGACATTAGCAATACCAAGGGTATAGCCACCCTGCTCTGTTAGCTATACCTTAAAGACTCATAGCTTGTTTGAATAATAAATACTATGTAATAAAGTTCAAGTTCACTAAAGAGCTTTAATGTCTAATAAATAATAAATAAAAATTCCCATATATACAACCCATTGGGTTTCCCGGATCTTCCCAGTGAGCCACAATCTAGTAGTAGATTCATTGAAGCACTGCTGTTGTCAGGGTAGATGTTACCTAATTCTATCAAGTTGAGCCCCATGAGCTCGCTACCAGCCAGGCTGATACCAAAATAGCCCCTTGAGACTACTGGCAAATAGGTAGGCAATATAAAAATAAACATAATGATGTACAATTGAAACCAATACTTGGATATAGGGATGTCATTTATAAGTGTTATAAATTATTGTAAATATGAAAGTTCATCAGTCGTGTCTGGTCATGTCAGTCATTACTGGTGGTAGAACTTTGTGAGCCCACATCGGTAGGTACCACCACTCTGCCTATTTCTGCTGTGAAGCAGATTGAACTATAAAACTGAGACTTAGAACTCATGCCTTATGGTGGGTAACTGTATTTAAGTTGTTGACGTCTATAGGCTCCAGTAACCACAGTAATACCAAGTGGACTATACTCGCCCACCATCAAAGTAATAAAAAAATGTCCAATTATGCAAAACAGTAATTTTATAAAAGGTTTCAAGTCTTGTAACAGAAAAAACCTTCAAAATTGTACTTAAATTGTCTTAATAACTTACCATAATTAGAAACTTTTTGTTTTTACTACAGTATAAACAAGCTCAAAGGCACCTTCAGCATGGAACACTTTCACAACATTTCACACTACCAGAAAATTTGTTCCTATCGCAATTCAGTGCATTCTTCCTTAGAAACATTAGAGAACATCTTGGTGAAGATATAAATGTTGAATATTGTCCAACTGGGTCATTAGTACTGGCGAGTAACGACTATGCACAAAAATTAGAAGAAACTTCTTCATTATTGAAGGAACATGGGTCACCAAATGAACTTTTGTCTCCTAAGGAAATAAATAAAAAGTTTCCATGGATAAATACTGCAGATATCAAGTTAGGTAGTCTGAATAGTAACCTAATAAAAAATTGTGATATATTAGGTTTATTATTTTATTGTATTACATTTTTTTATATAATTTTAGGATGCATGGGTGTAGAATCTGAGGGAACATTTAATGGATGGGAACTACATAAAGGCTTTGTAAAAAAGTCAAAAGAACTTGGAGCATTATATATTAATGCTGAAGTAGTTGGTTTTGATTTGGAGCAACAGCGAGATGTTCTAATGGAAGGTGTCACCCCAGGTGCATTTGAAAGGATAATGCGAGTTAGATACATGACAGAAGAAAATGAAGAATATGGAATAAAATTTGCTGGATGCATATTAACAGCTGGTTCTGATTCTAGTGAAATAGCTAAATTTGCAAAAGTAGGTACTGGTGATGGAATGCTCATGGTACCATTACCTGTTGAGAAAAGGTAAATTGGCAATACTGTACAGTAAGTGTTGCGAGGCATTTTAGGGGTTCCTTCATCTACTATGTTTGTCCTGCGGTTAATCAATCAAGTGTTCCAATTTGAAGGGTAACATAGATGTTATACTTAAAACCCCACTGCGTTTCTCGTTGGATATTAGTGGGTCGCGATTTCGATCTGGTGTAGGTTCTGCGAAACACTGTCCTTGCTAGAGCTAGTGTTAGCAAATTCTCTCAGTTTGACTCCGTAAGCTCACCCATCCACTCGTAGCTGCAATAGCCCCTTAGGCTACCAGCGAATAAACAAGGAAAAAATAATCCTAAGCAAATGAGATTTCAATCTCACGTTGGTCAATAGTACTTACATTGTGGTTTCATTGTTTGTGTAATGTGGGCATGTAGTCTTTCGTTTACCTTTTGCCCACCTGATTCAATAAAAAATACAGTGTTATAATATTCATGGAATTAATTAATTGTTTTGTCTTTGAGAATATACATACTTATTATTTTGATTATAAGTTATATAAATATGTGTAGTAGTACTTGTCTATTATAAAAATACTATCAATAATTATTATTTGTCTGTTTTAGAAAACATGAAGTTTATTCTCTTGAAGGAAATAATACAGAAATTGGTCTTAATACTCCCATGATAATGGATACAACTGGGTTATGGTTACAAAGAAAAGGTTTAGGAAAGGACTTCTTAGGTGGATATTTACCTTCACTAGATCAAAATGATAATCTTGTTGATACAGAACAGTATTTGAAAACAACTTTTCTATCATCATTAATGCATAGAATCCCTAGCTGTAATAATGCTCAGGTAAATAACAATTTGAATATTTTCCTATTGGCTATAAAGTAATCAGTATGAACTGTGTCACAAGAACAGTTTCAACTTACCTGTAGTGATATGTAAGCAGCAAAGGTACTTACGTACTCTTGATCATTATAGATATAAAAAATACATTTGAGACTTAAAAAATAATACGACTATGGGTTTTTAAAATATTTCAAACAGCATTTCCAAATATCAGAAAAACTTGAAAATTAATAAATTGACAAGAAGAATGGGAACATACCTACTTAAAGTTTTTTAAGACTTTGAAGAATTTGAAGTCGTCGTGGCCTAAAGGATAAGATGTCCAGTGCATTAGTATCTAGCGATGCAATGGTGTTCGAATCCCGCTGGCGGGTACCAATTTTTCTCATGAAATACGTACTTAGCAAATGTGCACGATTCACTTCCATGGTAAAGGAATAACATCGTTTAATAAAAATCAAACAAGCAAAATTATAATTTGCTGGTGGTAGGACCTCTTGTGAGTCCGCGCGGGTAGGTGCCACTACCCTGCTTATTTCAGCCGTGAAGCAGGAATGCATTCGTTATGATAATCGCCTTATCGTTGCCGCCGCTCGGAATCCTGATCACGCAGGAGCCAGTCACTGTCGACGCCCTAGACACGTCCTTACGGATCAATCAGATCCAATAACCCTTACATTAGACACCTTCAGCTCTAACGTTAGGAGCAGACTTACGGAGCCCGGTAACCCTAACCACCGAAGTTCGACGTGCAACCTAACCCATGTATCTGGCCACTGAGTTTCTCGTCGGATCTTCTCAGCGAGTCGCGATTCCGATTCGGTAGTAGATTCATTCGCGAAGCAAATGCTCTTGAGTTGTTAGGTATCCTTTAGAGGCAAGTCCCACCCCTCCTGGCTGAGCCTTTGCTCGCCCACCTGAACTGGTGGAACTGGAAAGGCCTCTGGGCCACCAGTAATCCCTCATTCATAAAAATAAATAAAAATGTAATGCGTTTCGGTTTGAAGGGTGGGGCAGCCGTTTGTAACTATACTAAGACCTTAAAACTCAAGGTGGGTGACGGCATTTACTTTATATATGTCTATGGGCTCCGGTAACTACTTAAAACCAGGTGGGCTGTGCGCTCGTCCACACATCTATGCAATAAAAAAATTAAAAGAAAAATTATAGTGTACCCGTAAGTCATGAATATCTCGGGGTTCGTATCATGAAATTACATAGCTAACGTGTATACTGTCTACGGCAATCAAAGAATGAAATTGTGTAATACAATAATTGAACCTGCAATATTTATTTGTCTCATTAACAGCTGCAGCATTAATGTCAGGATGACTAAGGACTTCAGTAAATAATTAAAACTAAGGGCACCATGAGCTCTTAGTTTTCTAGGCTTCTATCCTTCCTATCTGTTCTATACGCCATTAAAAAAAACGTTACATACTGTAATTGCTCCTTTATCTAACATAATAAAATATGACATTATATCAATGGTTTCTAGGTACAAAGCCATAGCAGTTTGTATTATGATTGCACCACATACGACAATTCAGGAATATTGGGACCACATCCTTATCATAATAATTTGTATATTGCTGCAGGATTTGGTCAGCTAGGTAAATACACATTTCATATTTATAAATTGTGTAGACCTGTGTTGATCGATTGTTGAAATATAAAAGGTTTGATTTGTAAGTCGATAGTCGTTCTCATTCGCATATTTACCTACTGTAGATAATTTCTAAAGACTATGTGGAGTCGAATGTCATGATCTAAGTCTGGGTCGTACTTATGTTATATTGTTCTGATCTATTAGTCGATCGTCACCCGTTAGTTGCTGCGTTACTTTCAGGTGCCAAGACCCAACGGCGAACTACGACATGACAGATATAGAAATAGAAAAATATAAAAACATAGATATAAAAAGAGAAGTGCGATTCTGACATACCATTTACGTGTTGCTTGAGCCACGATCAATCAATGATGATTGATACAGGTCTACACAAACTCTAACAAGTTTCATCAACCACAAAATTAATTTAGGTTTGTTAGAAACCCTAACCATTTTAAATGTACTAAACCTATACCAACCTAATAACCTTTTTGTATTATTTAAAAAAATATTTTCGTATTTAAAAGTTTACTCCTAACTAGGGGCAGTAAACATAGTTACAGTCTGCTTAGTGCGAGTTTCTTAACGTTCTCGATAGTGTAAAAGTTAACCGAATTTTGTATGCAGTTGGTACAGCGCCCCTAGCGGCAAACGTACGCAAACGATCCCATTCCATACAAATATGAGATAACTTTTACGCTATCGAGAACGTTAAAAAACTCGCACTAAGCACAGTTTCCATTGACACTCATTCTTAATTTATAGTATAAATAGGACAGCATTAATTTAACATAACGGATCACACATCCTGCCTATTTTTGTCGCGAAGCAGTACTGTATTACGGCTTGAAGAGTGGCATATAATACAATTAAGACTGCGACCTCGTATCTCAAAGTTTGGTAGAGACACTTTTTATTCTGTCGTCTATAGGATATGTAACCACTTAACACCATGGGCCATGAACCATGTAGTTATCTGCCTATCTATTAATAAAAAAACTATATTATTTAAAACAATCTTACCTTCGCGATTAATTTACAGTATTTTCCGTATCGTAAACGGTAGGCAGTGGCTTGGCCCTCCCCAGGCATTGCTGACGTCCATGAGTGACGGTAACCACTCACCATCAAATGAACCGTTTGCTCGTCTGCCTACAAGGGCAATAAAAAATATGGCGGGAATCAATTTTACTTAGTATCCGTTGTTACTTGTTACAATTCTACGGGAGGCCATATTCATCTGGATAAGCTCATTCACTCATCACTTAGAAATGTGTTTTCATTTGATATTGATTTGTAGACAGTAATATCATACACATTCTAACTTTTTTTATTTTTAATGAAAACAATGTTTTTCTCAGGTTGTCAACATGCTCCAGGTTTGGGAAGAGCTCTAACGGAACTAATCATAGACAGTCAGTTCAATACTATCGACTTGACAAGGCTTGGATTTGACAGATTATTAACTGATCAACCTATGATAGAATGCAATGCTTATTGAACTCAAATAAATAATTAATGATAATATTTATTTATTATAACTTAAAACTACAAAAATTCGATATTTAATTTAAAACCTCATTTGAATTGTGTCTGAGGTGCAGCAAATAGAGCACCACCTTGTTTTGAAGCAGCTCGAGAAGGTGCAAAACCAAGCAACTTTTGTATGTTTTGTCTGAAACAAGAATAATTATTATACAATTATTAAACTACTCACATCAAAATAGGACCCACTATTTTTTTGTCCCATAATTTAAATGCATTTAGAACTTTAATATGTTTTACGATTCGTCAACCTTAAATTAGGGTTTTACATATTATGTAAACGCAAAATAAAATTTTAGTTGTTTAATTTGATCATATTAAACACAAATACCCTTTCGAGAAATGAGTACTAGGTAACAGTCAATAAAAAAAATTATCCACTTGTTTTTTTGCCGGGAATTATCCTTTAGCATCGAGTAGGACCTCCTTTGCCTCGTATGCACTATCTGAGCCTATCGAAAAACTCTCGATCAGATGAGTGATGTTTTGGTCGGGTATTTGTTGCCAACAGAGTTTAAGGGCGTTTATGAGGTCGTGCTGACTATTGACTTGGCTATGTTTCTTCGAGACTTCGTTTCAATTGATCCCATAGATGCACAATCGGGTTGAGATCGGGACTCATCGCTGGCCAAGGTAAAACTGAAATATTGGCATCAGAGAATGCCCTCTGAGTGACACGAGCTGTATGCGCACAAGCGTTGTCTTACACAAATATCACCCACCCTTTATGAATATGGCATGACGTGAGATCGGATTGCGTGCTCGACGTAACTGGCTTAAGTGATAGTCCCTTCGTTAAACATCACCAGCTCTGTTTTATCTAACAAGCTTATGGCCCGTCCCATATCATTACACTTGGGCCCCAAAACAGTCAGTTCCGTGCATGCATGGTTCAGTAAAACATTATCCTTCTCTTTTCTTGAAAAAAATTTGATCTTGCACTCGTCTGTAAAGAGTACTGTTCTTCAATTGTCCATAACCCAGCCCAAATCCTCACGTGCAAACCTCAAACGTGCTTCCCGGTGAGCCCTTGTCAATTTTAAACGGATAACGCATCCTGGTTCGTTCCCCGTCCGTCGTGGAGTCGATTCCGAATGGTGCAATCAGTAAGGGATGTGCCAGTGGACTGCCTCAGCCGGGATTGTAAGGTCCGGGTGGTTATTGAGCGGTCCCGGCGCGTTGTCAATCGGATGTAGCAGTATTCTAGTGCGGTTGTGGCTCGAACTCTTCCTGATCCAGGTCTTCTAGCTACACTGCCTGCCTTTTGGAATCGTTCCCATACGTTTCGAACAGCGCGCCGTGACACGCCAAGGCGAATAGCAACCGGTCTTTGCGATTCTCCCTTTTGAAGCAAAACAACCGCCTTTGTCGCAGTTTCCACATCCATTTAACGGCGAGAGCGTAACATTGTAATCGGGAATAATGTCGAAACAAGATAACACAGACAAAGTGTGTTCAAAGTATTGTGCAAGATAAAGCAAGACTGAGAACACAAACGACTAAGAATACGAAAAATGGGTAATCTCAAGCACTTCGCTTTTTTTGTGTACCCACTTCATAACTTTCAAAACATCATTATGGACTCGTAAACTTGTGTGCTAGAAGCGCTGGTGCTTCATTTCGTCAATGATTACTATACGATTTATTTATAAGCACAATTAGAGACAAAGTTGTGATGGGCCCTATTTTGTTTTGAGTAGTTATAGCAATATTTTCTTTTATTTTATAAAAATCTGGTCCTGACAGTAAGAAACACAACAAAAAAAGAACGTAACAAACAAACAAATATAATCTTTCCTCTACTTATATTAATGGTTCACTATTTTGGCGATAATGGCTTACAAATAAAGGACAGTTATACCTACATATTGATAAGCTGTCATGATTTTGTTTTGTAGGACTATTTGAGATAAACATTTCCATTGTATATGTGTAACTCCAACAGTTTTTGCGAGGCACGCAAAAATAACTTGCAGGTGGCAATTTTTGAAGTGAAAACTTCTTTAGAATCGTTGTGATTTCAAACCGGATGCAACGGAAAAAACGACAGGTAAAAGACACAAATACAAAAGAATGAGACAGAAATGTACATACTATTTAATACAGCGCCATCTGTGAGATTTTTTTAATACTAACGTGTGTATGAAAGCTCTTGTAGTGAATTTTAATTTAGGATTATACGTGAAATTAAAATATCAATTCACAGAGGGCGCTACCTTACAATTATTTACTAATGACAAAATTTTAAGATGTTTAGGATAATTGTATTTTAATTTTGGAAGGTTTCACTTCTACCACGTGTGAATTGCACACATGTATTTTTTTTTCCTTGTCACTTATTGCTTTTTACTTGACTTTACACTATATTTTTATAAAGTACATATATGTGTTATTCTGAAGTGTAAGCTCAATATCATATTTTTCTTATATCGAATCCACAGCCCATAAAATAAGTTTTAAGTTTTAACTCGACGATATTTCCATACTACTTTTTATCCCTTCCATTCAACACTTTACCACGCTTTACAACCCTTTTTCATATTAGAAAGAAGCCTATTTTCTTTATCAGGCTCCTCTAGACTATATGTGTACCACATTTCATTTATATTGATTCAGTAGTTTTGGCATGAAAATTACTTAGACAGAGTTACTTTCGCATTTATAATATTAGCATAAAATATTTGAACTAAGAAAATATTTCACTATTTATTCTATTGCCTTATTCTTCGATCAATAATACTACTAGATTCGGGATTAGTATGGTCCAATCATAGCCAACACTAAGACGTCAAAACGCTGCAATGCGCGTTCAAAAACTGAGTAAAAAACCACCGTAACACCAAGGTTTTGGAAGGAATATCTTTTTTTGGTAAATTTATATTATTAAGTGTTTTTCATAAAATAATAAACACAATTATATTGTAAATAAAACACAATTTACGAATATTGTAATTGTTTGGCCAATGTTTGCAACAAGGCACCAACTATTGTAACAAACATCACCTATTCTTGGACAGGGAATGCATAGAGTAGTTTTGTTATTTTATAATGTTATTTTTGTTTGTAGATTTCCTAGTAGCCCCTTGTCGCTGTGCACAATGGATATATATTGTCGCGAAAGAAAGAGGAGAAGAAATATAGAACTCTTATAAAAATTCTAGAATTGTTCAATGGTGGTGGCAAATCAATGCAAAAAAGTATTAAAAAAACTTTATATGTATGTGTAAATATTTTAAGCGTATATGCTGAAAAGGATTTGTTTTCTGGGGGAAACGAACACAGCCATAAAATAAGCCTAAATTAAACTGATTATAGAAAAATTCATTGATATAAGATTACATTATATTTGTAAAAAAGAAACCGCTCATATAAAAATGACTTCTAAAAGACAGCTTTATAACAAACTGAATCTGTTTAAAGGTAATTAAACCTACATTATTGTTTTAATTACTTCTGTATAAAGAATACGTGGAAAACATGTTTCGTGTTTCCTTTCATATTTTTTTTACTTTATTCAATTTTATTTTTTATCACCTATTTGTTGTAATAGCGGCAATGTAAAATATTATCTACTACTTTTTTGAATCGGTCAAAAATAGTTGCGACCATACAAAACAAACCTAAAACAAATATGTATATTCTGCAACTCTATGTCTTTCAATACTTACTGTGTTCTGAGCATTGAAATGTAATACCAAGAACTACATCTAGTTCCACAATACAATAAGCACGAAATTTTAAACAAATATTTTTAACCTTATAAATTAGGCTTTAAGTATCATTTTAGAATAAATATTTTTGTACTGATGACTTTTTATGTTCAAGTGACATTTTAAATTTATTCCATAATATTCTTTTTCTGACGAAAGGACCTAAATACATATATTTTGCAATGGTAATTAAACTTTATGTTTAAGTATTAAGGTTTAGAATAAACTGAAGTCGTTAACATTATTAAACTTTTTTCTAAGAAATGAAGATGTTTTCGTGTCTGCAAACGTGGCCACTGGAGCGTCTTATTTTTGTTCCTGATCTTTAATCTAGTACTATTATTGATCGAAGGTCTTATTATTTAGATTTCTAAAAAACATATTTAAATTATATTTAAAAAATTTAAATACATACATATTCAACCAAAATACATAAAAGATGTAAGAGAAACCAGACCAGAAAACTCATGCGATTTCATAAAATATTCTAGCCGAGAGTTTAAAGAGATATTAGTTAATTTAAAATAATATATAATAAGGGTTAAAGTATGAAATTGCCATTTTATTGTAATAGGTACTTCGAATTGACATAGAACCTTCATATTTTGAGATTTTTGAGTGAAACTTTTTTTAAATGGTACCTATGGGGTTCTTCTTTTAAAAAATGTGCAACATTCGATTCTCGACTTTCAGTTGTTTTTTTTATTCAGCTTAGACAAGAACGATAGATACTTCGAAAATTTGAGTGATTTTTGAATAAGAGTTCAACGACGTGGAACTAACGCTGCAGAAAGAGCTCGCAATATCAATGTTGCGTTTGGAGAGGAGACTGCTAAAAAGTGCGATTTTGGTTAAAACGCTTTTGTGATGGAAATTTTGATTTGGAGTAAGAACCACATGGAAGACCACCCACACATGTGAATAATAATGAATTGAAACAGATGGTGGAAGCTGATCCGAGCCAAACTACCCAGGAAGTAGCGGTATGGTTTAACGTTACCTTACCAACAATATTGACTCATTTGCGTCAAATCAATAAAATAAAAAAATATGAAAAATGGGTGCCTTATGATTTGACTGATCTGCAGAAAGGAACACGTATTGAAACTTGTGTTGCCTTGTTCAATCAATACAGAAATGAAGGAATATTGGATCGAATTGTGACATGTGATCAAAAGTGGATTCTTTACGATAACCATAAGCGAAAAATGCAATGGCTGACCCCAGGCCAAACGCGGCAACAGTGTCCTAACGCAAAGCTTACCATTAAAAAGGTAATTGTAACTGTTTGGTGGTCTCAGCATGGTGTTATTCACTATAGCTTTTTCCGATCTGGTCAAGCAATAACGGCAGATGTCTTATGTGCCGAACTCCGAACAATGATAGACAAATTTGCAGTGAAACAGCTGACTTATGAGTCGATCTTCACCAATATTCCTCCATGATAACATGTGACCTCATACAGCACGAGAAACCGTTTTAACTCTACAGGAACTGCAATTAGAAACCATTTGTCACCCTCCATATTCACCAGACCTTGCTCCAATGGACTTCCATTTTTTTGTGATTTGGACAATTTTATACTTAATAAAAAGTTTTCTTCCCAGGAGCCAGTACAAAATGCTTTCATACAGTTTGTAGAATCTAGATCACCAGATTTCTATCATCATCATCATCATCATCAGCCTTTATCTGCCAACTGCTGGACATAGTTCTATCGCACAGGCATAAATGACCTTCCTATTTGATGGCAGCAATGTACAGATAATAATGATAGATATTTTGATGACATAAATATATTAAATTAAAAAAAAAAACAATTTCTAATTTTCAGTACAAATCGGCAATTTCATACTTTAACCCCTAATATATTTATATTCTATGGTTGGTGATTATCTAATGATCGTTACCTGATGCTCATTGTACACAAAATGTACAAAAATATGAAAGAACAATCTGTGTAATCATCACCAGGTAAATTCCTATGGCTCAGACCTTGAATCCATGAAATAGGATAAAATGGAAGTTTAGCCACTACTCTGCCATCAAATCTGGAAATGATGTTTTTAACATTAAGTAAATAAAAATAGAGTAGCCCTTGCTAGGCTTATTGAATAAAATATATTTTAGTAGCATTTAAGTATCTATTATTACTCACATACTATTAAACATGCTGAGCAAGGCAGTAAAAGCAAAACCAATTGCAAACATTGATTTCATTTTCACCAAAGACAAGTCTCTGTTATTGTTTTTGAGTCTCTCTTCTTCTCTTTCAATTTTTTTCTTTTGTTGTCTGTCTAGTGAGTCTCCATGAGCTTCCTTACGTTTCTCTACTAAAATTAAGCATGACAGTTTAAAGATACAAGTAAATAAACAAAAAAATAATTTCAAAACTACAAAAATAAAGAGAAAATTAAAGTAGTTATTCACATTTTTTACTCTGTCGTTCGACTTCCACTTTCAGTTTTTGATATTTCTCCGTTCTGTAGACTAAGACCCAAGTTAAGCCTAAAAGTTAAAGATTAAAAAACATTAGTTAATAAGAGTTTTTCCTGTAAAGTACATCGTGTACGAGTATTGCTGGTTTTTGAAATTAAGCACTTTGGGTCTCATTGTACGTCAAATTTAAAATGAATCCAATTTAAAAATGCACACTTGATAAGCTCCTTTGCTTAATTAGCCAATACACAAATCTTAATTACCTATTTGTGTTAAACGGAATTCTTTAGTTTTATTTTGGTCTTCAATTTTAAGTTGTATCGTATACCATTTAATGAAAGTAGTCCATTTTTTATTTAGCGAAAATTAAATGGAATTTCTAACCTTCTCCTAAGAACGCAGTGCAGATAGAGATGAAAACTATTAAGAGAGAATCGCTCCACATTTTGCAAAATCGTTAGTCTAATGAAAGATACACTTAAAATGAATTTAAATTTATTATTTCGAATGTTTTAAGAATAAATCTACTTATTGTAGATACAGTAGATAGGTATTATTTTCTCATTTTTTTCTTTTCTGAAATTATTTTTTTGTTGAATTAATTCATTGCAAAAGGCAAAGGGATCGTAGGCTATACAAGTAACCATTTTTGTTATTTCAAAGGCTGAATCTACGTCTATTTTATGGAAAGTAAAATAAAACAAATGATAATGAGGAATTTATTGAGGTTCAATACGAGTAGTCACGTCCAGCATTTATGTTAAAAAAAAAACCCAAAATTATGCACTTTCACAGAGGCTAAACAGCTGGTAAGTCGCCATTATTACACATTTAATCCTAAAAAAAACTTTAATATCACCACAAAGTAACATAACTTGATACTTTTTCTCTCGCGACAAAAAGTATTAGAGTGATTTTGTCAGCCTCTCATTTGATTTTAAAGGCTTTTGTGTAATATTTGAAAATTATTGTCTTGCTTTTAAAAATCAATAATTGTCTATATCTATTTCTACATTATTTCTATATAAAAAGGGTAAAATTATTAAGAAAAAGAAAAGAAGAAACAATTGTTGCCGTTGCAGTGGTAATTCTGGATTTTTGGTAAAAATAAAAGACTGCATAACTCTCAGGGCTCCAACCCAGCTTCAACTTTATTTACTGTTTCGACGATGTTGTTTCTGTTGACCTAACAGTCTACTTAGTTCCCGTTGTCTTGGGTGGGTAGCCAGAGTGACTTTAACTTGGTTCATCTGCTTTTTACATTTAAATGTTCAGGATCATACTAAAATTGAAATAACTTTTCGATAAACCGAAAGTCATAAACGTAAAATCCACATCCAAAAATGGGACTGCTTCATACGCATGAATGATAGGTACTTGAAACTTTTATTTCCCTCAAAGGTTGACAAGCTTACGGCTGAACTAGTATAGTAACTATATACTACTACTAATAGGAAGCTACCGACGAGCGTGAATTTAGGCAAAGCTAAGGTTATAGACTCTTCCGATTGTTACAAATAAATATTACAGAGTTAGAGAACCAACATACCACTACTGTACGTTCGAAACTACTCATTTCTGCAAATTTTCAAAAAAATATAGCAACACCGGCTAGTGACTATGCTATATTATACAAAGTGCGCAGTTTCCTTTTCCTCCTTTGTCATTCTTCAGCTATTCTTTGCGCTGCGTGCGTATCTGCGCTCGTATTTCTACAAGAGCTAAATAAAATTGGCTGCCCTTTAGGATTCTGCCAAGTAGATTGTGTATATTTTAATTTTCATTATTATCCATAGCTTATTTAGGTATTTAATTATCAATAAATACCACATTCAGACACTTGGAACAATCACTCAAATTACGCAATAATTAAGAATGTTAATAAAGAGGATTGTAAATTTATGTGGATAGAATGTAATATATTGTAATAATTTTGTTGAAATAGTAATTCTGTGGACTGAGTCTATATTTCTGAACTGTATAAATAAGAAATCAGTGTTTCGTTTGTGAGAGTACTGTTTCATACACAAGACGCCATATTAGAATGGAAAAATTTAGGGCGTGGCACATGAATTTTGATTGCTGTTCTCGGAGTTAAATTAATTTGAAGTTATCTACTGTAAAATTAGAAGAAATGGTAAGTGCGATGATTATTAAAATTGTTATGAATTTCTCAACCCACTTTACATAAGTAGCAAACTGAATTCACATACGTAGGTATCGATTTCATGTCAAATCATTTAAAGACTTTGAATATAAAGAATTCATGAGTTCTAAGCAATAAGTCGATTTTATTTATAATGGTTTAAAAATAGATATGAAACGTGGTGTAATTTGGTTGGCATGACGTGGTTTCTAGAAAGTAGGTAAGTAATGGCGTGATATCCGTCGGTAAATGCTTCAACGTGATTGGCTGTCGCCTACTTTTGTAAGAACAAAGAGAGGACTTTGATCATTGAATCAGGCCGCGGATATTTTATTGATTTAATATGATGCAAGACAATTATCATTAATTTGAAAATTCCTGAGTGTTGCAATCGTCTATTTTCCATCTGTACAAACATAAAAAAAATTAAAATACACGCCCTTTTTCAGATAGACATTGCTAATTTGTTCGTTTTCTTTTCCAAACGGTCATTGTTCATCTTTATGGGCAACGCGTTATTCAACAAACGGTAAATAGTGGTCGTGGCCCAAAACACGTCACTTCGAATCCCCCCTATCCACAATCGGTGTTTCTAGGCATTCCAAGCACCAGTCACCATTTTCATCGAACCTTTCGAATGCGACCAAGGCTTCGTCATGAAAATTAAATAACAATAACAGCCCACTGAGTTGCCGGATCTTCTCATTGGGTCGCGATTCCGATACAATGGTATATTCAGCGAAGCACTGTCCTTGCTAGGATTAGTGCTAGCAAGACGCCAAGCTGGATACCAGAGAGCTTGCTTAAACGTCCAGTGAACCTAGGGTGAACCCTCGAGGTTTCTGGAATAAGAAGTTAAATAAAGTTATCAATTCAATATGTCAATCGAGACCTCATTGTCTTGAGTGAGGATGAAGAAATTTACCAGACAGTGGTTGAGCTCGTTTGATTTATCTGTTGCAGTATAAGAACAAAAAAAAAACAGTATTAGATATCTTCAATTTAAATATTTGTAATACCATTTTTAAGCTTTAACAAGCCAAAACAAATGTCATGAAGCATTACTCACTGTGTTTTATGATTTAATGTTTAAATGCACCACTGTCTAATGTAATAAACAAGGTCAGACATTTTATTGTTTTGTCTTCGTCAATGAGTGGGAATTGTAGTAGAACATAAATTTGTATAAACATAACATAACAGCTACACTAAATGATTAGGTATAGCTTTTGCCATTAAAAGTAGCTTAGTGTAAAAATGAACAATATAAGGTTAATAATTTCGTAATTGCCTCCCAAGTATCCACACTATACCGGTTGTCAAAAGTTTACAGGTGTTAAACACCTAGCTATGTTATATTCTAGGACATTGATCTCATATGTTTTGTGGAATTAATGTTCCCAGGTCTAATGGCACTAGTAACACTTTAACAGCTTTTACTGATATGCTTTTTAACTTATGAGATTTCAAAATGGTTAAAACTCTATTTCTGGAAGCATTTTCAATCCTACAGAAACTTTTTATTTCGAAACTCCTCAGATTCAGTCCTTAAAACAGAGGGATCGATAATGTTTTATCTATAAAAATTGCATCACAACAAAACTTCAGCGGAAGGAATCCTCATTACCTTTAAACCTTGTTTGAGTCCAAATATACAATGACCTGACTGTTGATCTTCTACTAAGTAACTTTTGTTTATGGATTAAAAATACAAATCATTAATTTGAATAAAAACTTTTAAAGGATTATTTTCATTTAATTGGAATACCTCTCAGCTATTGTTTTATTACTGATATCAGATTCTTATTCAGAGTGATCAAAATAGTTTCAGAGAGAATCTTGCAAACTATTTCAGTCTATGCTGTCCAAGTGTATTCAGGACAAGACATCTGAGCTGCTGTTGCATGGCATGAACCGTTTTAGTTTCACGCTGTTGAACTATCCAAGTTTTTTTTATTTTCAAAGGGCCCCTTATTATTTAAGCATATTCCAAAAGAGGCTTTACTTATGTACCAGAAGTATAATATTTAAAACTTCTGGTTCTGAATTTTATGTCCAATTGAACCATATATATATATGCTTCCCATTTGAGATAGTTACAATTTTTTTTTAATTGCTTAGATGGGTGGATGACCTCACAGCCCATCTGGAGTTAAGTAGTTACTGGAGCCCATAGACATCTATACCGTAAATGCTGCCACCCACCTTGAGATATGAGTTCTAAGGTCTCAGTATAGTTACAGCGGCTGCCGCACCCATAATATTCAATTCAATTATACCTAGAGGTCCTGTAATTTACTATCTAGAGGTTTTTATGATTTAATGCGAAGATGTTTTAATATGCGCTATTTTAAGTACTACGGTAACAGATGGTTAATGTAGTTACGTATTTATTAATATGCCTAATAATCTACGATAAGTAGCAGCTTGGCTTTGCCTCCTTGGCATTTCTGACACCCATGAACGACGGTAACCACTCACCAACAATAGGGGCCGTGTGGTTTCCCGTCTGCAAGGTTCTTAAAAAATAATAACATTTAAAATTGTGTTGGGTGAAAGTCAAATTACTTAATTCATAAATTTGGAAAATTTATAAACACACCCTACTTTCCACAGTTAACAATATATTAAATTTCAAACCATTAATTAATTATGTATGCCAATTTAGCATATATATATATACCTATGATATTTAATTACAATTCAACACTATTGTTGCCATAAATATTAACACCAATGTGGAAACAATATTTCTTCTGATAGTTACAATCATCATTAGTTTGGACCAATTTAATGTGGTGAGAATAAATCCAGAAATCTCTAAAATATCAAGAGTCAATGAAAAAAAAACCTAACTTACTGTTTTAACTTACCTATTTTTTGTAGACTTTATAACTGTATTTATCGGTGATTTCAAAGGGTTGATGGGACTAAACGTGTCACTGCGACCTACATTTATCTATTGTGAATACTCAAAAGTTTTTTTTTTTTTGTAAAATGTTTTTGAAAATGTCTGTGACTATGTTAACTAAAAACTGCAATATTTTCGTTAGGCAGAAATATTCTAGATGTCCTTGAAGCTATATGTACTTTTTGACAGTGAGTACATTTTGCCACTATATGGCGGTACAACCTGCAACATACACAGTGTGTGTGAACTAAAGCCTAGTTAGTACATATGCGTGGGCAATGCAAACTCACAGAGTAGTAGTGTTCGTAAGAATCCATAAACTAACACAAAAACAAGACTACAATAGTTTATGGAGCCTCTTTACTGTATATTGTATAGGGAATCTTATTAAAATTCTTAACAGATGACCATGGCTTTCTTGACTGTACCAGTGATCAAATTATTTAAGCTGTAGTATGCAGTTTTCCTGTTGCGCTTTGTCAGTGATCTTTCTAGCTTTCAATAGACGCTTTAGAAGCTCTGAGGCGTCTATTGAAAGCATTGAGAGTAAATTCTGATGTTAGTGAGGTTTTGGGCAGCATGAAGGCGCCAATGCTGGCAATTTAGAAATAAACGGAACATAACCTTTGGACAGTGCAGTCGCCGGATTCCGGGTGTACCAGTTGGCGTCAAAATGTCATTTTGAATTTTACTGTTCAAAAGTTAATATAAACAATTTATAAAACGTGCCTTTTTTGTATTATCTATGATCATTTACTATGTAAAGTAATTTTAGAAAAAAGTAACCACTGTAAAATCAGTTAATAATGTTAAACATTTATGTCGTAATTTGGGGGTTTTTAACATAATTCTAATCTCCCAATATAATTGGGTTGACTGCTGTTAAATATATCATAATATCATAAGTTTTACCTTTTTTGTTACAGTCCAGCATAGAACCAAAACAACTTCTTGGGTGCCTTAGTGGGCTTCTTTCTAATAATGGTGGCATTAAACGCAGAAACGAAGTCCAAAGGATTGCACGGTATGTAGAAGAAACGAATAATAATATAATAAAATTTGGGAAGTTTATTTTTAATCACAAACTCTTTTCATTTCAGTCTTATGTCTAAATATTCTAAGAAATTAGTATCTAAATGTATCTACATACAAATTCTGAAGTGTACAGAAACTGAACTATTGGATTTGTTCATGAGGTATAATGGATGGCTTTTAATTCACTTATGGTTAACAGAAAGCATAGTAGCAAAAAACTGGCCTCTTGTGAAAGAATTACTGGAGTTATTGTTGTTGTGTCCTGTCGACTTAAATCGACTTAAAACTAATAATTGTCCAAAACTCGTTAAAGAATTATCTAAGGATGGAGATCACTTTGGTAAGTGTTAATATTTGATTAAATCCACTAGACAACTACTTTCATTATACATATTTTAATTTGGTTCATTGTCATGATACCTTTTTTATAAAGCAAAAGAAAACTAAATTTAATAATAACTAAAATTTATGACGTAATGTCTCTTTGTGGATTTATCCAAAATAATATAACAAAGCAGATAGAGCCAATGACTCGTAATTTCTAATTGTCATTTTGAATTCAAAGTAAATAACTAGATAAAACTGAGAAATTGGTTTTGTTTTTGAATAGTCAATGTGTAATTTGGAATGACAAATCTCCTTATAAGTTTATCTAGGTCATTTGTAAAAATAACATCTCTAAACGTGTATTTTCCTTAAAACTAAATATTCATGACGAAATTATTTCACGCGAGTAAGATTGACAAGTTTTACAATAGTTCGCGTGTTTATTACATATTAATAATTGTTAACTAAAATATGTTCATATTTTAAATGTGTTACACTTGCATTTTGGCAAAAAGTTCACGTTAAAAATTGTTTGTCAAATATTCATCAGTGATCCGATCTACAAAAAAAATGTCCCAAGCTAGCAATTACACAGGCTACTATTTCTTGAATAAAGATGTTGACTGTTCGGGAATTGTAGAATCAAACCCGGATTCTGTAATGTAGTAGTTGAAGTCATTAACTAACTAACCAACAAGGCAAACAAAACACGACTTCGTGTCTGATAGATAGCTTAAAGACGTAAAAAATTAATCTGTTTAGGAAATATTGAGACGGTTAAGATAGAAAATAAGACCGAGAATAACTGTTCGCAAAGATGGGATTTGTGTGCTTAGTGCGAGTTGTTTAACGTTCTCGATAGCGTAACTCAAATTTATATAGGGTTCGTTCGGGGAACGTTTACCTACGTTTGCGGCTAGGGGCGCTATTCCAACTGCATAGAAAGTTGACTATACTTTTAAACTTTCGAGAACGTTAAAAAACTCGCACTAAGCGCAGTGATGGGACAAAATTAGTTCGAAATGCTTCATATTACGCCTATCATAAATTCCTGGACTATTACTATATAATCTTCATGTAAGTTGACATTGACGAACATTGACACCAATATATTATAATTTAAACTAACTACTAATGGTTAATTCTAAGTAGTTTATTATATCTAGTGTCTTATAGTTATAATAAAAAAAATATTCTCTTTTTAGCTATTAGAGCACTGGCTTCAAAACTGGTTGAGCAATGGTTAAAAACTGTACAAGGAGAAAAAGTAGTTCCTGTTTTACTGTCTGATATTCCTCAGATAATTAGTGATGGCAACGGTGAAATAAAACCGGAGATAGTTAAACTAAAATCTGAGGTAGAACAAGCAAAAGATACTGCAGAAAATGAAGAGAGTACTGTTAAAACTGTTAAAACTGAGGAATGCTGCAAGAGTGAAAATATAGAAATAACGCCCACAGTTAAGGAAGAAAACCAAGAACCTTCAAAAACTGAAATCAAAATAGAAACAGACCAACAACTTGAGACTTTGCCTGTCCTTAAAATTAGTTTAAAAGATGGTGTTCAAACAGTGTTGAAAGTTGATGATACTGAAAACAAAGATTTGAAAGAATCCCCAACCAGTGAAAAGTTGAAAGAAAACTCCAAAAATAAAGATAAAGAGAAATCGAGTGAGAAAACCAAAAGTAGTCACACGAAATCAAATAGTTCAAAACATTCGAGTAAAGCACGTTCTTCGAGTGATAAACATAAGAGTAGCAGCAGCTCTAGTCGACACAGTAGTAGCAAGGACAAGAAAAAAGATAAGGATAAGGATAGAAGTTCTCATAGTTCTAAATCTAAAAGTGATAGTATTAAGAAATCATCTAGTAGTAGTAGTAGTAATAGTAGTAGTAGTAGTAAAACAAAAGATGATCGTAGCACTAAAAATTCTGAAAAAGAGAAAAGAGAGAAAGATGAGAAACTTGGTAAGAAAAAAGATAAAGACACAAAAGAAAAATCAGATGAAAGTAATGAACATAAGACACCTTCAATATCGAAGCTAGGAAAAATTCCAAAGCTTAGTGATTTAAAAAAGGAAAAGCCTTCTATATCAATAGAAGTGAGAAAGCCTGACGATCCAAAACCGAAAACTGTAAAAGCTTACAATTCAAAATTTAGGAAACATGGATTGGAGGAGGAGATAAAACCGCCGCCATCGCGCTCTGTACTATTAAATAAAAAAGTACCACCACCACCCATACCTCCCATAGTCTCTATACCGAAAAGACATTCTCCAGTACATAATGAAACACCACCTGAAAAGAAACTTAAAACTATGGAAATAGTAGAAAAACCTGGTTCTATTAAATTAATACCTCCCAAACCAAAACGTAAGTATAATTTGAATTTTGAACTGTTGAATTTTATAATGATGCTGATTATTTTTTCAGGTGTTCATCGGGGTTTGCATCACTTTTGCAAATCAAAAAGTGTTACATTTTTTTTTTGTTTCCCTTTCATATGTGGTAAGTCTAAGATGTACAAATTAACGGGCTTGGAAGTGTATCTTCTTCCTGTAAAATATTTAAAAATAAATGCTAACTTCACAATGAATCTTTCCGTTAAAAACTACCTAGCTTTGTTTAGACCGAAAGGCTGGCAATGTGTAATTCAACGGGCTGCTTGTTTGATTCAACTACTACGGATTGAAGAATGGTAACAGACCTCTTGGAAATGACTGGTGTCTCTCTCTGCTCCTGATCTTCGTAGATGGAGAAAAGAAGTAAAACTATAATTTTAAGGATTGAAAAAGAAAAAAATTATATTCGCATGCAAATATAATTCTTGAGCAAATTCATTGTAACCTGTTGACATAAGAACGCAAAACGCACTAAGTAACGTTTTCAAACTCTCGAAACAGACCAGATTTGTTGTTATTAGTACTGTATTCATTTCCGTAGTATTGACAATATAAGTTTCAAAGGTAAAAATCTCAAAATCTCCCGTAACAAGAAAGCAAAATTGAATTACAACTTTAGAATATTGATAATTATTTTCCGTCAATCTCAAGAAAATTATTACCACCAATGAATGACATTTCATGAAATTACAAACATAGATAATTATTTTCCGTCAATCTCAAGAAAATTTATACCACCAATGACATTTCATGGAATTACAATCTGAATTAACCAATCACTTAGTCGTAAAATAATAATAAAGAAGACAAATGCACAACTTTCACACAGGGGCGAGGTAACTTTACAAGGTCGAGGAAATAGCCTGATATAAATAAAGATAAACCAATTATCCAGTGGCTATCATATTTAGTCTCACCCGTGCCTCGTAATCATTGAATTCTTCAATAGAATTTAATTTCCCTGGTGAGAAAAGCGCTTGTAATAATATAGATAGTCTAACTTGTGTACGCTGTGACAGTGCACATTGAATATCTAGGTATGCAGCCCAGACCCAAGTAGACCGCTTTTTTGTCTACTGACGCTCGGTTTGTCCGTGCAACTGTCCATCGGACTCACTGCCGCTCTTGAACAACCGAACTGCGTTCAAGCCGAAGTTTTGGTAATATGAATTGTCGGTCCATTAATTTACTGATCTATTGATATTAAGACGCTAATGTAAGCTCTATGATGGCGGGTAAGCTGAAGACTGGGTAGGGTGTTAGAGAGAACACATAGGTTTATCCTCTCCATTAAGTTCGTTTTTTTGGTGCCACTGGAAAAACGATTCGCTCCGATGATAATAGACAGTTATTTTGATATATCATAAGCTAACACGTATCTACTGAAAGCTGACAACTACTGATACTACATATTAAGACTGATCAAGTTATTGAAATGTTCACTCCGGTTGATACCGTAAGTGTCTTACCAGTTTTCATCGAATTCCAGTGGCGGTAATAAAAAACGAACTTTAAAGAATTTCGAAATATGTGCTTTATAATATCCTACCAGCACTCTTCAGTCTACCCGTGATTATGGTGCTTGAAACAGCGATGAAATACCGGGAACTCAATAAAAACCAAAAGAGTGGTAAGAATTCTTAGGAAATTAATAATAATCTAATTTAGGTAACCGCGAAGGTATAAAAAAAGTAAATAATTTTCTCTAATTCGGTAAACCCGCTAATAGGCCGTAGTAAAACATTACGTTGCGTTGCTGCAATATTGATAGGGGTAAGTACAGTTACGTAGGTAGTTATTTTGTTGAAATAAGTGTGATGCATAAGAGTAAAGTTTAACAGCATCATTACTGGCCGTATTAATACCATTAATATTTTTATTAATAATACCATTAGATATTCTTATTAATACCATTAATAAGCATATCAATGAAGTTAAATTGGAAGACGTCATTCAATGAAGCCGTTTAGTATTATAATTGTATAACTGTTTAAGTTTTCATATCACCTTGAGAAAAAATAACAGTGACTGAACAATACAAAAGCCTTCAATGGCTGTAAAGCAGATTTGGTGCATTTAACTTAAGGCTTAGTATAACAAGTTATAGCTGAGACTATTAAAGTCCTTGATAAATAAAAGAATTAATTGAAATAAATAAAAAGAAAAATACCAGTTGAAATAAGTAGATTAATTTAATCTCAAATCACTTTTTATATATAAATATAAATCTGAAATTAAAAATAATAGTGATAGGTTTTATAATTTTACATACATCTACATCAGTGATTCTCAACCATTGTTCCGCGGCATTTTTGTGTGCCGTCAAATTTCAAAAGTGTGCTGCCAAATTTTGCGAATATATAATAATGTTAATATTATTAAATTATATCATTTTAAAAGAAGAATATTTTAAACATGAATATATATTGAAATCCACAAAAAAAAATTATAGTATATTTTAGTTTATTTCGTATATTAAAATTTTTTGATAAACTATTTATGCAGTGTGTTGTAGTAAGTAAATAATTTTATCTTTTTTTTTTATGTGCCGCCAAATCTTGAAATCGTTAAATATGTGCCGCAACAAAAAAAAGTTTGAGAATCACTGATCTACATAATTGAAATCCCTAAATTTTATTAAAATACCAATATGTTAAGGGTGACGAGGGAATTTAAAACTCTTGAAATCGCGATTATACTTCATGTTACCTAATAAAATTCTAAAAACTATTAGGTATAATGAATTGCAGACCCTGTTGATTCAGATTTGTAAATTGGTGGTGAAAAGTTCTTCTTGTGTATTAACTATTTCTTCTATAGGTAATGTCCCTACCTTAATGTCGTTCGTTTACAGTTTGTCGCCTCATATAAGGCTGACTACTCTACCATTTATTTATACACAGTATATCGTGAAAATATTCTGGTTATAGAAATAACACGCGAATCCCGGTCAAATTACTTTTTCCGGAAAAATCCAAGTTTTCTATAAGTTAGTAGTGATACGCTCAGATTTTGTACAAAATTATGAATTAAAAAAATCGTTATTTTTTGGCACATATATCTGTAAGCGTGAATCGTATGGGTATTAATAAAAAGAAACTCGTACAATATTCTTAAACTAACTAAATTGAAATTCTGTTTCGAATTACGGTAAGCTGAAAATTTAAAATAGTCCTAATCGAATTGGAAAGTTTCATTACATTACGGTAGTTTAATAAAATATTCTGGTCTGTTCATTCGAGAAATGGCTTACAACGTTGATTAGTGCCAAATATTTTTCATAGATATTCTTTCTATACACAATATTATAAGTCTGTTTGTTCGTTTAAGCTCTGTAATCTCCATAATGGCGGAGCCGAAAGTCATTTATTCGAGATGGGCTTGCAGTAACGTAATATTGGAACCCGATTGATAAATAAAGAGTGTACTAAATTTGTCAGTAAAATTTTAAAACTGAAATTTACTTTACTGCGCATTTAAAACAAGAAATAACACGTAAATTGCATATCACAAAAAAAAACATTGTCAGTAGTTAAAACTGCTTTTACTGTTTTTTCTCGTGTTTATTATTTTATTTTATATTTTTCGACCAATAATATGAAAGCGGTTTTAAAGATATCTGACAAGTGAAAACAAAAATACACATTTATATAAGTTAGTTTGCCTGCCGACGTATTTTTGACGAATTACCGAAATTTTCTGAATCTTCTGTAACGTTTCTGTAATAAACCTCATTGCAAAAAGAGTAGTACCTAATTATCGACTTAAAGCTGGTAAACGGTCATACAAGGGCAACGCACGGTTACACTCGAGTGATCCAGTGGCGATCAGTCCCATATAAGTTAGATCGTAGCAATCTAACAAACCGAATCTTAGTAATAAACTTAGCTGTTTATAGTCATTAATAATACCTAAATTACCTTTTGCATTGCGAATACATGAATCTTATATACGTTACGCACGAACATACACGTTACCACCTATTTAGGAATGTTCATTTCTAACTTTAAAAACTGAGACGCATAAATTGTGATAAGATCAACAAAAAGTGGTAAGAAATGGACTTGGTTTAATTTACACGTGAAAATAGATAGTTAAACTAAAAAAAACCGTTGGACAGTTGAGTTTAATAAACGAAAATTGCACCATATTTTTTAATAATGCCTTTTTAAGATCTCTAGCACCTTTTTACTAGATTTCGCGCGAGTGGACATTCAACCTATGAAACTGAAGGTGAATAGCATTTCAAGCCAATCTGTGATTGAAACTTTTGGTAGTACTGTTTGATTGCCTGCTGAGCTGCTGCTTCTGCTGACTATCACCTCTAGAATTATTTCGATCCTTCGTAGTCAATGCAACGATAGTAAGGATTCCAATTGTATTATTTATAAAGTATTCGATTTAAAAAAAATAATTAACAAAATTGACGATAACATTAAAATATTAGTGGGGATATGCACCTTGCTCTTGTGAAATCTAATTAATGAGAGTAACAATAAATTAAATTTGTGTCTGATTGAGAAGTAAATATAATTTGCGCGTTAGTGAGATTATCTGAAAAATTACACATAGATGGATTATTTAATTAATGAAAACCGTCTTTCATACTGCGTTCAACTGCATCAACCGAAATTGAACCTATCAATATATAGGTACGTACATACAAAATCTAATTCGTATGTAGATGTATGTTTTAGGTTCAATAATATTAATTTTCCATAAAATTTATAAATAACATTGAGATTCCAAATTTAGTATTCAAAATTACGTAGGTAAATAATATCAGAAGAAGCCGTAAAGCAAACTCTATTTCACGTATTTGCCACTGCAAGCTTCTAGATTTTATTTCAACGAACGTTTGTTTGTATCGTCAGTTACGATATCATTAAGATTATTCGATTGACATTTCATTACAAAACAATTTCCTCGAAGGCTTCAAATCACATTTAGTTTAGCTATCGGCGATGTTTATAAGGATAAAGATTTTTTTTATCTCTTATGGCTATTTTAGAAGCAGGTGGCGTAACCGAAATTATTGCCTATGTAGCCATGTAGAGTATCAATAAGTTACCAACAGGGGTGTCGCTGTGAAGACCCTTGAACACATTTCACATTTGCGTACAATCAGAAAGGCAATAGCTCTGCGCGGTTTCAAACTTGCATCAATTTGAACGAGAGGCATGCACGATTATTACCAAGCCATCAGTCCATAATATTTTTGGTACCCTTACCAACTTGATAAAATCTGTCGCTCCTCTCCGTAATTATTGGTATATCTTGATTATAAATTGAATATAATTATTTAAATTAATCGGCTCGCGCTCACTTATTCAACGTAGGTGCCAACTTTTGAGAGGAAAACTACAAAATTGAAATCCCGATAGGATTGGGTTACAAATGAATTTCACCTAAATATAAAGCAGTAGCCATTAGGTCTCTTGTCGATGTCCACGGTAAGTAATCACTTACCAGCTGGTGTCCTGCATACTCAATCTGTTTCATCGGGAATTTCAATAATACGAATGTAGGTACTTACGGGTTTAGACTAAATAAGTTGCCGGCAAATGATGATACTGAAAACAATAAAACATCAATTTATTTGTTTCGTACGTGTGGAATGTTTGCGTAATGGTCGCGTGTTCGAATCGTAGTTGTCTTTAATGTGGTTATCTTGGATAGTGTTTGCCTGAACATCTTTGAGATTATTTGTCATGACAAGACGAAACTACGACAACAGTTCGCTCTGACGTGATGATCAGAACAAATCGTTGCACCGGCACAATTTAATTACACGCATAGGTACTGTTGACGTCGAACAGGGTAGTAGGCCGCTTACCTTCATATATGAGCTGTCTGCTCTTCAATATCATCATGAAAGGATCGCACGAAACTGTTATCCGCGCGTAAAAATTTAAATAATTTTCTACAAAAAAGTATTAAAGGGCTTTACTCATAAGATATTTTTTATTGGTTTAATTTGGTAGGAAAGCAACAAATGCAATCTTCGGCCGTGCCGATTATCATTTGTCTGTGCTACCAACCCTGACCAATCTAAGTTATAAATGAGAAATTAAAAATGGTTGCTCGTGACCAGTCTCGAACTTACTACATCTCTCACTAGAAGCACAAAATAAGTAGCGTGTTTGCTACACGCATAAATATTAATGTTTTCCTGAATACTCGCATTCCTTTTACGCATTTTTATTTTATTTTTTTATTGCCGGTGTAGGCAGACAAGCATACGGCCCACCTGATGGTGAGTGGTTACCGTCACTCATGGACTTCAGCAATTAACGGTAGGCAGAGCTAAGCCGCTGCCTACCGTTAAGCATTACCGCACTGTATTATACTGTCACTGTTAAGGGTAAAACCAAACAAAGCGATCGAGTGCCATTTCTCGAATTGTAGCAATAGTTTCTCAAGTTAGAAATGAAAGTAGGCTGTATTACCGTATATTCAACAAACAATTCAGAATCTACTTGTACATCTTAGACTTACCATACCATTTAATGTTTTGTTTAATAACAATTTTATTTGCAGGAAATGTTTAATAACTTGTAACTATTTGCATCAAAATTGAAACTGTTCTAGGTTTTTACAATACTTTGTATGTTTTTATATGGTTTCATTTTGGTTTGGTTTTATTTTATAATTAATTTATTAAAATTGATTCAAACCAATGAAGCCAATCCGAGTCCGATTGTGTTATACTAACTCAATCAATTCAAACTTGATGCAAGAAATTAAAAGCCCCAGTAAAAATTCTATAATTTTTTATTAATATAATACTTTTTATTTGTTACAGCCATGACACTTTTGGAAAGCGATATGTTTATGGATGCACTCAATGCTTCAGCGACAAATAAGAAGGAACCAAAGAAAAGAAAAAGGCGTACGAGCGGATCGAAGGATGGCAATCCTAATGACGGATCACCTCCACCTACACCGACATCACTCAGTAGTCCCACAAGCGAAAGTAAATCTGTACCGCCAAGGTTTTACCAAGATACTTTGGATGCAGAAGAACGTAAAGACAAAAGTCATGAAAGTAAAGAACCAGTTAGTCCCGTGACCACAGAAAATGAAGTCGAAGACGACAAGATGGACGTTTCTGGGCCGCATACATTAACAGTTAATGGATTAAAAGGGGTTTTATGTTATCATAGAAAAAAAGGTCCCAAAAAGAACATTAAATGGAAACCTGACAGTGAACTAGAAACTATTCATGTATTTGACCTGGATGAGACTGAAAGAATAAATGTCACCAAAACATTCACGGATATGAAATATTTAGAAAGAATACACGAAAGGGAAGCTTTCGAAAAAGCAAGAAACCTTAGTAATGACGACGTTATGGAAGAACGTACAAATTGGAAGCCTTTGATTTTAGTAGATTTAGAAGGACAATTACAAGTAGATTATGGCAAAAACAGTAAAGAGAAAGATATACAGGCACTACGACAAAAAGTAACCTTACAACCTTTATATTTCAACAAGGCAATGATTCCTGATTCCCCAATTGAACCAGAATTAGAAACTCACACCTATTCTGAACCCTCAATAATTCCCTTGGAAGATGTCACTGGAAATCAAGATAATATAAGTGATTTTAGAAATATGCCTTGGCCTGAACCGAGAGGTAATGCTCCACCCCAAACACCGAGTAATATGACTGTTGGTGCTAGTCCATTATTCCCTAACAATCTCACACAATTTTCAAACACTTTTCCTAATACGCAATTTCCTGGAGTACCACCTGCCTTCCAAGGCCCTAACATCGTTCCTGGTGAGTGGCAAAATGGAATACCCCAACAGATGATACCAAATGGAATGCCTGGTCCAATAGGAACCCACAATTTAGCACCAGGTGTGATGCCTCCCGGAAGCCATCCACAAGGTATGATGATTTCACCTGAGACTATGATGATGGCTCCGGAGATGTTCGGAAACCCAACTCCAATGTTTCCTGTACCACCGGAAAGTTTCAATATGCAACAGAATATGTATCCGATGGATTTCAACATGGTAGGTCCTCCGGGACCGGGCCCCGAAGGCTTTAATGGCCCTGGCCCTGGTTCTGGTCCCGGACCTGGTAATTTTAGAGGAGCCATGCGTGGTCGCGGTGTCAATGGTCATTGGCGCGGAAAGGGTGCGGGGAACTGGGAAAATCCGTCCAGGGGTGGTAGAGGAGGAGGCCCTCGCGGGAACCGAAAGACAATTTGTATGTATTTTCAAAGGAAGGGATCTTGTCGGCAGGGCGATAATTGTACATTCTTGCATCCAGGTGTGAACTGTCCTTTTTAAAGAGAATAAATGTAAATACCTAAATTAGCCATATTGTAAATAAATAAAGTAAGATTAAAAGTAAATTAGCTGTAAAAGAGTTTGATACTCAACAAAGACTGGTAAAATAGCAAAAGATATAAATATATTATAATGTTATGTATATAAAAGTTTGTACTGAGTAAAATAGATATGTAATTGAAACAATTGCTTTTTTTTTCTTATTATACAATTTATGTAGTAAGCATGACGATTTAGTTTTAAATAAACCTAATCTTTTATATTGATAAAATAATGAATCAATAATGAAACAAAAAGTAGACACATAACAATATAGACAACATTGTTGAGACACTGTGACTGACATCAATACTTTAACAATGGTAATTTAATTATAAGGCGGCAGGTGACATGCACATCAAAACTGTGAAAATTTTAAAATGATTAATATAATTAAAGATTTCTAAGCGTAGCACGTCAGATTTAAGCCTTAGTATAAACCTGGCAATGTTGAGTGGATACCGAAGTTCAAAGACATCACAATGTGTATAGCGCCATCCACTGTGAGACTTGAATTATATCTCTAAACTGTATAGTAATTACCAAACTTACTGGTGGTAGGACCACTTGAGTCCGCACGGGTAGGTACCACCACCCTGCCTATTTCTGCCGTGAAGCAGTACCTAATGCGTTTCGGTTTGAAGGATGGGGCAGCCGTTGTAACTATACTGAAACCTTCGAACTTAAGATGCGCCACCCGCATTTACGTTGTAGATGTCTATGGGCTCCAGTAACCACTTAACGCCAGGTGGGCTGTAAGATCGTCCAACCATGTATGTAATAAAAAAAAATACTATAATTTTTGCAGTTTTAATTTTTATTACACGATATTATTCCTTAACTCCATCTGTGACAGTGCATAAATGTGGGAAAATGAAACAAAGTCACTGGAGATGGCTTCCCGGATTCCTTCGAAGAGTCCACTGAAGTCTCAGTATATAACCACCATTTTACTGAGTCTTTATTTCATCTCAGCTCATCTCGTTTCGTTTAGTTGCATCCCAATCGATTACAGTCTGATATACAACAACATTACCCAATTTGGCTCCAAAATATTTTTCATACAACAGCGCCCCTAGCGGCAAACGTTCCAACTCCATACAAATTTGAGTTAACTTTTACATATGGAGGGTAGAGGTAAGGAGAACCGTCTCTGTATGAAAAAGTGTCCGTTAAAATCTGCTAAATAAGGGTGGTGCTACAGTAGCAACCGGGTAAATTTTAAAGGTAATTGGAAAACTACCATTAAGTAATGGTTAGTTACAGAGCATAATGCGACTCAGTGACGCACAATGCCGAATTATGCTGAAGCTTAGTTGAGCATTAAGCCGCATAATGCGCTCTTGTGCTGTAATTGGAAAACGGCCAAAAAAGGCGCTGAAAGTTATTAGATTGAGATAGAGAAATAAAAAAGGACGAACGAACTGTAAGCACTACAAAATCACAAAAAGTATTTTATTTAAAGCTAATATGAAAATGCAATCGACGTCTCCACGTTTTACCACAGTACATTTTTTATGTTATATTGACGAAATTAGTTTGGGCTAAGTAAACATGTGAGGTCTTGTATATTACACTGTCACTAACTACTCTATTCATTAATTAAATTAAATTTCCTAACTCAGCATACTTCAATCAGTTGGTAACAGCTGCTCAATTCATATCATACCCTGTGCCTATGCTAGCGCCATTCTGGAGGATTTTTGAACTATTATTTAGTACTGAAAGTGGGACACTTTTTCCAGCTTCTCCCATATGAGACGGCTCTCCTTACCTCTACCCTCCATACTTTTACACCATTGAGATGGCTAAAAAACTCGCACTATGTATGTACTTGCACACCGAGTAGGTATCGTATCTAATTTAAAGTTGACGATTTTTGTAAGTTTGTTACTGGCATTTACAGGATCACAAGAAGCCAATTGCCATACTTAAAAAAGAAGATACCAGGTGATAAACACCAACGATTATCCCTATTAAACTTAGGGTGTTTATTTATTTATGTCAATGCCCTCGCGGACCATTCGCTGGATTAATTTGTTTTTCTTTGGATCCTGCAAAGGTATGCTATGCGTAACAGATGTTAGGCGTACTGATGGTAGGACTTCTTGTGAGTCCACATAGGTAGGTATCACCACGTCGCCGACTTCTCCAGTGAAACGGTAATATTACGTTTTTGACGTGACAACGTCTTAAAATTCGATGGAGCCGGCTGCACGCACGAAAAAACATGACTCATGTGGCGTTACCTCGCTCTGAGGCGTTCCGTTTAAGGCTTGAAGTGCAAGCGAGAGCGCGCAACGAGCGACAAAGAGGCACAATCGGCCTCAGCGTTCGGCAGCGTTCGACATCTGTCTCTCTCCTACTTGAGTGAGCGATGCATCCACGTGGACAGCTACTATACAATAATACATTTACATGTTTTCGTCAAGTATGAAGTTCAGTGAATGTGGTGTCAATTGTTTATAGCAACGATGAAAAATGAAACCATTCCATCAGTATTTTCTTATGACGTTGTCACGTTCAACTATCGTCAGTAAACCAACTTTACAGACAACCGATTTTTTTGTTTGAAGGGTGGCAGCCGGTTTTTATAAAAAAACTAGCTGACCCGACAAACATTGTTTTGCCATATATAAGATTTCTAGGGAATTTCTAGTGTAGAAAAAAAAACGAACTTATTGTAAGTGTGTAAGGATGTGGTAAATGAGTGAAAGAGGTATGTAGTGCTGTGAACGATGAGGGAATATATAATAAAAATAACAAAACCTCATTCAACCACATAATACCTCATTATAACAAAAAAAATGTCCAAATAGAAAAAAAAAATTTTAGGGGTGGACAACCCTAATCACATATGATACCAAAAAGCTTAAAACAAGTTGTGCCGATAAAGTTATTTCAGAGGAAGACAGGAATGCGTTTGCATTTTTAAAAGAATCAATAACTTTTGTTAAATTTTTCATATCTTGTGAAATAAATTACATTGTTGTTTTTAGGTATTTATATAACGGAGGATTAAGGATTAACGGAGATGTAGGATCTACGGTGTTTATTAAATATGTGAAGATTGGTAGGTTCTCATAAGCTCTCGAAGGGCTTCGTAGGTTTAATGGAGTACCTGGTGATGTCAGCGACTGGCGCCACGTCACTTTTACAAATTATGACGTCAGAACCGCTAACGTCAATAGATTCATTATTGTCATTGTCTTCCATGTCAACAACATTCCAGAGTTCCTTGTCCTCCAACAGTAATTAAGGCTCACTTTTCCGATGAATTCCATTTGTTTTATTTCAAGTGTACAACAATAACAAGAGAAAGCTTCACCTCGTTCGGCTGCTCGAGGTGGAATAAGTGTATTAACTACAGATTGTATCTTTTTAGTTTTAGTTTCCTACCTAACCTGGTAATCTAGGGGTTATGCGAGTGTAATCGGGCGAGTATTGTGCGACAATAGTCACTCGTATTTATAGTAGAAAAGTGGGGTAACTTAATCATTAATTCTCTTGAATACCGTATTATGCTTATATGCGTAACATTAAGGAAACAGCTACTTAACTAAATAGTAATGTTGCGTTAGTATATATTATTGTTGTTGTATTGGGAATAGCAATTCGAAAATTTTCACAATTTTGCACTTTCGCAAACAATTTATTTTTCAAATTCAGTTAATAATGTAATATAAAATATTTAAAATAAATAAAATGAACTGCTTTTTTTAAGAAAGATTTTGTATTACTAGCACTTCATATGGAATTTAATTCTGAAATAAAAATTTATTATCATTATTATTTACTTGTCAGGCAACAGACATGGCTTTGACCTTTGTTACGATTTGGCATTATGGGCTATGTGCTATTTGTCTGTCTAATGGACAAATCAAATATGTAGGTATATACCTACATAGATCACAATGGTCTCGAACCTACCGATTTTTCGGTATTTATACCGATATGGGCTCTGTTCTACCGAAATATAACGATTTTTCTACGATTTCAGAGTATACATATAAATTCTCCCGATTTTTCTACCGATTTGACACTTTTAGACATTATTGATCCAAAAAATGTTAAAATTGGCAAAACTACTTCGATACTTCTTAAGAGTAGGCTCTTTCCCAATATTGTTCAGAGCACTGATTTCCAGGAAATTGATATAGAGTGGCGCATTTTAAGAAATTGTGAACAAATCAAAACATTTCCTACTGATGTAGAACTATTTTGGGATGAAGTAACTTTACTAAAACGTTGCGATGAAACTCAAATGTTTCCTTTGTTGTCTAATTTCATCTTTAATATTTTATCACTTCCCTATTCATCCGCTAACGTTGAACGCATATTTTCACATATTAATCTTTTGAAAACAAAACAGCAACATGCAAAACGACTCTTTAATACAGCTAATTGTTTTGATTTTGAAATTAATTCGACGATGACTACAGCTATAGCCAAACAATATTGGTCTAAAAAAATAATTATTCTTAAATATGATTGTTATAAATTAGTCTGTAAGTTTTTTTTTTTTCAATAAATAAACGAATTCGGTTGAATACTGTATATATTTTGAGACAAATATCGATTTTGGGTACAAAATAGTACAAGCATACCGATTTTAGCTGGCAAGTCTACCGATCTCGCTCTATGACGTTCGAGATCACTGTTAAATCAATAGAATAGTCTTTTGTAGCTCTCAAATATATTAAGTGTATAATCTATGTTTGTAGCTATAGGTACCTACCTACGTACCTTTATGTAGGTACGGTATCTATGATAAATAGTGACAACCCAAAAACAACAAGTTATCATTTAATTTTGTCATAAAAAATAATGTTGGCAAATTATGTGTAAATTTAGAACGATAAAATATTAAAACGCAGTATCTGTAAATAAAACTTTGGTGTTAAATAAACAATGGCAAATTGCAAACAATGGTAAAATTAATATAATGCAACGTTGGTTTTTCCTAGAAGAAAGAAAAATACAAAAAACCAAACCCGAAAGAAAAATGTCCGAACCTGAACCAGAACAAAAGGCTGAACTAATTTCCCAACAATGGCAATTCTCAGTAACCGTTCCGGATATAAATCCCTTAAAGGAGAAAGTGTTCGTAACAGGTAACACTCCAGAACTTGGTGAATGGGACTACACAAAAATAATTATGATGGATTATGACGAGGCTTCCAATCTTTGGCTTAAAACTTTAACAATACCAAATACTTATGAAGTTTTATATCGTTATGCCATATGTTTCTTAAATGAGAACTTAAATGACGTGTTTATTCGTAAATGGGAAACAAATATACATCCAAGAATGATAAAACAAACCATGCTTCACCCTACCCAAGATGTATTTGGGGAATATGATAAAAAACAAGGGATCAGTACTGGATGGCTCACCAATCAAACTCTAATTCAATTTAAATTTTCAAACAACCCTTTACAATTAAAAAGCCGTTTAGCTGAAAGACTCATAAATATTAAAGTCACTCCAGTGAAATTATTCTTTGGAACAGAACCGCATATTGAAGAATCTTCGCTTAGTACTGATACCACAGATACTGAGTTACCAGCTGGAGTGCTAGTGGAAGTTGCAACACTGGCAAATGATCCTAATATCTGTCATTTAAAACCACAGGAACAATTTGGAAGAGAGTACAAATTAAATGATGTTCTGCTAGTAAATGTTACCACACCAAATCCCAAGCAGCTGGCTTATCTAATAGACTTTTATTCATATAGTAGTCGTGCAGCATCTGAAGATCCTCCTTGTCATGTTGGATACACTTATGTGTTACCAAACATGTTCAAACCCTCAGAAGGTAATTTAGAATTGCCAGTAACATGTAATGTAAAACATCGACCTCTCGGAACTGTGAATTTTGGATACTTAATAGTTTGTCCTATGCAGGAAAAGCTTTGTAACTTGCAGGTTTCATATGCCAAGTATTGGGACTCAAGTTGGACAGGGTTAGAAGTGGGACACAGAGGCTTGGGTGCAAGTTTTAAAACAAAAGAGTAAGTGTTTCTCAGCTCACATCATCAGCAAGCAGTTTAAATAAATACAAATTTCTTTCATTCCATTATCAATACTAAAATTTCAATGCACATAGACTGCTAAATGAGGTTATTCTTCAAAAAACTTTGCACACAAATTATTATGACCTTTACAAATTGTAAAATATTCTATACCTGCTTAGTTTTTAATCAAAAATTTGACTCATAAATAGTCACTCACTCATAAATATCATTGGGCCACACTGTTTATTGTGGATATATTCTTAAAAAGTCCATTGGATAACAAATAATCCTTTTCAGAGGAAATGCTATTCGTGAGAATACAATAGCTTCCCTTAAAAAAGCAGCTGCAAGTGGTGCAGATCTGCTAGAGTTTGATGTTCAACTGAGTAAAGATATGATACCAGTTATTTATCATGACTTTTATGTGTGCATATCAATGAAAAGAAAGAAGGAAATTGAATTTACAGAAATGCTTGAATTACCAGTGAAGGACTTGACTTTGGAACACCTACAAAAACTGAAGGTACATTCATGAGGCCTAGCTGTTTACAGTTCATCACAGTGAAGATCTCACCAGAAACTAATTCACTTTACATATCAGTTCCAATGTTTGCTATAACTGGAGTCACAAGTTTAAAATATATTACATTAAAAAGCGTAAAACTGTGTTTTTAAGCATTTATTGAAAACAAAAGTGTAAAAGATGCAGTAGTAAAAAAATAATTAAAAGGATGCTACTCTGTAATTAAAAATATAAGTACTGGGTTCACCTTTTTTGTTATTGTATTTTAAGGAGACTTTCAAAGTTCACAAAACAATATTAAACTGCTTTAAAGTAAACAATAAATAATTTTATTTTGTGAAGCTAAGCATATAATATATTTTTGTATTTTGTGAGTCAACGATATGTACAACTGGCGAATGCTCACTTCGAATGGTCTTCAGATTTATTTGATTGAGCTGTAGTAAAAATTTCACGTACTGCAAAAAATTTAATTTTTTTTAGAATCCATCACAGTTGTAAAGTTAAAGTTATCTTCAAAAATTCACCTTCACCACCATTGTATTTTTGAGAATCTGTTCCAATACGCCCTGTAAAATATTTATATCATTAGGCATAAAAATTACTCAAAAAAGAGCAATAAAATAAAATTGTAAAAAGACGTATTTATTCAGAATTATTGTTCTGAATAATAATATGTATTCTTCTCCGAGTTATTGTTCTGAATTTATGTTTTAGCTTTGTTGTTTGCTGTGAGCAAACTTTAGAGTGCTTACAGCATGTAACAAGATCTTGATATATTGTTTACAGGTATACCATCTTGTAGAAGGACGAAGTAAAGAAACTTTATTTTTTGATGATGACTTGGACGAGCACCAACCATTTCCGACTTTAGAAGATGCTCTTAAAGCAATAGATATCCATGTTGGATTCAATGTAGAATTAAAATGGACAATGGAAATGAATGATGGCACATTTGAATTAAACAATCCATTTGATATGAACACTTATGTTGATAAGGTAAGGTGATAATTATATCTAATTTAAATAACAGAGAAGATCATTATAATAATTAATTGCCTTGCGTTTTAAAGATGACTAAATTTTAAAACTTGTTAGTTGTTCTTAGTTAGTTAAAACTTGTTAGTTGCATTAATTGCATGATGGCCATTTTTCGTATCTGTAATACCAAGCACCTTCTTTTTTTATACATATCTATATTAATTTATTATAAAATTCAAATTAAATTATATGAGTAAGATAAACAAACTTTTTTTTTAAATTCTTTTCATTGTGTCGCTTTATTTATCAGTGTACATCTTCAGTACTGAACAGACTTTTATGTAGTTTTAACATGTAGACTTAGATTTATTTACAGTAATTAAGCTTCGTTCCATTAAAATCCGATGTCACAAAAAGCTGACATTAAATATTTTTTAAATGATTTTTATGTTATTAAGATTTAGTTACACAGCAAATAAAATTATTAAAATGAAAGTAACTGTCTGTATCGAATTCACGGCCAAATTACTGAACCGGTTTTGACGAAATTCCGCATGGAAATAGTTTGAACCCTGGAAAATAGAATAGGCTGCCTTTCTTCCCACTACTGAACACAGCTCTCCGACTATGTGCTGTAAAGAGTAATCCACCCTGGCACAGCTGCTAGTGGGAAGCTACTAGTGTAGTATTCTTGTTTCAGGTGTTGGAAGTGGTACTGAAACATGCTGGTGAACGCCGCATTGTGTTTTCTTGCTTCAATCCAGACATTTGTACTATGGTTAGGAATAAGCAAAACAAATATCCTGTAATGTTTTTGACTGTAGTGAGTATAAATGGCGTATTAACTTGGTATTTGTAGAAATAGTTTTTTTTTTTATTGCTTATATGTGTGGACGAGCGTGAGCTGTGAAGCCCACCTGGTGTTAAACGGTTACTGGAGCCCATAGACATGTACAACGTAAATGCCACACACCTTGAGATATAGTTCTAAGGTCTCAGTATTGTCACAACGGCTACCCCACCCTTCAAACCGAAACGTATTACTGCTTCACGGCTGAAATAGGCGGGACGGTGCTACCTACGCGTGCGGACTCATAAGAAAGAGGTCCTGTCACCAGTAATTACGCAAATTATAATTTTGCGAGTTTGATTTTTATTACACGATGCTATTCCTTCACCGTGGAAGTCAATCGTGAACATTTGTTAAGTACGTATTTCATTAGAAAAATTGGTACCCGTCTGCGGGATTCGAACACCGGTGCATCGCTAAATACGAATACACCGGACGTCTTATCCTTTAGGCCACGGCGACTTCAAATTAAATGCTTTCCTCCGGAAAATATATTAGTAAAGACAAGGCGAGTTCAAGATAGGCTCGACCAATGCATAAATAGTTCATCACGAAATTTTAGTGTTTCTTTCATTTAGAATTTACAGTTTTATGGCATATATTTTAAAATTGAAAATATTATAAATATGATCATATTTAATATTAATAAATTAATTTGAATTTATATCAAATTTTCATTATATTTATTAGATTTACTTTTTCTTAATAAATTAGAAGGCACTTAATTCGTTACGTTATGTTAATTTAAATACCGAAAATGGTAATCAAGAATAGTCATGTTTATTTAAATACATAGCTACCTAAATTAAAATGTTATAAAGGAAACATCTGTTGTTTTTGTATTAATTATTTATTCATGTTATCTATGAATGATAAACACGTCTATTTAGAACATTCAAAACAGTAATTTACAGTCTGAAAACTTATTCTAGGGTATCACTAATAAGTACCAGCCGTACCGGGACCCAAGATGTCTGTCTATCCCGGCGGCCGTACAAAGCGCTGTGAGCTCGGATCTGCTCGGCATCGTCGTGCACACCGAGGATTTGCTCCGTGATCCTACACAGGTAAGCTAATTAAAAATTTCTGTTGTGCGGTTAAATACAACTATATAGTATTCGTTCAATAACCAAAACCGACCCTAATTGAAAACTCAACACTAACATTCATTTTATATATTTCGTTAATTATTTCATTAACTTAAACCTTTTTTGTTTTCGACATTGTTTTTTTTAAAGTGTGCAAGTTACACCTCCCACCCAACTGACGGGACAACGAATAGCCGCCGTCGCCGAATATTATTTCGGAGCCTCCCGATCCACTCGCTGCTTTTAGGCATTTGGGCCGTTCTCTGTTCTGGTCTACTGGTGGTAGACCTCTTGTGAGTCCGCGCGGGTAGGTACCACCACCCTGCCTATTTCTGCCGTGAACCAGTAATGCGTTTCGGTTTGAAGGGTGGGGCAGCCGTTGTAAATATACTTGAGACCTTAGAACTTATATCTCAAGGTGGGTGGCGCATTTACGTTGTAGATGTCTATGGGCTCCAGTTACCACTTAACACCAGCTAGTCCACTATTCTAAGTAAAAACAAAATACGTCTCTCGTCGAGTTCGACGTATAACATAAACTACAGAAAGAACCCACTGAGTTTCTCGTCGGATCTTCTCAATGGGTCGCGATTCCGATCTGGTGGTAGATTCTGCGAAGCACTGTTTTTTATAGGGCAGATGTTAGCAATTTTTTCTAGACTGAGCTTCTAAAGCCTCAAGTCTCTAAAAGCTGCTGACAGTTAGGTAGGAAAAAAAGTTAAATGACAAACACCAGAAAATATAATTTAAGGATATTCTACTCTTTTGTATTTTATATGGATCACAAAATGTAGTGGCGAATGTAATTTGTGACCGGTTTTTATGCGATTTACTACTTCAATATAATTTTATGAATTGCTAATGGCGACATCGCTCTTTATAAAATAAGTTACCGCTAAAGAAAGCTTTCACGGAATTTTAAACTAAACGGATATTAAAATAAACATAAAAAAAATCGGTTTCTATTGCTTTTATTTGAGGGAACTAAAGGTATTTTTAACAACAAAAAATTGCTTATTTGTTTGATTTATCTAGTCAAACGAACAAGATAAGTCCCTAATAAAATCGATCGGCACGAAATTTACAATAACGTGGCCTTGAGTCGAATCCGGCAACAGATTAGATCGTACTATGGGACGTCACGTGATAGATCACGTTGCCAAGCTTTGCTCACGCAACTCCTCTCAATGTTACACTTTTGTAATTTGTTGCGTAAATAACTTGTTTATTTGGTTTATCCGGTCAACAGCTTCAACATCAGATATTCACAATTGAAGATATTAATATTATAAATTAATAAGTGAATTTAAAATAATAATGAATATTAGGTATCTCGCTTAACACGTTGAAATTATACTTTCTCCCCATAGTCGCACCAATATATCGAGAATCGTCCAAAAATCTTTGGGATGTTCTTTTGCGAATATTTTCAGAAAATCTCACTTATTAAAATAGTGATACTAATTAATATTCTGAGATATCAAATGGCAGGTACCAGTCTCGGTCGAGCTAAACATGGTTTCTAGTGTGGCGTTCAACGTGTTATTTATTTTATCTCTTCAGACTAGAGAATCTTGTGCGATATTAGCTCCGAACATGGCCTACTACTAAAAGTAATTTGCCACAATCGATACGTCATATCAATATTCTCAACTCATTAACCTAACAACCTTTTTGATTGCTTAGGTGGGTGGACGAGCTCACAGCCCACCTGGTGTTAAGTGGTTACTGGAGCCCATAGACATCTACAATGTAAATGCGCCACCCATCTTGAGATATAAGTTCTAAGGTCTCAAGTATAGTTACAACGGCTGCCCTACCCTTCAAACAGAAACGCATTACTGCTTCACGGCAGAAATAGGCAGGGTCACACAAGAGGTCTTACCACGTACCACCAGCAATTACGCAAATTATAATTTTACGAATTTAATTTTTATTACACGATATTATTCCTTCACCGTGGAAGTCAATCGTGAACATTTGTTGAGTACGTATTTTATTAGAAAAATTGGTACCCGCCTCGGATTCGAACACCAGTGCATCGCTTCAACGTGAATGCACCGGACGTCTTATCCTTTAGGCCACGACGACTTCAAACATTTGTTAAGTAGATACGTATTTCTGAGTATTTCATTAAAAAAATTGGTATATGCCTACATGATTTGAACACCGGCACAGTCGCATCGCTCAATACGAATGCATCAGGTGTCTTGTCCTTTAGATCACAACAATTTCAGACTTCATTTGTGTACAGTAAATAATAATTTTCTTCGGATTTTATTTGTTAATACACTATTTTTAATAATAATGTGTTAAAAATACGAAGATATCCAGATGATTTTACTGTGCTTTTCGAGAAAAATTACACAATATTTAAATGTTGGTGGGATCTGTTATGATAGTATATGCCGCGCCAATAAAGAAACGAATCTTAAATGGCGGCGGCGATCATGCGCTCTCACTCTAAAGTATTGCTGTCTTTAGTCGCACACGGCGCGTACAGCATGCAAAAAAAATATCAGTTCTAACCTTGTTGTTGAGTTCGAGTTTTTTTACTTTCGAGTTGTGCGAATTAGATGACTGGCAGGAAAAGTGTTTACGCAAGTTGCATCCCAGACGAGACACCTCCCCCTCTGCCAGGGCGTAAAGTAAAGTAAAGTACATTCTCATGTTTTTTTAAATATTTTTTTACAATAAATAACTTTTTCTTTCTATGTTTCTTTTTATTTGTTGACACTACCATCTGTCAGTGTACCTGTACCTGTACCTTGTACCTGTACATAGACGCCATTTTCGATTCGTTTCTTTATTGGCGCGGCTTATACACAGTCTGGCAATTAAACAGAAATTAGTTGTTTCCTCGAACTACCACTACTACTCATCTACTGTTCTTCCGTATTAATAGTAGTAATATCCTCACGTAAACCCTGTCATCCTAAATCTGTTTATATTTCCATTCACATAAATCATCGGATTTCTATTCTTCTGACCATACTATACTATAATATATCGGTCGAGTATTTTCGAAGATTTTATTTTATAAAAATGAATCTCAGAAGACAAACATTATTGTTTCCAGGTGAAATTAGCGACAGATGCAGGTTTAGTCATATTCTGTTGGGGTGACGACAACAACGACAAAGATACGATCAAGAAATTAAAAGAAATGGGGCTGCACGCTGTGATCTATGATAAATTAGATCAATACATAACCAAAGAAGTCAAGGTAATTTATATCTTATTTAGAACTCGTAAATGCCAATTACACTTGATTACAAATTATCTTAAAAGCACAGCCATTTTATCACGCCACAAAAGCTTTATTTTTATTACTACTTGGTGCTATTAGCAAGCTTTAAATCTTATATAGTTCAATCGCTTCACGCTTCTAGGGATCGTTTTCAATTTTGCGGCCAAAAAAGTAACGATTTAATGAATTTAAACTTTCTTCAATTTTCCATTTTTTTTTGTATTTAGGCATGTTCAGCATAAAAAATGCTTCATCACAATCAAGTGTATCACTCATTTATTGATAATATTATATAATATGTTCATTTATATTTTTCATTGTACACATTTGATAACGCCAACACGGAGGACAATTTAAATAGGAACTTTTTTAAAAAGCTTTCGTACTTCTTTTGTTATTAATAATGTTCTAGTATCCAGTTAGTTTTCCTTTTTTATTGTATATATATACTGATTAAATAAAATTGCCGAATTTCAACACGCATTACTGGAAAAATAGCAAACAAGTTAGAATTTGAATTTCGAACCAGTGATGCGAATGAGGTTTGAGGTAGTTTTAATGTATAACTTCTAATTTAACAGTGTTTACGAATATATAGTTATAGGAACACGTGCCTGTTGTCATGACAACAAATTTACTGTACTTATAATTGAGTCGACTATTATCAAAGCCGGCAATGTGACTTTTGGAAAATTAATGGTAAATCAGAAAAACGAATTATTGACTTTGTATTCCATTGGCAGTCACAAAACTCTTCTGATCGACATCTTAGATAAATAACAAGTTAAGTATTAACCTTTATTTAATGCAGGTTTTGAACCGTATTCTTTGAAGGAGACGATTATATTCAAATCAATCTGTATTGACATATCAATAATTTTTTTTTGTCCAAATGCACAGATTGCCACCTTTGATAATAGACGACTCAATTACGGTAACATTAAGGTTATGAGAATTAAATCAAATAACTCGCTTTTGGCCCCAAATATGAAAACGACCCCTAGTAGTAATACATTTTCATGATATAATTGTTCCAACATAATAGCAAACAAACTAGTTATTTATCAAGTAACGTGTAAATCTACTACCATTATGACAATGTACAGGAGAGCATATTCCTCGTCGAGGCCCGAGAGTCCCAACGAGAAATAATGCGACTGGCGGCGTTTGAAGATTTACATCCACCTGGAAGCTCTTCGTCACTCCAGACAATTGAATCAGAAAACCGACCTTACTTTGATCTCTCTATCCGTGAAAGAATACAACAAAACTCCACAGCTACCTCCCTGGAGTCTCTCGCTTCCTCGATGGACCTAAGAGATGAGGCTCCCGATAAAAATTTAAAAAGAAACCGTGAAATTATATCCGTAATCGACAAGGAAAGTCAAGTCAAAGAACAGCGGATGTCTTTTCAGGGACTTTTCCCGGCTGGAGATAATTCTTTAGGGTTGTCAAAAAAATCCCGCACGATCGAAAACGATCGTAAAGACATGTGAAGTTTCATCTCATGTAAATTAATTGCTCAATTTGTAAAGAAAAAAAAAACGCTGCATCGTGAGATAAAAATAGTTGCAGTAACTCCATTTTATGTTATATCAATAATAATATCTATACAATATTATTACAATTTAATCTTATTAAACAAATATTATTTTTACGTTTGATTAACGATAATATGTAGAACCCAATGAATCCAATATTTTAATTTCGTTTTGAATTAGGCTAGTAATTTTACAATTTAAACCAATGATTGATTTTAAACAAATATTACTTATTTACCAAATAAATGTAATAAAACTATTTTTACAGTTTAATTTCGAGTTCAGAATTATCGTTTTATTATTTCCGACTTTTGGAATACTTTACAGTTTACGTGTAAGGTACGAATGACGTGTAGTTCGTCAATATTCAAATATTTGGCTAACTACTGTCAATTTCTTTTATTCTTCAATTGGTTATTCATTTATATTTTTAAATTATATATGTAAATTTTTTTAAGTTAATGTTATGTTAATAATATACAATTATTACATCAAAATACTCTAATAAAAGATACAAATTTTGAAAAAATAAAATATTTTTTTAATAAATTGATAATTACCGGTAGTAAGCAAAATATTTCAATGTCGACAAATTAAACCGTAAGACTAGTTTTGACTACGACTCTCGGAAAACGAATAAAATACTGTATTGTTTCTAAAACCATACTTAGCTTTAGTTCACATTGTTGGGCTTAAATTTTATACTTACTTCCCACTTTTCTGTTTAGCTCATAAAAATAATTTAAATAGAAAAATGCTTCCTTAATTAATTTTACGTTGAAGTAAATTTTTAGTCTGTGATAATTTATAATTTTATTAGAATGCAATTCCCGAAAATGTCTCCAGTTGAATACAAAAGTAGTTTTTTTTAGTATAATTCATATTTTTAGTATAATACATTAAATATTTTTTTCGTGATTTTTATTTTATTTCGCTTCCCATCATTTTGTAATAATAATAAATATGTAATTATAATTCTTATCATAATACCGTAACACTCACAAAATACATCACACCAATACCTAATTAATAAAATATACTTATTGCCTATTTTGGTTCTCTTGCGAAAAGTATTTACTCAAATTAAACGCAAACTTAGCATGCAAATGGATACGAAACAATCATGACGTCGGTCTATTTAAGCTCACTAAAATAATTATTTCTTGTTTGTGTTGATAACGTTTATAATACTCATTTTTACCTGCGATTTCACATGTGGGGATCGTCTTAAGTTAATTATTTTTTTATAGATCAAGCACTGAAATAAGTCTTTTGGATTTTAATTTATGGAACTTGATTTTTTTCTTGTGAAAGTTTTGTTAACTGTCGTGAAAACATTGTAGTCATCGTGGCCTAAAGGATAAGACGCTCAGTGTACTCGGGTCAAGCAATGCCACCATTTTTGTGTTCAAATCTAGCAGACATGTTATCTAATTTTGTAAAGAAATACTTTCCTAACACGTGTTTTCGAATGACTAGTAAACACAAAGAAAAAACATCGTTATTTTTGTATTGTGTATAAAAATCAAAGCCCTATGTATTGTACCCCGGAAAGGATAGGTTTTTCTTTTTTTTTCTCCTACCTATGTTGATAGCCTTGAGAGGCTGTTTCAGCTTCTCCTTGACGTGTAGGTCACGGGGCTCAAAACTGGAGTGTTGCTAACACTGGCCCTAGCAAGAGCAGTGCTTCGCAGAATTTACCACCGGCTCGAAAACGCGACCCACTGAGAAGACCCGGCGTGAAACTCAGTGGGCTGTGTCTATGGGTTAATTCACTCGTCGAGCCCTTTTTCGCAAGCGACGGGTTCGACGAGGACGGTGATCGATGCTTGTGGTACCTAAAAGCATCGTTAATAGATCGGGAGGATCCGTAATGATGTGTTTAGGGCGACGTCGACTGTTTACCATTCGGTCCACAGGACCGGGTATGTAATTTACGGCGGCCACGACAAGAGAGAGGGTTTTCATGTCGTGGTATAGCCTTCTCGAAGTGGAAGGATAGGTGGAATATCCTTCCTATATCTGTTACGAAGCAACAATGAGTTCTGGTTTGGGAATGTCGTTATATAAAACCATTAAAACTTCGACCTCATGTCTCTAGGCTCCGGTAATCAATTAACACCAGATGGCCCAGCTGGTTTAAGCAACAGAGAAAAAAAGAATGCAATTCCAATTTGTTTAACTATTAGCAGTATCAGTTGCCCGATGTAAGAATCGTACTCAAGATCCTCGACCACTAAGTCGAACGCTAACTACTACGTTACGGAGTCAAACATGTTTAAAATTTTGGGCAAATAAGAGTTATTTAACACTGAAAGCTTAAATGCAACAATGTTTAATATTTTACTTATCGCCTCCGGAAAAATGAAATATTCGAAATATGAGTCAATTTAGACTTGATACTTCTTTATCAATATTATTAGGCGTTTATTTATGAAGTAAAAAATTAAAGGTATTTGGCCCCATTGTTTGGTTTTGAAATTCAGTGAAACGAAAAGGCGACGCATAAAATTTTCATCATAGAATTTAGTATGAGAGATAATGAAATAAATACATTATTTCTGAAGGTTTTACTTTAACCGAGTGTGAATTAAACGTGTTTTTCTCTTATTATGTATTTACCTAGACGTTAATATGTGAAAGTGATTTCTTTTACTGTCCATTGCGTGACCAAAGTTACGTGACCGTCGTGAATTTATAATTAATAGGTTACACTGCAGGCGAGCAAGCACTTTCATGATTTATATTAGTTTTAACTGTGTCAATGTACTCCTTTTCCTTGCTTTGATCATCCTCAATGCTGAGGGTCATAGAGTCTTAACTTTCTCTTAGACTATCTTGCACCAGCTCAGTTCTATTCTCGGCTTGCGTGGTAGGCATCCCGGATTAAGGTGTTGAGGGTAGAGCGTATCGGGTCCGACCAGTGCATTGGACTTCTGCGAACGTACTACTTATAAAAAATGCAATACAAAATTGTGTAGTCAAGTTGCTGATTTGATAATAAACGTGGAAAGATGTATAGCTTCACTTTGTGAAAATATGCGTTCGACCTTTAACCCTTTTTTTGTATTTATTTATTTAATGCTAATACTGTGCTATTCTATGCAAATATTTATGATAAGATATGGCAATTACTATTTTGTAAGATTTTTTTTAGAAAATTTTCTGTGGAATATGCCCTGGCATTGATGGTGTACATGAGCGATGGTGACTATTTACTTAAATAGAAGAAATCGCGTAGATTTTACTTCGAATACTAAAATAATAATAATTGTTTTTACGTTAATTTTGCTGCATGTCTGTACTAAAAGGATTTAGCAGATTCATCGGGAAATGACAAAGGTGCTCATCAGTTTTAGATCTAGTTTAATTAAATTTCTTAACGCGTCTTAGTTACGAACGCTTTTGTGGAAGTAAACCAAAGTAGCAAAAGTGAAATGAAACAAAAATATTAAAGGGATTATATTATATTTCAACAAATTTAATATGTATAATACGAAGGTAATATAATAGTTCTTATCTACTTAGTAAGTACAGTTTAATGAGGACGGAATGTTTATTATTCACAACACATCACTATGTAATTATAATTTGATGTACATCATCAACATTTTACTTAAATACTACACATGTTTTAAAATTATAACGTGTGACGTTAAAATTATAACTACACATGTTTGTAAATTATAACGTTAATTGTACATTATGAACATGTACCTACTATTATTTACAGTCTTCTTGTGTAATTTGCATGAAATTTTTGAAATCGTCCCTTATTGTATAGTGTTTTACAGTGCCTAAGTGTTTTATTCAGAAAAATATTATGACTAGTAAGACTTGTGATTCAAAATTTGATTTTAAACAATTTTAAAATATGATTGCTTTTTTATGGGTGATGTCTACCTGGAATGTCTACCTGGATCAAAGATCCCATAGATGGTGAATCCCGCCACCCATCTTGAGAAATAAAGAGAAAAATTGAAAATCTCAGTTGTATTGTATTATAGCTGCCTCGTCACCCTTAAAACCGGAAAGCCACGACTGTTTCGTGACAGAAGTAGGCAGGATAGTGATGTGGTACCCATTTTACGGTTTATGATACGCTCTATTACCACTAATTAGAAATATTAATTTGATTTTTTATCTTAATATTAGTATTTAACATGGAATGATTATGAATTAATATGTGAAGTTGTTGAATACAAGAACATACAAGTACAACAGGAAAATTCATTTTGGAATGTAACGCTATAAATTGGCCGCTTCTGCACAGCACCATATATATATTTAAAAAAAGGGTGCGTGTACTTATGTACGCGCGTAAGAAGTTATACTTTATTTTTATTAAATTTATTTCTTTTTTTTATTTAAATTTTAATCAATTTGAAAAAAAATCGATTACACAACATCCTCAAACACGCATATTGGCATCCCTTTTCTTGACATCGTATAAATTCGGTAATTCTCGGTACGGTTCGGAAAGTTCTCCTGCGGCTATATTCAGACTCGCCAAGTTACGTCGGTCATATTGTAATGAGCGATTTAGTGGGCAACTTCATTCTGTTAATTTTGTGTCACGGTGCGCGCGCATCGTAAAATTTCACTCTCATAAATTTTTCATAACGCGCCTAAAGAAGTATAACTTCAAAAAATAACAAAACAAGGCTACGTTCAGTGAGGCTACGTGAGACATTTAAATTATAGTGTCCACAACCGATTTATTAATTTATTTGTATTTATAATTAAAAAAAAAAACGATAATTTTTCTGCACTCTTTCTAAAGAACTGTTTTGGCAAATAGTGCTTTAGAGGGTTATCAGTTTATATAACTATCTAATATCAAAGACTTATATTATTTATAAATATTTAAAGAATAGTAATTATGAAGATGTTATTTTAACGAACTTAAGAATAACAGTAAAACTATAAAATAAAATTATTCCATACAAGATTAAACAAAGTAAAAACATTTCATAATAATATCATTCTAAATACTGTACGTGACGTACCTACACGTTTCTGTAAAATGGAATATCGGCTTATTTCATTTGAAAGACAATATTAAACGAATTTGTTTTACACTCACAAAGTCAATTTCTAAATGATACATTGTGACAGTCACGTTTTTCGTCAGAAATAGACGCGAACGTCATCATTACACGATTAAAAAAGTATATATGATTTTGATCGAATCAGTAGCAGTGTAAATAAATAAAAGTAACGAAAATTACTACTCTCAATGACATTTGATTTTTCCCTGTATGTAACAATACATAAAGTTAATAAAAATTATATGTAATAAGTTAAATATTTTCGGCTTGAGATATTTTAAATATTGTTACGAACTGGGGTTCAGAGTTCTGCATAGCTGCTGAGAGGGCAATCGGGCGTCGAATAGTGAAATTAAGACAAGTGTCGTTTAAAAGATAGTAGAAAAATCAATAGTGAGAGCGTTTAGGCAAAGGGTGTTAAGTTGTATGGAAGAGTTCGTAAAAGTTCTACTGGAGTAAACTAAATTAGTTGCAGAAATTCTGTTGCGGGCGACGCCGAAGTAGTTTAAATTTGAAATTATTTAATAAAATTGAGTGTGGAAATGTGAATCGGGACAAAGAATTATATGTATTTTTCATAAAAATCAACGAAATGACTCCTTGCTCGATAACACTAAAAATTACATCCGAATGTCTATTTATAATTTTATTTCGAAACTAGCGACCCGCCCTCGCTTCGCTTCGGAACATTAAATTTTATTATTGATAGCTGAATCCCGCGATGTTACCTGCGGTTATTGTCGTACCGCGGGTGAAGCCGCGGGGCAAAGCTAGGCTAAACAAAGTAGCCTAAGTTACTCCTTATATCATCAGCTACCTATCAGTGAAAGTCCCGTCAAAATCGCTCCAACCGTTCCAGAGATTAGCCGGAACAAAAAGACAGACAGACAAAAATTATAAAAAATCAGGGTTAAATGATTCATTATTTACGTTAAATTTGACGCTCTTTTGCTCTCTCACTTTTAAAACCGTTTTGGATATGCAACAAGGCTTCTGACTCAACAGCTATTTTTTTATTAAGAAAAAAACTATATCCGAAGTAAATAATAAAAAAATTGTAACTACGATAAAAAAACATAGATTTTTACGTATGTAGATACCTATACTGTATGTATATTATAGTTTTATTTGATATACCAAGCGTTAAATTTTTCAAATAAGCATGTTCTAGGATTGTATAAAGAATTGTTCTTATGTATACCTATTGTTAACGCCTACGAAATTTTACTGAGCAATGTTAAATTTTTATTTATGTTCACCGACACAATTTTTACACACTTCATTTAATGGCCGTGCCAAGCTAACTTGTTCGCAACGTAAAAAATCAAGAAAAACACTGTATAAAGAAAATACAAGCACAAAATCGATTGTGGAAGTTTTATTGAAGAAACCCAAGCATCCAACACCTATATATTAATACGTGAAGCAAAAACTTTGTACCCCTTTTTACGAAAATTGCGCGGATGGAGGACTATGAAATTTCCCACACTTATAAAGAATATAGAGAAGGAGTGCAGAATGTTAATGTTTTTTTAAATTATGCATAAAAAATAAATTAAATCAATAAAAAAGACACGAAACACACTACCATGTATTTGACACACACACGCATATATACTCTTTTGTTTATTGTTAAAGTCTTGGTCTAATTGAGAATAGATTAACATTGTTTGTCTTTATATATTATTTGTCTATAGTGTAGCCCTGGAAAAATCTGTGATTAAAGAAGAATCATAATGTTCAATGTTCTATTTTAAATTAATTATGGTCGAATTTCGACCACAGGGCGACCACTAGTATTAAATTAAATTGTAAGTCTTAAACATTTTTTAATTTCACAATTTTAATACTTCTCGTTGAGGTTTAGTTCCTGTTGGTTATAATACTGCAATCAACGGTTAATAACTTTTCCTTTTCTTCATTAGAAATTAGTTAATTATATACATAATCCCTACTGTTTGATTAAATATAAAATGCCACATCAAAAATATAATCATTAATGGAAATTAAGAAATAGTAGGCCTATGGACGGATTTAAAAAAATATAATAATATACTTCAGCTTACGTAATACAATGATAGTAAAAATATACAAGAAGATTCTGTTAAAATTACATTTCACATACATTTCACGAAAGGCTTTTAAAAATGTTTTAAATTAAATAACATAATAAATAAAATAAAATGTAGATAATACCTAAACAAATATTTTTTGTAAAATATTGAAACTTAAAACTATAAGTAAGTACTGATTTAATGATATGTAACTGTACTAATTTTATTTTAAATAATTAACATTAGTACCGTAAAATGGGGCGATTAGGGATGTAGAGGTGATTGGGGAAAAAACCAGGAAAATCTTTCGACCGCAAATACTAGTTTTTTAATCGTTCCATTTTTTGTAGTGTCATAGTAGAATGTTGAAAGTTCAAAAAACAACTCTGAATATGCATGATAATAGCTGCTAACTTATAAAAAATCGCGTTTCAAATTAACTTCTTGTGGTGGTAATTATTTTAGTGTTAGAAACTTTGCTTTCTTTTATTTACTTTATAATAATATAAATATAAAAGACGACTGTGATTTATAAACGCAATTTAGTGTTTGAACCATCATATATATTAAAGGTAAGTCTCAGTTGTTATTGGTTTTAATGTATTTGATAAAATAAAAATAAATGTAAAAATCTGTTGTTTTTGGGGATATTGGGGACGTCTTAGGTGCAAATAACAACGAAAAAGGGGTCAATTGGGATGAGAATGGAAACGACCTATGTATAAATAAATATGTACAGGTTTCTAGGGTTGTCTGTGTAGTTATAACAATATTTTTTAAATGTGTTGGTAAGAATCTGGTTTATTCATGATGTTTTTGTCTACAACTTTTATTCAAAATTATCAATGCAGTGTTATTTTATTGTTTAGCAAATATTTATATCCTCGCATGTACGTATCAAAGAGTGTAAATCCTTATAAGAGATATGATCCCTTAATATTAAAACAGTAATAGAAGCCTATGAAATTAGGAATAAGTCTTTAGTTGAAATAGCTAAGCAATTTAACATAAGTCAGTCTGTTTTGCACAGACATATGACAAGAACAATGAAATCTCAAGGTGGACAAAAATGTCTAAGTGATACATAATAAAATATATTAATATTTGTTCAAAGTGGGGATATCCACCTGATTAATCCATGGAATAACGGACACACCTAAGCTCTTAACTCAGATAAAAATATCAGTTCCTAAGTACTTACTAAGAACGAAGAAATATAAACCGCTTATAAGAAAGCCCGCTCGTTCGAATTTAGGTGCTTACCCTCCCTTAAACAGAATCGTTTGGGACTACAATAATGTCCACGGTAGCGCGGTCTCCGTTAATGTTCATTGGGAGTTGTCCGATTGCGCTGAACTAACTTTAAGTGATGAAATAGATGTTTTTTCTAATTGTCTCACAACTTACAGGAAAAATCTGTCGCGGATAATTTCTCAAGTAAATAAAAATTAATAAGTAATTAAATGTAATCAAGTTATATATTTTTTTATATTTGTTGTCAATGCACTGTTGATTGCACCTATGATTGAGATGACATCTGCCATGTACTTTTGTCAGTTTTTCAATGTTTTTTATTTATGATCACTTTGTTGGTGCAACTAAATAAATAAATTAATTAAAACCAAGGAGTGCCAGCCCTAGCAAATTTCTCTATGAACACTAATTTTGTCCCCAATAACCGCAAATTCTGGGTAAATAGGAATAACACCTATTTTTGCTTTTTTTGCTTAAACTGGAATGCTAATTGCATAGCTTTAAATTGGATAACAAAGATACCCTCAAGACTCAATCATTTTGACCCTGATATAGCATTTTAAACATCAACAACTACCTTAAAATTGTTCATCAAGTTGGAATTTGTCCCTAATCGCCCCATTTTACCGGTACTTATTAACATTTAGTGTAAATTTCAAGAAAAACATTTTTCTTTAATACATTTCATTATTTTGATTGGACAGTGAGAAATACTTGGTTATACCTGTGGGTGGCTTTGCTTTGAGGTGATCTTCTATGTATTGACATGGACAGACATACTTATGTCCGTGTCGGCCAGGTACATTCGTACCGAGATTCAATCTGTTTTTGAGAACATACGCGCCCCATCTTGCAGCGTAACGTAAAAATAGAAGCGCGCCCCGTTCCTGAAATTAAAAAAAAGTGTTAAACATTTATGCAATTGTGGTGGTGGATGAAGTAAAATATCTTTTAAACCATGCCAACTATCACTTAATATTCCATGCACAACACAGTTATAATCATTAAAATGCAATTATATTCTAATTAGTTTATAACTTGACATAGTTTAGGTACAGTCATTAATATAATTCCACCACCAATGTAAGTAAGTATACAATGAGTAAATGAAACTAGACTTGCCAAACGTGTAAGTAGGTGTTTGGTCAATCAAGACCGCGGCGCCTGAGCCAATCGTTGCAAAGGGGACAACAAGCTCTCGTATCTTTAGGTTCTTTGTTCCGCAATATCTCTTCAACATACTGGCAGGGGCACAGTGCTAAAGGTAAATGGCGGGGCGCCGCGGGGTTGCCACCCTCCTCATCTAATGTCCAATCGAGTCGACGACGCAAATAGTCCTTGCCCCATCGCTGCAGGTATCGGTAGAAAACTTGCTCTTCTAAACCCTGCACATTCGTTACCGTGCTTACCCTCTACAGCTACATACCACTTTACTCTCTAAGTATGTATTAGTATCACACTCTTTTTAGATCATGTTTTTCTGCATTTTAATTGAATTGTTAAACTTATGCATTAGGTATAATGATAATGAACTAAACTAAATTGTGTTAAATTTTAATGAGCTATGTTAAATTTACAATATTATGCGTGAGTATTAGAGTATTGAAATTTAGATTTAAGGGTTCAGATTATATAGCTTATTTTAGTGATGAAAATGAATATAAGTGTAAAGCATATTTTTAAATTAAACAACTTTTATTGATTATGATGCAAATTGTATTTAATATTATTAGTTGCATGTAAATATTATGAAATTGAGAAATGTTGAATCTTATCAAAAGTTATTTAATTCAATTGATGTCAGTCGCAAATTCTTATTACCAAATTATTGTGTTATGATTGATTATACTAGCTACTTATAAATTATTTTCTCAGATATATTATGAAGGTACATACAGGTTTTTGAATGAGTTAAAAATAATGCTGTGTTTTTGTAAAAATATTAAGAACTGTGAATAACTTATTTATAAAAACTATGTTCTTCAAATTCCTATATGTACTCATTAAGCATAATTTCTCAAAGATAGTACCTGTTTACGTGATAACCTAGTAGTTTGGCTCCCTTGAATAACTATGTCATTAGTAGTAATATCTAGTCGTTGCTCCCAACCTTGCATTATAGTTTTTCCTTCTTCACTGTCAATGAATTGTTGTATGTGCATAATACAAGGGCCAGAGTCAAAATATATGAAACACAAGTTCACTTTATGACATGAAATTTTACCCCTATCATCTAAGGCCAAAATCAATTTATGTTTGTTTAATAGTTTGTTTACTCTTGCCAGGCATTGGTCCAATCCTTTAGATAATTTTAATTTTATCCACATACAGAGAAATATAGCAGCAGCATTGAAAATGAGCCACAGTACTCCTAAGGAAAACAAGGTCAAACCTGTTAACCCTGAAAACAGCAGTGCCAAAAGCACGAGAAATGCAAGGCTAATCCAACAAACAAGAACTCTCTTATAACATATGTTGTAAAGGGTAAAGCGAGCATCATTCACTAGTAATTCCATGGCATGAACATATTCCTCGACAGTCAACTGAAATAAATTCATTTAAATTATGATAATGCAATAACACACATAAGACTATATTTAAACAGATATTACTAACAGTTAAGCCTTGTGCCATTAATTCTTCAGGTACTAATTCTGGCCTAAACTGAGCTGCTGTAATCCACGGCCACTTAGTGTTAACAGGTAACAATGTCACTATTATGTCACCATTCGCTGAAAAATTAACGTCCATTTATTAATATTACTTTAAGTAAAGGTAAAAATCCGGTTCATTAAAGTTGATACAATTGTCAAACTTACAGAACCCATGGCGTACGTTGACGAATTCAACATTTTTCGTTAAAGTTGATTGAGTACTGGATTCCAAATTTTTATCTCCTCTTTCAAGATTCACGTGAACTGTTTCTGTATTCAAAACAGCGGGAACAGTAGGACGTGCCGGGGTTTGCGTTGAAGCAACAGGTGGTGTTTTTGTTACTGCTATTTCATTTTCAGAATGGGAAACAGTTGGTGTTTGTTGTTCGTCATCAAATTGTACCCAACCTTTGCGTATTTTTTCTTCGTGTACGTTTCCATTTCTTTCATTGACTTCAGAAAACTCAATGCTGTTATCCGCATTATTCATTTTTCTTGAATATTTATACGCCTAACATTAAGTTTCTACCTACGTAACGATTAATTACAGAATAGAATACTGTACCTACCATAAAACACTGACTTAACTGGTTTTGTAGTGTTTACACTTTACTGATTATCCTTTGCACAGTAACATTCAAAATGACGACTTTGACGCCAACTGCTGTACCCGGAATTCGGTGATTACACTGTCCGAAAAAACCGAGATCCAGATCCAAAAAACTGATTTTCTCTACATCTAACATGAAGTTTGTGTGCGAGAGAGAAGGCCCATTCATTAGGTACAGTTTTTAAATGTGTTAGAAAGAATAAAACATAATAGTAGAATATATNACATGAAGTTTGTGTGCGAGAGAGAAGGCCCATTCATTAGGTACAGTTTTTAAATGTGTTAGAAAGAATAAAACATAATAGTAGAATATATGCTATGAGTCCAAACTCCGGACTATTCATACCCGGAATTCGGCGACTCAACAGTTGACGCATATCTTGTTGAACCCGGAATTCGGCGATTGCACTGTCCAAAAGTTAAACATGATTAAATTATATTTTTCTTTTAGTTTACATAGTGGCCTGGATACTAGTCTTTTTAGTCCAGTTGAATGAATAAATCACAAGACAAAGCAGTTTGCGATAGATGATATTTACACTATCTAAATCTGTTCGACTCTATAAATCGACTAATTTGGAGACTAATCTATGCCTGTTGTTGAATGGGGCCCACCTTATTGATGTATTTTTTTCCATATCTTTTTGCTGATAAGGCATAGACCTATATAGTAGGGACACGACATATTGTTCTATACGTACAATTGCTTATATAAATAGCACCCATTTTGAAGGCACACACATAAACATATATCTATCTCGTTCTTACTCAGCACTTTAACTCGCAGGAAAACAATATAACAGTATTTCAGTGCGTACATAAAATGAAACATGAATATACGTAAATATCTCCGTCTCCGTCTAATGAGGCCGAAAATCCGCCATGTTTAGCGCGCCAAATGTCATTGTCACGTCAGTTCGGCCGTCTGTTTTGGGTTGTACATTATTTATTGACTTTGATATCGATTTAATATGATTGATTATATAAAATTTCATAATTTATCATGCTTAAAACATACAAAAATAATAATTAAAACGTATTTTATAGGATCTCAAGAAAGTCGATGCCCTAAAACTATTATCTATATGTATTTAAATTCATTATGGAGCCCTCATCCGAAAAATCCATTTTTCGGTCGGAATCTATTGATCATGACACTAATCATAAATACCACTTTAAAATATGTCATCAAAACATATTTAGACATTCTGTTTAGATATTTCGGGAAAAAGGCTACCGACAAAATCTCTTCGGAACTATTTAAATAAAATAGTTTTATTCCGCAGTGAGTAAAACACTATTGTAAATTCGTTAAATATTTATTAATTAAGTGATTTTAGAGAGGAAGTCACAAGGAATGACGTTTGTAATTTCATTAACGAATAAATGTTCTGTAGGTGTTTTTTTTTATCAGGCGGTCCCTTGATAAGTTTAAAATTTGCGTGCGGTGCGGTAGTGCGGTGCACCTTCCTTGAGGTGCGCTGCGGTAGTGTGTTACGGACTTTAGAGTCAGCAAAACAATTAAAATAGATTGTAATAGTCTAAGAAAAACACGTACTCAAAATACGATAACATTTAGCATGCTAGAAATGGGCTGATGGTACTGTACTATGCCATATCTTTATGTTTTGCGGCAAACGACAACTTTATAAAATCAGTGTAGCAAATTTTAAAAATCGTCATATCGTTTACTTGGAAAATTTGAAGCACGAACTCGTCTTAGATTTCACATAATATCTAAATCACATCATCTTTGCACATAACAATATACTTACTTCCTATTAAAGTATAAATTCTACAAATACATTCATACTCAACAATATTTAAAATAAAATAAGCCAAGAACGTTTATCAATAAAACCTACTAACATTAAAATCTTCTGGGCAGCACTAAAACCGCCATGTTTGAGGCCAGATGACGTCACAGTGGCACGAATTTTTTGTTGACGTTTCATTTCCATAGGTTTCCTACTTCAGTGTGATAAGGGGGCTATTCCAGCTACATCGTTGGTACATTGGTACTTTGTTAAACAGAGATGATTTTATTAACAGTTTCTTCAGAAGAGCGGCGCGTCACTAAAAATCTCTTAACGTGGCTGCCTCCTCTATACAATAAGATCATATCCAATATAATTAAATGCAATAGAATATTATTAAAGTATGTAGGTACCACAAAAAAAGATTGACAAGAATCAAAATTAAAACCATAAAGTAATTTGAAAATGACATTGGATAGACGGCCACACTTTCGTATATTTACTGATTGTTCGGTAATTTTGTGAACTGTAATTTTTAAAAAAAAAATATTCCTTTCAAATTTGTCTTTATAATAAGGCAGTGTTAAATGTTAAATTAAAATAAACTGTTTTCAGATGAAAAATCTTTACATTTATTTCTCCTTTTTAGCTCCTGACCTTTTAGTCTTGCTAACTTTCATGATTCATCAGATCATACATGACATATTAACGGGAAGTGCCTTTAGGTTTGTGGCTTATGCGTGTAGATAAATCAATTTATTTGACAGATGCCTGAATCAAAAATTTTCAAAGATTTCAATCTAATGTTTTGTAACTGGTGCGACAGAAGTTGAATATTTAATAAATTTACTTCTGATTCCTTTGGAAATTCGTCTTATTCAAAGTTTTATTTAGCAAGAAGATCCGGCGAGAAACTCAGTGGGCTGTGTCTGAGAGTTAATTTACTCGTCGAGCCCTTCGTCGCAAGCGACGGGTTCGATGAGAACGGTGACCGGTGCTTGAAGTACCTAAAAGCACCGTTAGTGGATCGGGAGGATCCGAGATGACGTGTTTTGGGCGACGTCGACTGCTTTCCATTCTGTCCGCAGAATCGGAAATGAGATCCGGCGAGAAACTCAGTGGGCTGTGTCTGAGGGTTAATTTACTCGTCGAGCCCTTCATCGCAAGCGACAGGTTCGACGAGAACGATGATGCACTTGTGTGACCGAGCTTTGCTTCTTAAATATTAAGTGTTCACTATTATCTATGGCTTGGCTCCATTGGTTTGTTTATAATTAACTTTTCAAATTTTATTATATAGGTGACATCTATCATACAACTTTTGAAGTGTCAGTATGCTCACAGATTCAAAAACAATTTTGCAATTTACCTTAGATATTCACTAGATGGCATTATTGTTATCATAAAGTGAGCTTTTTCACCTACTATATACCTATGTACATATACATAGACATAACTGTATTTTCTATGTTCTATACACCTACGCAACTAAAAAAATATTTTTTAATGATGTTAAATTTACATAGAAATTGGGAATGTCAATTATGCGTAAACGGTAACAGCGACACGTAACGCTGCGCTTTGTGGACATGTGCAAAATATTAATTAATACCCAACTCATAGAATAGAAAACAATTTATAGACATACAAAATGTATTACAGTAAATGGTGATATGGGTTTTCAATAAGCCAATTGAAGATTACCTATGTTAGTTTTTTTATTACTAACAAAACTTTTAGCAACTATTATTTTAAAAAATCCGCTTCCTTAACTTAGTCTGCGCAACAGGAATTTACCTACCTGCTCCACGATGTCCGAATGCGGTTTGACCAGTTTTCTTGCTCACACTCGTAGTGTCTTGCGAATTCCCTCCCACTATCACAAACCAGTCTATCGCTGTACCGGTCACATAATAACCGTTTACAAAACGGGCCACATTTAATTCGTACTCAGGATAAAAAAATATTTTTATAAAATCTATATTTCTTTTAATCAAGATGTTGCTTGTGGTTTGAGAATAATACGCCTGTTTTAGAATTTTCTGTGTTCTTTAGTGTTGTGAGTAATAATTAGAGGTCGTACCGTATATGGAATGCTTTATAATACATTTATTATAGATAATATGGAGTCTTTACCAAAGCAGTTTGTAGCAGCTATGAGAACATTGTTTGATATAATGGATGATAAACACACGGGTTATGTTAAACTAACAGACATTGAAAACCGCTGGCGTGATGATCGCACGAAAGGACTTCCTCGAGGTGTAATTGAAAGTTTACAAAAAGTTGCTTCTCATGATGGACTATTAACATTCGACAGGTTTTGTACGGGTTTAAAAATTTGCCTTCTACGTAATCAAGTCGACAATACAACTAGTAAAGTGGATCAGCATGAAGCAGACATAAAAAACTCTGATTTAGTAATGGCAATAAATACTCAATCACAGCCTTCTTCGACAAATTTATTAGAAGACGATGAGGTTAACTTACATAGAAGTTGGAATGTTATGAAAAATGCAGAGACCATGTCACAGTATAAAGATTCTAACAGCATGGTTCAATTATTGACACGAAAAGAAACAATAATACAAGACTCTAGACATCATGCACCCAATGGGAAACACGATCATGGCTTAAGACCTTTTGGCCCTCCAAAACCTCCAAGAATTCAAAACCAAATTGCAGACAGAAAAGATACAATTAGATCATATAAGTCCGAGATAGAAAATGAATTTGAAACTGAACAAACAACAACAAATAAATTAGATTTTGATGAAATATCTCGCGCAGTTGAGGATCAAAGTCGGGAACTGGGAGATGGACGATCATCTAATGAAACACAAATTCAATTGCGAAGGCCAACGCGACGTAGAGAACCGCGTCGGCACACCTTACACAATGGTGTTGATTACAATCTTCTTAAACGAATGAAACAAATTGAACAAGAAAAGGATATCTTATTACAAGGGCTATCTGCGATCGAAGAAGCACGGGAATGGTATTTTAAACAATTGACAGAAGTTCAAGAGAAGATGCGTTACGCTGGCAGAATGGGTGCTTATGTGGTGGGTGATAGTAAAATCTTTACTTTCAGTAATATTGTGACAACTCGTTTATTAAATTGATAATTTGTTTTTTTATTGCATAGATGGGTGGACTAGCTCACAGCCCACCTGGTGTTAAGTGGTTACTGGAGCCCATAGACATCCACAATGTAAATGCGCCACTCATCTTGAGATATAAGTTCTAAGGTCTCAAGTATAGTTACAACGGCTGCCCCACCCTTCAAACCGAAACGCATTACTGTTTCACGGCAGAAATAGGTAGGTTGGTGGTACCCACCCGCGCGGACTCACAAGAGATCCTACCGCCAGTAATTACGCAAATTATAATTTTGCGGGTTTCATTTTTATTACACGATGTTATTCCTTCACCGTGGAAGTCAATCGTGAACATTTGTTGAGTACGTATTTCATTAGAAAAATTGGTACCCGCCTGAGATTCGAACACGAATGCATCGTCTTATCCGTTAGGCCACGACGACGACTGATTAAATTACTATATTATGAAATTATCAAAATTACTTTTATCGTTATACTAGACAACGTAACTTTTAACCAGCTAGCATGGGCAGATGAGCGCACGGTTGCCTTATGCACTCTTCATGGCGCAAAGACCCTACAATATGAGGAGATAATACGGTAGTATTGGTATAATCTGGAATGTATGAATTCGCATCACAAGAAACCAGGATCGGGGTACTAATCCATGCGGAACTGAAACATGTACTTTTGGTACTTATTTAAGGGAGCTAAGTGATTAGGAAAATAGCCAAGGATGACGCTCATGATTATTTCAGTTTTCACCGGTCATCGTTCTCTTCGAACCCGTCGCTTGCGACGAAGGGCTCGACGAGTAAATTAACCTTCAGATACAGCCCACTGAGTTTCTCGCCGGATCTTCTCAGTGGGTCGCGTTTCCGATCCGGTGGTAGATTCTGCAGCACGGCTCTTGCTAGTGTTCGTGTTAGCAACGTCGTCAGGGTTGAGCCCCGTGAGCTCACCTACTAGTTAAGGCTACGCTGATATAGCCTCTCAAGGCTCTTAGCTTAGGTAGGAAAAAAAAACAGTTTTCCTTAAGAAAAGTCCATCTGTTCGTGTGAAAAACACTGACGTCGTCCGTCTCTGAAAGTATATATTTTTCAACTATTGCAGATATTTTTGATTTCTTTAATGATTTCAATTCACATTGGTTTGTTTAGTTGGAATCATGCTGTAAAAATCCCAAAAGTCAATAAATTATTATTAAATCTTGTGACCTGCAAAATAATACAAATTTTAGGTCTACGAAATTAATTTCATTTGTATTATGTTTATTTTCATTAAGTTCAACAAACACACAGGAGCCTTGGAGTGAAGCACACCAAGAGCGGCTGGAACTACTGCGCGCAAGGGTTTTGGAATTAAATCGACAATTAGGAGCGTTAGCGGCAGGCTGGAGACACGGTCCTCTCTCTCTGCATATGAATTTGGCTTTGCCAGCTTCGTCCCTCTCCGGGACTCACGTCACGTCGAATAATGCTGCAGTACTCAGATCCCAAAATCGTATGTTAGCAGAGGTTAGAAGAAATTTGATAAAGACATACCTACTCACTTCCCACGGAATTAAAATATGGATAGTAATTAATTTCGTTGTAATGCACCATAAGATAAAAATAAAATCATTTTAGTTGAGAAAATAATAATTGCATGCAATGGTTCTTTCATCATTATCCAACCCCCCCCCCCCCACATTTTTTTCATATTCAATAGTAAATTTAACTTATCTATCAAATTAAAATCGTGTTTTTTTCTAGGAAGTGAATAAGAAGAATGAAAGAATATCAGTTTTGGAACGAGAAAAGTCTGCACTCATTCGAGAACTTTTGCTACAAAGAAATAGAAGTAAAATTATTGACAATTTTACGTAAAACACAATAAGATGGAATCATTTAACACAGTTCAGCTCTGTTGTTATTACATACAATACGATTATTTTCAACTTGAGATTTATTTTGTTAATCAATAATCAATTATGAAGTCTTGACTTTTAATAATTTTTGAATTCTCTTCATAGCATTTTCAAAAATCATTACAATTAAAGTCATTTCAAAATCAATAGTATGCGAGGGCATAAATCTGCTTTCAGACTAGGCTACACTATAGTGCCACACAGCATAGCAGCCTATACTTAGCCAATAATATATAGTACAGTACAGTGGGAACGTGTCCATAACACTGTATGGTGAGGTGTGCGATATTGTTGTGCTATGAGCTTTAAACTATATGCGTATACTGCAAGTCGCAAAGTTCATATTGACAACCCGAAGCTAGTAGCCCTAGCCCATTGTGATTATTATTATTTATAGTACTTCGTACAATTAGTCGTTTTTGTGTTACTGACATTTAGTAATGTTTAAGTAGGTTCACACTCCACACAATGATGGAAATTCAAACGAATCAGACCTTAATACAACACAAAAAGACCATAGATAATACACTCAAATCTCTTATGTAAAATAATGTACTAATCAATGTTTACTTAAAAGATCCACAGTTAAAGGTCTGTCGTAGCCATATATTGTAGGTAGAAACCAGTTTGTGTATATTTGTAATACATTTGCACACCCTTTATTTTATGGAGGGTGACAGTCTTACGTTAAATACACAATTTTGTGCCCATTGTGGATAGTAAGGTGGTATTAAATTGATAACTTTTAATATAAAAATATCTACCAATTTCCAAAAAAAAAAAAATGATTGTTCTGAAACAATTCTTAATACATAATGGATAATAGTTTGATTAAAATTACTGTTTAAATATTTTCAATGATAATTGCTTCTAGATCTTCCATTTTATAGGATGGTATTTAGTATTTACATAATATTCTCTTAAGCAAACTTTTTTATGGTGTTAGGTATTTTAATACATAAATCAAACATTTATTAGTATTTATCTTTTAGTCTACTATGGAAATTAAGAAATATCTAAGAATTAATAGACCTAATAATTTTCTACCTCCATTGTAGAATTTTCTAAACACACTTGAAAAATAAGATTTATTACATAATTGAGATTAATTTCAGATCTCATGGTGCAATAGCATTCACTGGTGATATTTATGGATTCCAATAACTCCTCAATACCAGATGAACCCAAAATAGTGAGCTCATCTAGAGCAAAAAAAATTAAGTTATAGAAAGATAAAAGATATGTGCCATTTAAGGTTTTTTTAAAATGTTATTTCAATACTTTTATATTGTATTTATGACGCAATTGTGTGATAATAGCCATAATAACATACTTCTAATGTATTAAATTCTTAATAAAATATTTATTGATTTGTGAATCATATTTGTTTTACAAAAATACACATGTGTTAGGATGCTGTCCGTTTATTACTACTCAAAACTCAAACAGTACTATTCTAATTACATCAATTCTGGTGGGATGCAGTACTTTTGTTATAAACTGAATAATCATATACTCTGAATGGTACATCATATGTAAGCAAACCTTGGTCCCAAGCTCTTTCAATAGCAACCAAGAGTTCTTTGTGTTTTTTCTGGCATAAGCCTGTCTTTGAAGGTTGTAAAATCTGTAATCATAAAAACAAATGTTTATTTTGAAACAGCCACTTATTTCATTCTGACAAAACAACAACCCAACCAAAAAATTTTAAATTTAGAATTTGATTGCTTACTTTATCCATTTTTCTATATATTGCTTAGATAAGTAAAGCCACTCAAGGCCCTCCTGTTTTTAGGTGGTTACTAGAACACAATTTGAATATGGTAATCCACCTTGAGACACAAGGTCTAAGTATCAATTATATAGAATGGCACACTTCAGACTATTATTTAATTATACTTTATAACAGAAATGGGTGATGGCCGTCTATGTGAGCGCACAAAAAGCTCTTAACAGCAGTAATGCATTTTGGTTTGAAGGATGGGGCAGCCGTTGTAAGTGTACTGAGAGCTTAGAACTTGTATTTCAGTGGGCGGCAGCATTTACATTGTAGATGTCTATGGGCTCCAATAACCACTTAAAACCAGGTGGGCTGTGAGCTTGTTCATCCATCTAAGCAATAAAAAAAACACTTGTAGCATTGTAAATCTATATCTAGTTATCGAATTCAGGTCAGCCATTTAATACTTATGTTTTTATTCTTATAGCCTTCATTATTAACCACAAATTTAACTAGATAATACTATACATTTACGACATGTTATTAATTTTATTAGGTATTTACCTGTCCAGTATAATTCGAAATGAATTGTTGAAGTAACTTAGTGTTTCTGTGATCTAGTACCAGATATTCATCTCTACAAATAGGACAAGGATTTCCTGTTGAAATCATCCCGTTTCTAACACAAGATTTCCTTGTTTTTCTAGGAGGTATACCACCTTTATGATTACGCCGATATAATAGCCACACTGGATTTTCACCGTAGGTATGCATATACGCTTTACTTGCCAAATATCTTAGACTTTGTTCGACTGGAATAACTTTGGTCCTGTCCTTAGTAGGATCAACCGCTGGTTGCTCATCGGATTCATTGGGTCCATTATCTGTTGATGAACAATAGAATCGAACAGATGATCTTAAATCAGGTAGAGTTTTATTTAACCTCAAACGAAGCACACTGAACAGTGCCATTTTCTTCAATTTCAGAAACTATGTCTTAATGTTGACTTATTTTAAACTCATTTCCTTCTTTATTACTTCATCTGTAAATTTTTTTTGAGCAGTGAATTATAATTATGTTGATTAAATATTGTAGGTAGGTAGGTATGTATCGGGTTCCTACTATTTTTTAAATTAGATTTCATAGACAATAAATACAATAAATGTATTAATGTCGTCGTAAATACACATAGAGAAGAAGCAAAGGAAAATAATCCCATAAATCCAGTTGTATGAAAAGTAAAAAAGGCCGTGTAACGCAGCGTTCCGTTTCGCGGGGCAACAGTGGCTAAAGGGATTGTGACTCGGGTCCGTGCCACGACGACCCACCCCAAGCTACCCGCGCCCGCGTATCTATCATGATCTATCGCACCCCCAATGGGGTTGGCAACTGTCAAAGTGGCGCTGGTGTGCATTGTTCCCATAACATTCAATATTTGTATTGGAATTTTTGGTTAAAAATTATTTTAAGCACAATGACGCGTTGTTTAGTGCCAATATGCTCAGAAATTGGAGTACATCAATTCCCGAAGGACAAAATAATTGGAATACTGTGGTCAAAGGTCATTTGACGCGAAAAAAGTACTCTCACAAAAAGTTCGAGGTTATGTCGTAAACACTTTGTGGAATCTGACTATGAAAACATTAGTAAATACACAGGTATGCTTCTTTCTGTCAAATATTTATAATGCATGACTAGGTGTAGCACACATCTTAGTTCCCTTATTAAAAAAATCCAATAATAATTAGTAAGGCACACTATTAGTTGCTAACATATTTTGCGAGTAGATTTATGCTGTAAGGAACCTTTTAATAAACATAAAATCAGACTGAAGGAAACTCATTCCTCATGAGCTGTTGTTCATTATCAGCTGTTACTATTGAAAGTTCTATCTAAATCGCTGCATCCCTTGTAATAACAAATATTTTGAAACTATGGTCAGTCAACATTAACATAAATATCTGAAGAAAGGCGCTGTACCTGTATATGTTTATGTATGCTGAAGAAAGGTGCTGTATATTTTCAGGAATATGAAACCAGTTTCTGAAGAAACAAAAAGTAGAGAACAAAGGTTACAAACTCGTAACCTTAAAAAACAGCTTTTTAGCCTGCCCAACACTTCCCAATACTGTGAAGATATAGTACCCCTTGAAGAACACAGCAATGTGCATTTTGATATTTTGTTGTAACATGGATAAATTTTGTCAGTGATATCTAGAGCCTAATTGACATTTGGCCTAGCCGCAGCTTAGTAAATTATTATATGCCTAATTGTTTTAGAACACATTATCCCTCCACAAGGGTGATTATAGATGGGACTGAAATAGGCATACAGAAGCCTAGTCAACCTGATGCTCAAAAAGCGTCATTTAGTTCTTATAAACATAAAAATACCTTGAAATTTTTGGTAGGAGCTTCACCAGGGGGATTATTATCATATGTTTCAAACGGCTACGCTGGTTCTGCAAGTGATCGACAGATAGTAGAACGAAGTAAGCTGCTGCAGATTTGTGATTCTGGAGATAGTATTATGGCAGACAGAGGTTTTAATGTACAGGATCTGTTTGCCTCTAAAGGAATTAGTATAAATATCCCATCTTAAAAGGAAAATCACAAATCCCAGGTGTTCAGTTAAAGATAGATCAAAAATTAGCTAGTCAGAGGGTTCACATAGAACGATTAATTTCATATGTGTAATGTTATGTAATTTTAGAGAAGGCATTGTCAATAAAAATAATTAAAAATATTCCTGATTTTTTATTTCGACAAGTGTGTATAGTTATAATACAGATATTTCTCATACAATGCTTCTTTGAAAATATTTTCATAAAAGATATCTAATTTATTTAACATATTATTTATAAAATTATTGTCTTTTTCAACATAAATCACTTTGATGTCCTTGTAGGTGTAAATGACCAAGTTGCAGTATGTTTTGCCTGAGCAGTATAACTGCCCTTGGATTTGATAATAATATGGGCAGGTTTTTTTAGAGACAATATCCCGTTACATTGTTCTAAGTAAGGCACCGTTGTTATATTTATTTCATGTTTTCTGCTAGCGTATGGACATTTCACTTCAATTATAGTTTCTTCGCCCAACACACCATCAGGAGATGCAGCAAGATATGGGCGCTCTTGGCTAATGAAAATGCCACATGGCTCCACTAGCACATCATATATATTAGCATATTTTGCATTTTGTTTCAAAATTAAAATTTTGGTCATATAGCTCTAATCTGAAAAAAGTAAAATAATACATTAGTTGGTAGGTAATGTGTGTAATATGAGCAGTTCTTTTTGCACATGCTACAAGGAATAAAGTTCCTAAGGTACACAATTTAATATTATTATTATAATAGCTACCGGAAACAGTTTGAGAGAAGTTTTCTAAGTTAAAATAAAACATCAACATTGTACCTTTCGACAAAATCCACTTTTTTCCTCGTAAAGATGCACCACGTTTTCTCAACTCCTCCTTTAATTCTTTAACTATCCATTTGGAATACATGTTGTAAAACTGTTTAGCACTACTTAGAAAGTAATAAGAACCGTATCAAAGTCACAAAATGCCGAAATATCACGAACGCAAAACACACAAAAGGCGGCTCTCTGTGACAAGGGAACAAGCTACGCTGGCGACATCTGAGAAAAGCTTTAACCGGCCAACGTTAGTGCGCGCGCCAGACTTTGAAGGGACAAATACGCGTCCCCAGCCGATACCGGGACTGACAACCCGAGAGTCTCATGCCAGTCGGGCACCCAACATTAAAGCCGGAATAAAATACTATTGATTAAAGAATTAAATGAAATGAAAAAAAATAAGTGACATTTTAAATGAGATAAAATATTTAAAGGACTTTTGGGAAAAACCCGAGATATCGTGTCTAATTAATAGCATAATAATTTAGATTACTTTTTTGACCCTTATGCTTTTCGAAAATTACTTAACAATTAATTCCCTACTATTACTACGCCTAGAGAAACCACGCAAATGACAATAAATTGAAAGAAATACATGTCACCTCACGTTCCAGTAATAATGTTTTAGATAACAATTATTTTAGAGATTAATTGGTATTTATTGTTTACAGTACCGTTTTTTCCTGTCAGAAAGGCAAATTAATGTGGCTTTTCCAATTGAGTATTTTCTAATACAAGATCGAAGGCCCGTTTTCTCTACACAGTAGGTATGTTAGTGAAATGGTAGTGAATTACTGATAATTCCACTATTTTTAAACCCAAAGGTCTTTAATTTTTGTTCCATTAATCCAAATTTGTACATTTTTGCAGAAACTAAAGACAGTTTTAAATTTTGAAGTCGTCGTGGCCTAAAAGATAAGACGTTCGGTGCATTCGTACTAGCGATGCAACTGTGTTCGAATCCCGCAAGCGGGTACCAATTTTTCTAATGAAATACGTACTTAACAAATCTTCACGATTGACATCCACGGTGAAGGAATAACATCGTGTAATAAAAACCAAACCCGCAAAATTATAATTTGCGTAATTACTGGTGGTAGGACCTCTAGTAAGTCCGCACGGGGAGGTACCACCACCCCACCTATTTCTGCCGTGAAGCAGTAATGCGTTTCGGTTTGAAGGGTAGGGCAGCCGTGTAACTATACTTGAGACCTTAGAACTTATATCTCAAGGTGTGTGGCACATTTACTTTGTAGAAGCTTATGGGCTCCAGTAACCACTTAACACCAGGTGGGCTGTGAGCTCGTCCAAACACCCAAGCAATAAAAAAAAGCTTCAAAAAGCAGTAAATTAACAAAATAAAACAAGCAAAGTTTTCAGATTAAACCAACCATGAGGTTGTGCTTCAGGGGATAGAACTATTTATTTATAATTAATTATATGGCTACGTCAATGAAGTAAGAAAATAGGTCTAGTGACACGGCCTTTATTTACTTTACATTTGTTGTTAGTGTCTCTACATACATCTCCTCTGCCTATCTGTTTGAAAAGAAAATACAAGAAAAGTCTATGTTTCAAACACAAACGTTTTATTTTCAAACTTCAGTTTAAAATTTGAAAATGGTGGTGATTTGTTGGTTGTAATCAAATAGTGAATTAAATACAGTGACTTCTTTCTTGACACATTATTAAAGAGAAATAATTTTCTAGTATACAGAATAAATACAATTAATCCCAAATAAGCACGGTGACATCAATAAAAGACAATAATAAAAACAATTGTTAATAATTTTTTTCATCAGCATCCTTCAAAACTAGGGTATGTTTAGAAAGTGTTATGTTTATAATTTCTTAAGTAAAAGTTGTGTAAGTTTTGAATGAATTAAACTTGAAACAAAAAATATATTATTTTATACTCGAATTTAGAGTTTGCAGTTTATTTAAAGGAGGTAGCTTCGTTTAAATAAAGCTTTTCATTGTTAAAATCGCGCTTAACTTGTTTATTTATAACCGTTTTAATACCCGTAGTACGGTTTTTACATCTCTGAACAATGTAATGAAATATGAAATGAACGAAATGAAGTCGTCGTGGCCTAACAGTTAAGACGTCCGGTTGAGCGATGCACCGGTGTTTGAATTTCAGGCGGGTACCAATTTTTCTAATGAAATACGTACTCAACAAAATAAATGTTCACGATTGATTTCCACGGTGAAGGAATAACATCGTGTAATAAAAATGGAAACCCGCAAAATTATAATTTGCGTAATTACTGGTGGTAGGATCTCTTGTGAGTCCGCGCGGGTGGGTACCACCACTCTGCCTATTTCTGCCGTGAAGCAATAATGCGTTTCGGTTTAAAGGGTGGGGCAGCCGCTGTAACTTACTTGAGACCTTAGAACTTATATCTCAAGGTGGGTGGCGCATTTACGTTGTGAATGTCTATGGGCTCCAGTAACCACTTAACACCAAGTGGGCTGTGAGCTCGTCCACCCATCTAGGAAATAAAAAAAAAAATATTTTTTTTTAAACAAAGGTACATAAAATAACAATTGATGCATTAAACCAGAGGCTTGCGCCGACCCTTAACGTTTCTTTAAGTCATAATAAAATTGCGTTCGCGTAGTGCCAACAGACCGTTTCTAATAATACAAGCTGTCAATGTCGATAGGCTCTGTTTTAATGCATTGCAATGAAATTATTTGACCAAATTGAAGATTTTTTCATACAGCTTACAATACAATAAAACCTTTAAAATATCTTTCTAATTTTTTCTTAAGTTTCATAGTAGTCATCCCTTATTATTTTTTTAAACTGAGCAAATATGCTATATAAAAAATGATAAAAATGAGCACATTTGCTCAGTTTTGGCACAAACTTATGCAAGGATTTTTTTATAATATTAAACATATCATTATCGCATACATGACCATTTAAAAACTTTACACATTTTTTATTTTGTAAACTCTACTACCTTAAATCTTTATGTTAATCATCACAGTGCATTTCCATATACTATTTTGCTATAGACCACCTAGCTCTATATTCAGTTTACCTTCATAGTGTGCTCTGATCTTCATAACCTTTCCTTCTTAAATGTATTAAAAATGAATGCCCATCAGTATGCACTAACTTAGTGATAGGCTAGATAGGCTAGATACCATCAAGTTACCTTATTCAGTATACATTATTCTAAGTTTGCGTGTATGTCTATAGCTGTTTGTGGGCATTATTATTTATGGATATTAGCAATACCAGAGATACATCTAAGTATGCCCACTTTCACAAAAAAAAATTTATAAAATCTTCACATGTAAAAGTAATAAAACTTCTTATCTTTTTGTTTTGTCTTTGTTTTAAACTGTACCCTTTATTAATTTGCAGTTATAGGTCCTCTGAGTCCAAAAGATTGTGTTTTTCAATTATCTCTGAATTAAATTAATTTAAAATATACTCCCAATTAAAATATAAAATTAAATTCAAAATATTTTTCATGTTTATCATTTTGTTATATTTATTTTCTGACATTTCAAATGCTTTAAAGTTATTGCAGCAATATCTATGAATAAAATATTTATTATAATTATTATTATTATAGTTAAATTTTATGACTTTGCCAAAAGTTTAGAAAATACAACAAAGTGTTAAACTGACCTAGTGGCACAGTGGTTAGAAAATTTAATTGCTTGACTGACAATGGTTGTAAGTTCGATTTCACTTCAGGAAATATTTGTTTCATAAACATGTTTGTTTGATTTTTATATTTTTTTATTGCCCTAGTAGACAGACGAGCGTACCTGATGGTGAATGGGTACCGCCGCCTATGGACTTCAGCAATGCCAGGGGCAGAGTCAAGCTGCTACCTACCGTAAAACCGTGCCGTTAATGTTGGGCCTTTAATAAATGTAATTGCAAATGTAAACATGTATAGATTTAAACATATTATTATGTATGTAAATCTTAGTTTGGAGCCAGCCATATTATGTGATTTGTTAACAAACGCCCCAAATTGAGAACTACCTCCATTTTTATATCTAGTACATTAAAATAGATAAATACAGAAGTTTATCGTGAAATAAAATATTAATAATTTCCACACATACATAACATGTGTAATTTTATGAAATACATAAACTATTTATTAAATACTAGTGAAATTCAGCCACTTTTGTTGTGGCTAAAGTAATTGCTTGATAAATATTTTTCGAAAAAGCGATGCGACACGATAACCCTATGTATCGTGACCGCCTCAAATTACCCGACCTTGACGTCGGAGCAACGCATAGGCACCGTCGCTCCAAACTTGCCTTCTCGAACCCTTCCAACCCACTTATGGTGGGTGCATTTAGGCATTCCATGTACCGGTAACCGTTTTCGTCGAATTCTTGAATGAATTACAGACTGCGTAGATCTATGTGATGAAATAGCATAATTAAATACAGAAAAATAGAAAGGTAGAAAAGAAGAAGAATAGTACTATGAACCTAATAGAATTCTAAATATTCTCAAAATAGATAATGAGAATATTTTTCTGCGGATTTAATTAACGTAAATTTAAATAATCAAGATTTAAACCATTCAATTATTTTGTAAATTATGATTGTTTCAGTAAAAAAAAAACATATTATAATGCGTAATGCGATTTTCAACTTTTACGTTCAGGTCGGTGAACTAAACAGCAAAATCTATTGCTGCTATTACCACTACTACTACGATACAATTATATGGAGCGTTCTCAAGCCACGAAGGCTTAAATTTCTGGAGGTTTGTCGTAATAAATAACCGTCCTGACTATTTCTACCGCGAAATGATTAATTAATGCGTTCGGATTTTAAATTATTCAACGGCCTTTATGGAAATGAGGGTTTGAAGTCATATTTCAAGGCAGTTGCTCGAAGCCACGCACGCCGCCTAATAGTATTGAGCATAGATTTTATGCTCGTATAATTTGTCAAAGCTAATAAAAAAATATGTTTCTTAATGTTTTCAGGCAAATATAGAATAGAAATAAAGAATACGTCCTCACTATGGCGGAGATAACATCTGAAATGTTAATGTAAGTTTGTAACTTTACTATTTTATGGAACCCACGGCACTCATATACGCTAAAAACTATCGTAAAATACTCGTATTTATTGTATTAGCAAAATTTTAATTTAAATGTTTAAAAAGAGTGAGTGTTGATTTAAATATGATCATTTAAAGAAAATTTAAAACTTAATGATTATTTTCCATTAAATCAATCTGTTTATTTTAACTATTAATTAATAATCGATGACATTTTTTGTTTAAATAATATCACACGTGAAAAGTTACTTGTAGTACATCTTATGCTTATTTCCGCAGCGTCCCCTCGCTTGCGACGAAGGGCTCTGCGAATAAATCAACCCACAGACACAGCCCACTGAGTTTCTCGCCGGATCTTCTCAGTGGGTCGCGTTTCCGATCCGGTGGTAGATTCTGCGAACCACAGCTCTTGCTAGGATTCAGCTCTTGTTAGCAATATCGTCCGGTTTGAGCCCCGTGAGCTCACCTACTAGTTAAGATTACGCTGATATGGTCTCTCTAGACCATCAGCTTAGGTAGGAAAAAAAAAATCCGCAGCGAATTATTAATATGTTGTGGTTTGAAGGATGGAACAGCCTTTATACTATAAAATTGAGAAACCACTACTAGGTAGGCCTTGATTGCTCAAGGCATACCTAGTGGTGGTTCAACCTCTATGCAATAAATAAATAACAACAAAAAATCTTCAGGTTATGATTTGACATGCCGCTATGCAGAGGTTAAAAATAAGTTTAACCATGTTCTATACAGGATAACGGTTAAACAAATTTTGTAGCTATTTGCAAGAACTGACTTGGGTATTAAAGTTAGTAAGTTAAAACGGTTTCTCGTGCTGTATGAGGTCTCGCGTTATCGTGGAGCAGTAATGGTGAAGATCGATTCATGAGTCGGGGCTGTTTCACTGCAAGTTTTGCTATCATTGTTCGGAGTTCGGCGCAGTAGACATCTGCCGTTATTGCTTGACAAGATCGGAGAAAGCTTTAGTGAAAAACACCATGCAAGACCACCAAACAGTTTCCATTATCTTTTTATTGGTAAGCTTTGCTTTAGGACACTGTTGTGGCGTTTGAACTGGGGTCAGCCATTGCATTTTTCGCTTACGGCTATCGTAAAGAATCCACTTTTCATCACATGTCACAATTCGATCCAGTATTCCTTCATTTTTGTATCGATTCAAGAAGGCAACACAAGTTTCAACACGCATTTCTTTCTGCAGATCAGTCAAATCATGAAGCACCTATTTTTCACATTCTTTTATTTTATTGCATTGACGTAAGTGAGTCAATATTTTTGGTAACGTAACGTTACACCATGCCGCTAATTCTTGGGTAGTTTAGCTCGAATCGGCTTCCACCATCTCTTTCAATTCATTGTTATTCATATGTGTGGGAGGTCTTCCATGTGGTTCGTTCTTCAAATAAAAATATACATCACGAAAGCGTCTAACTAAACCAAAATCGCACGGTGCGTTCATTAGCAGTCCCCTCTGCAAACGCAACATTGATATTGCGAGCTGTTTCTGCAGCGTTCGTTTCGCGTCGGAACTCGTATTCAAAAATTTTTCTTAAGTTTTTTTTTTTTTTTATGATTGATGGATTACTGGTGGCCCGGAGGCCTTTCCAGTTTCACCAGGACAGGTGGGCGAGCAAAGGCTCAGCCAGGAGGGGTGGGATTTGCTAACAACTACCCGAGCGCCTCCGAAGGAGACCTAACAACTCAAGAGTAGCTGCTTCGCGAATGAATCTACTACCGGATCGGAATCGCGACCCGCTGAGAAGATCCGGCGAGAAACTCAGCGAGCTGATTCATGGGTTAGGTTGCACGGCGAACTCTTTGTCGAGTTCGACGAGTACGGTTACCGAAGTCCCTAAGCCTGCTCCTAGAGCTGAAGGCGTCTAGTGCAAAGGTTATTGGATCTGATGGATCCGTAAGGACGTGTCTAGGGCGTCGACGGTGACTGGCTCCTGCATGATCAGGATTCGGGGAGTAGTCAGCGGCGGCTACGATAAGGCGATTATCATGACGCATAGCCTTATCGAAGTACCGTTCCGACGCTGACTTCATGTATTTCTGTATAGATTCGAGGCCCAGGTCGTCGTGTAGGTCAACGTTCCTCACGAACCACGGAGCTCCGACGGCTAACCTGCAAAAGCGGGATTGTAGAGATTGAAGGGTGTCTATGTGTGTGCGGGCCGCGTGAGCGAACACCACACTCGCGTAAGTCATGACGGGCCTTATGCAAGTTTTGTAAAGTGTCACCTTGTTCCGAAGGGACATTTTACTCCGCTTACAGATCATGGGGTAGAGTCTACCGAGAATAAACGCGGCACGGTCACGGACTGATTTTATATGCGGGCGGAATGTCATCGATGCATCCAGGGTAACGCCCAGGTACTTGACCTTCCTGGCCCAGGGTATGGATTGACTAAAGAGAGTAATCGGGGGTGTGAGATTCCTCCTCCTAATACGGGAGGAAATCCGTGTGGATTTTTAAAAGAAGAACCTCATACCATTTGAAGAAAGTTTTACTCAAAAATCTCAAACCATGAAGGTTCTATGTCAGTTCGGAGTACCTATTACAATAGAACGGCAATTTCATGCTTTAACCCTTATTACAATCTCCTTGATTTGTGGATAAGTTCAGAAATAGCTCGCAGCTAGCTTGCATGCAAATAGCTAGCATCAGTAAAATTTATAATCATAATAATATGTAAACGATACCTACGTATTCTATGGTCATAAAAGCGAGGTCATTCTTGTATTATTATGTTTTGTTTTTGTTTTTTTTTTTTTTTTTCTGCAACCTGCTGTAAAATGATCGTTCACATAAATGTTTAGCAAGGTTTTGCTTAAATGTGAAAAAGAGATATCAATATGCGTCGGAAATTTATTGTAAATTATTTTAGCTATGTATTACAATGACTTTATTAGTTTTGTATCAATATGATATAAACAAAAGCATATTTTTTTAAAAAAAATTTTAGCGCCATTTTCTCGAAATCAGAACAAGAGCAGCAAAGATACTACAGTAAAAGAGCTTGTATGTATACCTATACTAATGGAACAAAATTACGAAATTAAACCCAATAAACACAATTGAAGTACATGCAATTGTAGTTGCAAAGTTCCTAGAACCTAAAAACGCTTTTTCATTCATTTTTAGTGTTTTAGTGGCTTTCAATTATTAATTACATTGCACCATTGGTGCATTTTATTTACACATTGTTTAATAATACCAGTTATTTTTTTCATTATGTATTTCGTTCTGCGTCGACAGATAAATGCAGGGCGTCTCTTATGGGTGATTTATTGCTTTATCCATAGTGTTGTACTACGAAACAATACTCGATATGATTTGGTAAATTAAATTCAGGAAGTAGTTTATCGAAAATGTTGAGCGGCGTAGAGCTTAATGGCGCCATCTCGTCTATTTTTATGCATTGTGGACTGGAGCTAACAGCATCCGTCTGTATTTCTATCCCTCTCCTGCAACGCGCTGTTTATCTGTCGGCTCCCTATTCTCCCGTCAATATGTTTCGTTTTGCATGCGTTTGTAGTCGGTAGAGCTAGAGGGACACGACACGATGACGATAATATTGAATGTCCCAAATCGCGTCGTCTGCGGCCCGTCCTAATTTCATCCCCAGTCGTCGCGTACTATAACACATTATGTTGTTTTTCGTGCGTTATTTGTTTATAAAATGGATTTAAGAGCAGTGAGCTACGGACGTTGACTGTAATTTCGAATTATTATAAATGTTTTCTGTGATGTGTGCAGTGGAACTATCATTAGCAATAATTGCTATCGCTTTAAAGTTCAGAGTGCAATAAAATTAAAAACTGTTGATTTATGACAATCATTTGAGGAAAAATGGCCACATTACCTAGAACGCACAGTTCTAAACATGCTTCGAGTATACCATCACCGTTTAGGTAAGTTCAGATCCAACAAGACGTAATTAAGGATTAAATCACTTTTCTTTAGTTGCCAACCGCTAAATTAATATCAAGTTTAGTCCACAGTAAAAAAGAAAAACATAACCTTTGTTATGACAATAGCACCAATGACAATATTCTATGTATGTATATTAGTAATTTTAAATAACCTTTGTAATTTTCAATTTTTATATATTCAACCATTCCGTCTATTTCTGTCGAGATGTAGTCATTTTACAACACTTCGACCTCATGTCTCAAAGCGAGTGTGGGTATCCACGTTAATGTATATGAGCTCCGGTAACCACTTTCCACCAGGTGAGCTTTGAGCTAGTTCAGCCAACTAAGGAATGAAAAAAATAATAGATCGCTTATAGCTCATCATTCTCACCGTATCTTGTTTATTTTATTCATACTCAAAAGGGCCTACAGCTATGAAATAGGTAAAATAAGAAATAGGCTCCGAATTGAGACCGTGCCTTTTTGATTTGAAGTCCATACAAACAGAGGCCAATGAATGAATTGAAATTAATCGCGGTAAATTGTTGATATAGACTGTTAAATCAACCATTTGAAAGTAATATTGCAATTATTTGCTGAGTTGATTGATGATTGAGTTGATGGATGAACAAAGTCCGAATTCGATTTAAAATCAACTACTGTTCTATTTTTAGTAATTTTATTGACCACGGTTCTATGCTTACATTTATTTACATTTTTTCTTCGTTTTGTCATTGTCATTTTTTTTCTCGTCAAAATCTCGTCAATAGTCACTAAATATATAAAAAAGAAAATCGGATGAGAAACAGAAGAGTAAAATGTATTGAATTGTTTAGTCTTTACCTATTTATATATTAATACATAGATAAAACGTACCACGCGGTTAAATTATTACAGTAATCTAGAATTGACGAAAACCGTTGCATTTTCCCGGGATAACGTTTCATGTAGCACTGTCTGGACATCTACTAGTAAATTTTTACTTACCTAAAATCACGAAACAGCCAAAATACATTTTATATCATAGCAGATATTCCGTCAGTATTGCCCCGATAATATAATTGACCAAAAAACTAGGAAGCTCGTAGATAATTATAAAGAATTAAACAAAAGGCTTCGACAAAAAGTGTTTTATAGTTTGTGTGTGATACCAGAATGAATAAACTATAACAAATAAACAAAGAGAGGTATAATAAAATGGTCCAATGTCTGTTGGCTGTAGTAATATTACCTGGATATGAGGAGGGCAGTGAGCTTTTTGCAGCTAGGTAGATAGATCTAAGGCGAAGACAATTGGCTAAAACCTCACACTGGGTGTCTATCTACACTATATTACAAGTCACGCCATCGCCACCAAGGCAAGTCCTAAAAATACTGCATTATTTAACAAAATTGTCTTTTTAGTTTTTATTAATTGCGTATACTTTACTGATGGTAGGATCCCTTGTGAGTCCACATGAGTAGGTACCACCACCCTGCCTATTTCTGCCGTGAAGCAGTAAGGCGTTTGGGACAGCATTTGTAACTATACTAAGTCCTTAGAACTCATATTTCAAGGTGGGTGGCGGCATTTACGTTGTAGATGTCTATGGGCTCCGGTAACCACTCATCACCAGGTGGGCCGTGAGCTCGTCCACCCATCTAAGCAATAAAAAAAAGTATACGGGTAAACGAGCCACCACCACGGCTTAGCTGGTGTAAAGTTGTTGCCGGAGTCCATAGATCTCACAAAGTGAATGCCGCCACCGCGTTAAGGCACAAGGTCGATTTCAGCTGTACAAATCGGAACACATGACAGCTTCGCGGTATAAATAGGCAGGATGATGCGGTTTTATAATACGCCTTACCACCACTAAATGTCGGTTGGCGATCGCACTACGCTCGTATAGTACTCAGAGAATGGTGAATCCCATAGTCACCTTTTAGGGCACCGACGGAAAGCGATGGGATTGTGCGTTTTAGGGCACACAACCAATGGCATTGGATATCATGTTAATTTGATTTTTATGTAAAATATTTTGGTTTTCACTTTTAATGACATTTTGTGGGCAACGTTCTTGAAATTAAACTTGATGATCACGAATCGGGTTCTGGCCATTGTGCTTAGTGCGAGTTTTTTAACGTTGGTACAGCACCCCTACCGGCAAACGTAGGCAAACCTTCCAACTCCATACAAATTTGAGTTAACTTTTACGCCATCGAAAACGTTAAAAAACTCGCACTAAATACACAGAAAGCAATGCTATTAGCAATAATCTAAGTAAATTTCGCCTAAGTTATCGTGAGATAGATGTATAGTATATGACAGGACTGAACCCGACATGTAAATTAATTTTCAAGAATAGTGCGAAATCTGTTTTTCTTATATATCCTGTCAGAAAACACAGCAAACCAGTAATAAAACTGATCGTGGCACAAATATAGGACAGTTATACTGTATAGGCTGACAACAGGACTGATACTATAATCACCGCAATTTGATATATTATTTCAGGTTGTTGTTCCATTATCAAAATATAGCAAAATTATAACTTGCGTAATTACTGGTGTTAGTACTTAGAAACACATTTGCAATATTGTTTTTCATTGCAGTACAAGTCCTCGGAAGTTGCAAGAAATGGCGATGCCGTCAACTGAAGGTCACGGTGAGTTTCTCTTCACGTACACAAATCTTTAATAAAATTACTCTTTATAAGGGCTTTCTGGATATCTACTAAGTGATATTTTATATCATCACATGCCTTACCCTAGTCAATTCATTAGGGAAAACAAAAGCCTAACAAACTGACTTGGTTCTCTGTTCTTAGTTTAAATCAATTCTTTTAAATTTTAGATGTTACAAATATCAGTGGAATCAGCATGAAGCAGTATGAAGAACAGTTAAACGGATTGCGGAAGGAGAATTTTCACTTGAAATTGAGGATTTATTTTTTAGAAGAAAAACTCGGCAACGGATCCCCGCCCGCGGTACAAGTGAGTAATCAGTTGTTTTAAAATATGTATAAGATCCTACACAACAATTCGTTTCTTAAAAAATATATATATTATTGTAATGGTTAAATCGTGAAAGTGAATGGCCTTCCTTAGTGTCGATAGTCGTGGTCTCATAGATCGATTGTATCCTCTAGATCAACGAAGGCACTTCAATTATTTATATTTTGCACCGCACGCTCTACGGTGAGTGCATTTAGAAATTGTTCGAAATTAATTGTGTGTAAGTGTTATCCGTCGTACCAGAACAAACCAATTGGAAAAGCCTTATAAGGAGCTTGAAAACACTCACATCTATGTTACAGGGTCTCTTAGAGCACAACGTTCGATTACAAGTAGAAGTGGAAGAGTTACGACGGCAATTAACTGACAAGCAGGAGCTGCTCGCGGCCGCAGCTGAGGCCATCGACGTTCTAGAGCAGCAGGTGAGTTTGTTCTCTGTCCTGTTTGAAAGAGACAGAGAGAGAGAGAGAGAGAGAGAGAGAGAGAGAGAGTATTCTTTACTGTACACCAAAAAACAAATAAACAGTGCTATACATTAAATACAAAAAAAGTACAATTGGCGATCTTATCGCTAAGAGCGATCTCTTCCAGACAACCATTAGGTGGATAAGAATCATTTAAGAGTAGTTCCGATTACTAACTAACTTCGTGCCATCTCTGCAACGCTTTTATAGTCGCGACGATATCCCTAGATTTATCGGGAACATTCTGGGCAAGTCGAGTAGCTTCGATGTGTGTTTCCGCTATAATAGATGGCGTTGTACTTCTCGAGCTTTCTCGAAGTTACGAGTTCCTTTGATATTCGTTTCGGCTGTTCAGCGATAGATGGCGTTACTCTTACCGGCGTAACAATATTATAAATTTAGCGTTATTCCTACATAATGGAAGTTGTCAGTGAACACATGGTAATTACGTGTGGAGCCCCGGTATAGTCGTATCGTTTGACATAAGCTCACCGGACGTCTTACCCATTAGACGAATGAGACGTTTCGATTATTTGCAATGGTTAATTTGCCGCCTGATAAAGTTTAAAAGATAGAAGCTTAAAGTCTGAATACCTTTGGCAATAGTAACAAAATGTTAGCAGGTTACACGTGAGCACTGACCCGTCCGCGCGAAGAATAGTCCTTTAGGCTATCCGCGAGAGGTAGGAGGAAAAAAATGAGCACTGTGTTTTTACTGTACAAAAGTTGTAACTATTACTGTATTTTTTTTGAATTTTGTAGGGTTCAGTCTCGACCGACAGTATGGAGGTGTCCATGAACAATAGCGCTTCGATGAAAAAGGCCGCCGATCCACATGACGAGGTATTCCATAATACACTTACTCTAGCCTCAAAGTTTGATTTTTAACTTTTGAATTTAACGATACATTTAAACTTAAATGCTTAAATTAAACTTAAATAATTAAACTTAAACTTAATTCATAATAGCAATACGTGCCATTAATAGATAGCGTAGAGTTCGGAGCGGCAATAATCGATTAGGACTTTAATGGCTCCGTCCATCCTATGGAGGGTAGAGGTAAGGAGAACCGTCTGTGTGTGAAAAAGTGTCCGTTAAAATCTGCTAAATAAGGGTGGAGCTACAGTAGCAACCGGATATATTTAAAAAAAAAAGGCATTGAAAGTTATTAGAATAATTCATTCAATATTTCATTGCACCTACCACTATTTACTCTGCACTACCTTTGGTTGACTGGTAGAGAATGCCTTAGGCATTAAGTCCGCCAATGTTAATTTTACATGAAGTGTAATAAATAAATAGAATAAGATAGAGAAATAAAAAAGGACGAAAAAAACTGTAAGCACTATAAAATCACAAAAAGTATATTAATTAAAGCTGATAAGAAAATTGAATCGATGTCTCCACGTTTTACCACAGCAATAATTTTAGGTTATATGGACGAAATTAGTTTGGACTATGTAAACATGTGAGGTCTTGTATATTGCACTGTCACTAACTACAAGTCATTAAATATATTAAACTTCCTAACTCAGCATACTTCAATCAGTTAACAACTGCTCAATTCATATCATACCCTGTGCCTATGCTAGCGCCATTCTGGAGGATTTTTGAACTGTTATTTAGTGCTGAAAGTGGGACACTTTTTCAAGCTTCTCCCGTATGAGACGGTTCTCCTTACTTCTACCCTGCATAGTCCATCCGCATCCATCAACCGTTTTATCTTGGACCGCGAGGAATTTATCGCTATTTTGCTATTATATTCGAATTTAATTTATCGCGTAAACATCGTTCTTGTTGTAGACATGTTCGAACAAAGTTAAGCCGATGTAGCTGCTGTGATTCTTATCGGGTACAATAGTTTTTAATGCTATATCTATTGGGGTGTTCTGTTAAATTTGATTATGTTGATTTTTTTATTTAGGTTTATGATTATTAGGATTAGAATTATTTTGATTTAGGAAAATCGAATTGTTATATATTTTAACGAATTTGTTTTAAATTAATAGACAACAGAGAAGCGGGATGCCGTCGACGATACGTGTGCGGAATCGGAGTCTGCAGGGTAAATAAAGTTTGAATTATTATTTCTACAATGTGTGGTAAATAGAGCATTAGTTTAACCTATGAAGTTCGAATGTAATTTTATTTTTTTGATTATAATGTACAGAGTCTACATGTTGGACATAAAAAAAAGCATGTGTGAGTGTATTTTAATACGAAAACATTACTTTAAGTATAGTTTGTAACATGAAATGCTTAGTATTATAATTCCAATCCTGTGGCAGATTCAGCGAAGCACTTACTTGGGATAGTGTTAGCCAATTCTTTCAGGTTGAGTCCCTTAGCTCACTTACCCATCTGCGCGTAGCTTGAATAGCCTCTTAGGCTCCCAGCGAATAGGTAGGAAAAAAAGTAGATTTGAATAAAACATACCGAGTTTTATAGGATTATAATATTATATGTTGTTTTTGTAAATTAATAATTCAAACACATTGTTTTTTCTCGCTGTATCTTCTCAGTGGGTCGCGATTCCAATCCGGTGGTAGATTCATCGAAGCACCGTTCTCACCAGGGCTAATGTTAGTCAATTCTCTCAGGGTGCGTTCGTTAGCTCACTTACCCGTCTGCGCGTAGCTTGAATAGCTTCTTAGGCTACCAGTCAATATGTAGGAAAAAAAGTAGATTTAAATAAAACTTAACGAGTTTTAAGAACTTCAGGGAAAGTTTCTGGCAAAATTCCATCAAAGTCCTGTAGATGGTGCTCGTGTTGTTCATTGCGTCGAATGACTTTATTTCAAATAATTATACTTAGTGTGCTATAAAACCATAAAACCATTCGTTACAAAATTATATTATCTATATATATTATATATATTTTTTTGTTTTAGTGATTACTTAGCGGTGACAGTGAACAATGAGGATTTGGTGAGTGTTGCATTCAACTGTCGTATGTTTTGAGACATCTTTAAATAAACTATTAAAAAAAGGCGTGTCATGACAATTGTTTCTTTAGGTACCTAGTTATAAAATCTAGCCACGATTACTTGATACGATAATTAATATATACGGTTTGGAGGTAATTGGTCCCCGTGCTATTTCCGAAGCCGAGGAGCTAATATTTTTTTCACGCCGCATATCCATAATGAACGCGTGATATTATTTCCAGACGAGGTCAACGTCCGAATGTACGATGTGTCCTCTGATTACGGACTTAAAACAAATATGTGAATACATATAAACGTTTGTAAAGTTATATATTATGTGAATACTTTAAAGTGTTGCCCGTTTTTATGTTTCGAGCTTAGACAGTTCTCCCGCGTCACACGAGCTCGTAATACCAAGCCTAAAGGACGGATTTTTTTAACGTCTTCATTAAATTATAATAGTTAGGAAATCCTCAGTTCCTGGCATTTGGTTTGATTGTTTGATAAGTTATAAATAAAAAAAATGAAAACAAAATATCGAAAAAATATTTCCATTAAGCTATGTCGAATAATATCACTAGTACTAAAAACTATGCAAAATGAGATTAAAAGCAATGAGTTTTCGCCGAAAACTATCGTTGATTAGGTTTGATTCTCGTTCGTAATTGAAAAATTGACATTGAAAATTTGTTTCTGAATCTGTTGAAAGATGATACATCGATAGGTTGAATTTTGCAATACATTTAAGGTACCCAGCGAAATATTTGCACTGATAAAAAAAGCACTATAATTAAGAAAAAAAAGAAAATATATATTATAATATAATATTTTCCTTTTACAGGACGAACTCATGAAATTGAGACGCGAAAACCGTAAAGCTTTACAGATGATTAAAGGATGTATGAAAAAAATACAGCAGCAGGATAAAGAGATTAAGAAGATTAAATTGGTTAGCATCTATATTCGTGACCTTTTTGTTTATTTTATTGCTTATATGAGTGGACGAGCTCACAGCCCACCTGGTGTTAAGTGGTAACAGAAGCCCATAGACATCTACAACGTAAATGCGCCATCCGCCTTGATATATAAGTTCTAAGGTCTCAAGTATAGTTACAACGGCTACCCCACCCCTCAAACCGAAACGCATTACTGCTTCACGGCAGAAATAGGCAGGGCGGTGGTACCTACCGTGCGGTCACAAGAGGTCCTACCACCAGTAATAAAACATAAAAGTGTCAATATAAGTTTCCGCAACTTCAAGATATCCGATTACATTAGTAAATTTGTAGACGTATCAAGGACCTATGACAATACGATAATTAGCTTAGCCTAAAGCTCGCTGTTATAAGATACCGGGGCAGAGTTAATTCCTGCTGTAACAGGTCATTTTTGCCAAGCATCGTCCGGCTTGGCTGAGAACTTTCTCTGGTGACTTTTCTGAGCTCTGTGTCATGTCCTTCTACAATGCATATAGAATATTTTAGCGTAATGCAGCAGTTTGGCCGTGTCGCTGGCATTGCTAATGTTCATAAGCGATGGTGACCACTCACCACTTCACACAGGACTTGTGTTCGTCTTCGAATGATATAGGAATTACAGTTTCATTCATTATGTGGGGGATATTTTAAAATCCTTTTTTTTTTTCATTTCAAGTTACTGACGTATAATCAACGTTATAGTCTATGAGAAGGCTAAAAAACTGTAACTTTTACCATATTTTAGGATAAGGAATTGGCATACGCCCACATAAGTGACTCGCAGCTGGAGAAGTATGAAGAGATATTAAAGTGTAAAGATGAACACATCAGAGATTTGGAAATCAAGATTAAAGATTTGCAGAAGAACTTTGACACAACGCAACACTTTGAAAATTCAGGGTAAATCTTCATTGTGAATTAAATGGCCAGAAAGCGATGTTGTGTAATTCGTATGGTTGATACAATAGTTACAATAAATAAGACGACCAGTTTACTCAACGAATAATGCTATTATGGCTGGGAATCTTATAATAAGTACTGAAGTAAATAGGTATCTTAATTCAAGAGATTGGGACCTAACTTGTGTAGATGGAAAATCACCTTATTGCCTACGAGCTACAGCAACCAAGAATAGATTCATTCGCGAAGCAGCTGCCCTTGTGTTGTTAGGTCTCCTCAGGAAGCGCTCGGGCAGTTGTTAGCAAATCCCACCCCTCCTGGATGAGCTTTTGCTCGCCCACCCGACCTGGTGGAACCGGTAATCTTTCCTTCACAAAAAAGCAACCAGTCGATCGTAAGCCCATGGTTTTTTGCCTTCGACAATCGGTAATTTATAATCCAAACAATTTACTTTGCAGGAATCTTCAACAATTATTGACCCGACGACTACAAGGACTTGCTTATTTCTTGGACAAATTACTGTCCCACAAGTAAGTCGTAAGATATTTTTATGTAGGAGGTGCACACTCGCCGATCTGATGAAATGATATTTTGGGGAAACTGATCAATCAAACGTTTGTGATCCATCTATACCTTAGCTTGTTTATTTTTTTATTTATTGTAAAAACAATTTATAAAAGCATTGGTTTTAGTTTGCGATCTGGCAGCTGACAGAATATCATCTTTTGTGTAATTTGTCGTATGATTCATTTTCCTCACATATTCTTTGATAAAAAAAAAAGTGCCTTTGTACATAATTTTCCTATTACTCTGTACTATGTCTTCTTTTTTGTGTGTACATAAATAAATAAAAACTTAACTCCGGTGTACATTAAAGTGTAGAGGATTATAAGTTCCGAAAAAAAACGGCAGGTGTGTGCATTCGGATTTAATGAGTTCGCGAATGAACTTAAACTTATATACATTAACGTGTTTCTTGCAGATGCGTGTTAGGTGAAGATAAGAAGAAATTAGCCGAAAGTATTCTTGAGCAAAGCTTAGCTCTACCTGTGGGACTAGAGCTAGACGAATCTATGGCTCCAGATGAACTAACAATGGACGAGAGTAACCTGGATATGTCGCAATCGATGAGAATTGAAGATTTGACCATGATGTTCGGACACCACGTAATGTGCAGCGAAGACAACAAGAATTTCACGTCGACAAAGATGCCGAAAAGGTTCCCCCCAGCCGACATGGTGTCCGAGTCGGAATGCTGGTCAGAGCCTGACAGAAAAGTATCTCTCGCTAGAGTCGGTCTCTGCGACACCGGCGTCGCCCTCGTACACTCCTCTTGTGAACTAAACAGAGCTCGCTACCGGAGAGCTAGAATCTCTCACGGATCTCGCTCCGAGGACACGAAGACTAATGACGTAGCCGTCATCGAAGAAATCGCTCAGCTCACTAAATACAACGAAAAATTGGAAGAAGACAATATTGATTTGCGTGGAAAACTTGAATCACTTAAAAAGCAAATTGAAGACCTAACTTCAGAAAACGACGAATTAAAATCGAATTTGTCATCTGAACGTTTTAAATTATTGGAGGCAAACGACAACGAACAGGCTTTGAAAAAAACACTTGTAGGTCTAGAGCTACAGACGAAGGAAGTCGAACAAAAACTCGCCGAGGCCTTGCAAGTGACAGAGAGATTACGAAGCGAACGCCATGAGCTAGAGGAGACGTTTATGGAGACAGAACGATCTCTGAGAAGAGCTGCCGATGAGGCCGCGGTCCAAGCCTCACAAGCCGCACTGGAACGCGCTAGAGCTCAACACGATAGATTACGTATCGAGAGAGAGTTAGATGAAACTAGAGAAAAATTGGTAACAGCCATGGAAACCAATTCTCGGTTGGAAATCGAAGTTGCACGCAAAGCAGCCCTAGAAGTCGAAGAAGAAGTCCCCATTATGCCTCACGAAATTCATTTAGAAGACAGACCAACGTCTCCTGATCAAGGAATAGATAGCGACAGATTATCCAGTCTCGAACAGAATGACGCTATAGCTTTATCTCCACGTAAGTAATTAATTGTAATATATCAAGCATAAATAAATATTTTTACTAATAAATATTTACTAACAATCACGCCATGTTAACTGGTCCTGTGCTAAGTTCGTAAAGAACAGTTACCAGATAATGCAAATAAATGTAAGATTTTTATTATACACATACATATATTTAATATACATCCATAGTCCTGGAAAAGACATTTTATATTTATCATACAAGTATCTTCCCTTGGCGGTATTCGACCCCGCGACCCCCTTGTGTAGTGACCATGTCACTTACCCCTACACCAGACGGCCAAGCATGGGATTATGGGATGTTTATTTTACAACTAGTATAATATATGAATATTAATTTTTCAGGTTCCTTGTATGAGGAAAATATTACTCTCAAACAAAAACTAGCAAGAACGAAGGCTACACTAGCTGAAACTCTCACACAGTTAAACGCCGCAAATTTACGGAAGAGGAGTGTTCAGCGCGCAATTTGTAGAGAGATACACAAAACTCAAGGTGTTCTACGGAAGGCTAGAGATCAGTTCGAAACTCATAGTAATATGTAACGATTATTTCAGTTTATCATAATATGGTAACTTTGCTATCAATAACATGCTATTCATCATAAAATTATGGAAAACCCTAATTTTAAAAGTTACTTTGGTCTGCTCATTTTAATGTTAAATTTAAAATAAAAACGTGGTCCATTTTTGTAAATTAAATCAAAATGGTAGTTGTTGACTTTAATCTGTCATAAATTACTTTAATAAGCGTGTATAATATAAATTCCTTATTTTGTACTAATATCTGTGATTTAATACGCCAAGCTGGTGCCAAATTTATCTTTAACAGGATTCAACAATCTACGAAGTCTGCAAATACATAATTTGTGTTATCTAGCTGACTCTTAGTTATTACACAAGGTTTTACTTTGTAAAAATAATTTTAATAAAATAAATAATTTCGATATGAACTTTTATTTCTTAAAATATTTCCTTTTTTTATCTACCTATTCGCTGGTACCCTAAGGGCTATTCCAACTTCGCGCAGACGGGCTCAACCTGAGAAAATTTGCTAATACCAGCCCTAGCAAATGCAGTGCTTCGCAGAATCTACCACCGGATCGGAATCGCGACCCACTGAGAAGATTCGGAGAGTTACTCAGTGGGCTGTGTCTATGAGTTAGTTCACTCGTCGAACTCTTTGTCGTAATCGATGAGAGTGAATCCGGGATTCGACATGTATCGGACGGCGCGGCATTGCGTTCTCCTGTGGCCTGGGTCAGATATGGAATTAGCCGCTGTCACGATAGGACTGTTATTGTGTCTCGCCGCTTTGTGGAAGTAGCGTTCGGACGCTACTTTAGGATACGTATCGGATTTAAATTTAGATCGTCGTGAACATTCCTCGATATTCCTTACGTACCACGGTGCTCCGACGGTTCTCGTGCAGAAACGGGATTGGATGACCTGGAGAGACCTCCACTGCATGCTGTCCGCGTTAGCCGACACTACACTTACATAGGTCATGGCGGAACGTATGCAAGTTTTGAATAAAGCGTCATATTGTTACGAAGGATACCTGTCTGCGGTATTACAACGACGGCATAGTTACATTACAATCTGACATTAAAAAAGTCACCATTATTCAAAGATTTTTGGATTTTCTTTTTAAAATTAGATGTCAGAAATTATATAGGACATTCTTAGCTACTCACTTAATTCTTAGTGAATATCTGTGACCTTGCTCGTTCACGAAGCCCGCTATAGAAAGCAGAGTATTAAATACACTTGACATTGGCGAAATCTAAAAGGAAACGCCATAAACCTAAGAGATAGATAGATATAGTAAATAATATTATCAACACGAAAGTAACTTCATTCTGATTCACGATTATACTGAAACACAATTTTTAAATTGAATTTTCATTTATTAAAAAAATAAACATAATTTAGTCTTTTCTGAGTTTTCTTTTATGACTTCGACGCCTTTCTCTATTCTTTTTTTCTTCATCGTTTGATTCTCTTGAAGATTTGGTGTCTTTCGGTATTTCAGTTTCTGGGGATTCTGACCACCTCCATGAACGGGGAGGAGTTCGTCTAAAATAAAACAAATATTCAATAAAATTGTATGAAAATATTAAAGCTATCATATCAAATCGCAATAAAGAACCCAAACGAGGATGTCAAAATAAATACCGTCTAGGAATATAGTTTTCTTCAGGTAATTTTTGTAAAGAAAATAAGTTATTGGGATTTCTGAATATGTGTAAGAAGTTACATGAGCGCCCTTTATGACATCGCTGTTTCGCCTGAAGACCTGAAAATGCAATAATATTAATTAAATTAACGATTCCGAAACCAAAGTAGGTAGTTTAATAGTGTGTTTTAGAAAAGACATGTGATTATTACCGCATATAGCATTTCTCCATGAACGAATATTGCAGAACTGTAAGGAGAGTTGCCTACCGCCGTACCATCGTGAATTCAGAAACCTATATGCAGCCACCGCACATCGTAAATCTGCATATTCTATGTACGTATTACCACGAAGATGTTTTTCGTAATTTTTACAAACCTGCAAAAGATTAATTATATTATACAATATGCATGGATCTAAGCGCAATAATTTGAAAATAAATTGTATATTTTACATTTCAGTATAGTACCTATATTTTTTTAAACCTTTTAAGTGGTCAGTGTCTTAGAACGATCCAACTCTTTCGAATTATAATAATTAAAAAATAATTATTTTATAAAAACTAAATGTACACAAATTACGATTATTTTACATTTTAAAATGTTTCTTTGGATAAACGGTATTTTCAAATCTTTTGCTATTAAACCAATAACAAGTTCTTTCACTGCCAACGGTTTCACCATAATTGTCAGGGAGCACAAGAGGAACCTCAGGCTCAGATTTAATTTAACTATAGAGATAAATCAACACCTCGGCAAATTACGAGATTTTAGCTTGTAAACAGATATCTTCAATCGAGAACAATTTTATGATCGACTTGTTTATGAAGTCGTCGTGGCCTAAAGGATAAGACGTCCGGTGCAGCGGTCTAGCGATGTACTGGTGCTCGAATCCCGCAGGCGGGTACCAATTTTTCTAATGAAATATGTACTTAGCAAATGTTCATGACTGACTTCCACGGTGAACCCGCGCCACCTACCACCAGTAATTGCGCAAATTATAATTTGGTTGGTAGGACCTCTTGTGAGTCCGCACGGGTAGGTATCGCCACCCTGCCTATTTCTGCCGTAAAGCAGTAATGCGTTTCGATTTGAAGGGTGGGGTAGCCCTTGTAACCATACTAAGACCTTAAAACTCAAACCTTATATCTCAAAGTGGGTGGCGCATTTACGTTGTAGATGTCTATGGGCTCCAGTAACCACTTAACACCAGGTGGGCTGTGAGCTCGTCCACCAATCTAAGCAATAAAAAAAATGATTCCTTAAGATGTTTTATAACGTTGATAATGCTATTAATTCGATGAATAGCTTTACGCTAACAACTATCCATAGGAGAGCGGCGGGAGTAAAATTATACACTGAGCACATTGCCGTACCTACCTTAAATTGCACTATTTTTCCAAATTTTTCGAATTCTGTCAAAACATCACAGAAGAATTCTTCAAATTCCTTGTAAGTTTCATTTTCATCATATTCTAACATAATATCAGCGTCATATTCATTATTTTCAAACATATTGTCGAGACCGAAATGAGCGTAAAAATTTTTGGCCAACAAAACCTGAAAAATAACTTTCAATGTAAGAAAATGGAGTTATTTGAGTTTGCAAAATATCGCTACCTATTAGTACTTATACGCACGTTGCTTATACTTGGATATTGATGATTTCTTGAACACTGGTCCCCAAACCGACATGTCGCAGTTTTAGAAAAAAATGTGCACATCTCGGCGCCCGGTCGCGTATCACACACATAATTCAACTCTTTAGGAGGTTCACACGAATCACCCGCCATAAACTTTTGTAAATTCTCCAGAAATTCTTGATGTTTCTTCATATTTTCTTCTTTAATTTGTTTTAATTTTTCTTCTTCTATTTTCCGTCTCTCTTTTTCTGCTTCCCATTCCTATTGTTTCAAATATAGCAACGTTTATTATAGTTTTTTTGCTCATATACATTATAGCCTATCTAATATTAAATTGTCACCAGAGCTAGGTTACCAAATATGTTACAATTGGAACGTGTGACTACTGACTGCTAGCGATAGAAATAGGCAGATTGTGATGTCAACTTGTGCTTACAATAGTGGTTGTAATAATATAATATATTGCGTATAATTACTTACCAGCGCGTTCACAAGACGTCCTACCAATAAATTGATACCCATCTGTGATATTCAAATACCAACATACTGACATCGTTCAATATGTTATATTCTATAGGCCACGACAATTTCTAAAGTCTTACTTCGAAGTAACATGAAACATGGTTTTCTTATACTTACAAGTGTTAATTTGATTTTTTGTTCCATTTTTTCCTGCAACAATCTTTCTTTATATTGCTGAAGTTTTTCCCAATTATCCATGTAATTTTTTTCTGCTTGTAACCATTTCTCGTTCTCAATCTTATTTGATAATATTATTTGTTCTTCTATTAGGTTATCTAATATTTGTTGCTGTGCTTGTAAATCAGAATCCTCCAGAATTGAGTCTAGAGAAACAAATGTTGTTTTTATTACTAATACACTTACTATTTAATAACAATGAAATTTAATGTTTGTTTAGCAAAATGAAGCCTGTTGTAGTGTTGTAAAAAGTGAAAAATATATATTTTAGAGTATCAAAGTAGGCCTTGTAGGTGTATACATGTATTTATGCACTGTTGTTTTATGACTAACACTTTGTTTTTTTAAATTTATTACCTCTTAATTGTGCTTGTTGTACTCTTATTTTACGTCTTCTTTGACGCTTTGCAATTCTCCTCCACTCTGAATGCCTAGAAAGAAAATTCATTTACTACATTTGCATTGTCTGTAAAATTACTGAAGAATGTAAAAGCATTTATTGAGCAATTGACTTTCTTTATTCTTATCTTAATATTTGACTATGAGGCCATTAGATGATGCCCAGACGAGTGAAAGGAATGGGTATTTACCATCTAACAATGTTATTAAATTTTTCAGTCTAAATTTATTTTTTATTACATAGATGATTGAATGAACTCGTTCTCCACCTGGTGTTACATAGTTACTGGAGCCCATAGACATCAAAACGTAATAACTGCTACCCATTTTGAGACTGCAGGTCTATATCTCCAGTAATCATGGAAAAATCATTCCAAAGAAGTTTTTGGCTGCTTTGATTTTTATTATAGGTAATTATGATAATATTCTTTTTTCATGAGTAATTTATGAACATAAGTTAAGTATGACATTTGAAAATTTTCCAATAAAGGTGTAAAGAACTAACTGTTAAGTTCAGTTGGTAATAACAATTGAAATGGCTGAGATATTTAGTTTTTTCTTCCTCCTGTATAATCATCAAAAAGCAAATACGTGGTCTTTACAAGTTGCTCTTATGCGGACGATATGTATTCTAAGATAAGATATTCTAATAGATTCTATTTGTGCATTTCTTTTTATTGCTCTGGATAAGTATCCAGAGCAATAAAAAGAAATGCACAAGATTAGTTCATCTAATCTGATGTCCTGTTCTTACTGAAGGATTACTTTCCAAAGTATATAGCATCAACTATCTTGAGATGCATGATTTATTTAAGTAGGTGTTTCAGAAATATTACGAATTTCTGTAATCCTCGCACGAGATCGAGAATTGTTCTCAATTCGAAATTTTATAATTTATTATTAAATCATAAATTTCAATTGACATTGTATAATAATTCAGAAGGAAAATATATTTCTAAATGATATTGATATGGAATTCTAATTATTCGTTTCTACCTAATAAAACTATTTGTTATAATTAAATTAATTATGAAATTACCTTCCCATTATTGTGACGTGTTGTCGACAGCTTTAGTGCAAAGAAACTCTTAGAGAGAAATAAAACAAACACTGCGTTTCACTGTGCTGTTTCGTTGGTGCAGTTAACCCTAGCACCTAGCAAGCAACTAGGCAATAACTATAGTTGCTAGTGCTCAGCATTCTACGTATCGTGATCATCGTCAATCATAATTGCATTAGCTTGCGATGAGAAGAAAACAAATTACAAATAGCACCAATCAAATAATCCGACGAAGGCGCAGTAGTGATTTTTATTCGTGTTTTTTTTTTCCTAATTGTAGCGGTAATGGTGTATGATTAATACGAATATTAACAATTTATTATTGCGAAACAATAATAAAAATTAATACGAATACAGTTTATTACTGTTTATTACACACAGATGATTGTATACAAGTGTTGACATTTATTGTTTGTTTACCTTTATTTATTTAATTCGTTGATCAATTTAGGCAAAGGGAAAGTAGCTCACACTATTAATATTTTTTACGTAGGTCTTATAGGATGTATGAACGCAGAAATGGAAGAAAATAAAACGAAATAATTGTTTAAAAAATGAAATTAAGTGAAATAGAAATAAACGACTGTTGAGAATAGACAATACCGGAGGTGTTGCCTGAAATGAAATAACGTTTTAGTAAAATAGTGAGCATTTAATGAGAGGTGTATTTTCAATGTACTTTCGGTAGCATTGAGAAATCATACCACGTCACTTTTATTCAATTTTCTCACACTTATGCACTTTCCCAGATGCCAATGGTCCATAGGCTACTATTATTACAAGCTTAAACGTGAAGAAACAAATTAAATATAACAATTCACACAATTTGAGAGATCCATTCATTTGGATCCAATGGATGGTTCCATTGAATGGGCGGAGCATCATGGTCGTTCTAGGCGGTGACTACTCCGATACCATGACTATTAACGCTGGTTCGATGGTACATGGCATGACTGGTACACGGTTCGATGCTCTCCCCACGCTTTTCATCCTGTATATCAATGACATGCTGTATATTGATAGCATGCATTGCTATGCGGATGACAGCACGGAGGATGCGCGATATATGGGTCATCAGAGTTTCTCTCGGATTGTGGTGTAAGAGAGACGATCAAAACTTGTGTTCGAAGTGAATTGGACTTGGTTCAGTTTAACCCGTTGAAGACACAAGTTTGCGCGTTCACTGCGAAGAAGGACACCTTTGTTATGGTGCCGCAATTCCAAGACGTATCCCTGCAACGTTCCACAAGTATTGGGATACTTAGAGTCACATGTCTTTGATCAAACGAGGCTTGTGGAGAGTACTTAATGGTAGGCAGCGGCTTAGCTCTGCCCCTGGCATTACTGAAGTCCATGGATGACAGCAACCACTCACCGTCAGGTGGAACATATGCTCGTCTGTCTACAAGGCCATAAAAAAAAAACATTTAACACAAGGTGAGCTTGTTATACATACCTAGCAACATAAAAATAAAACCCAAATGGCAGAACCCGTTTTGGACAGTACAAGAAAATAGAGGTGAGGTGACCTGATAGTACGGCATCCAGTAAGCATGACGTATGGACGCCAAATAACAACGCAGCGTCAATGAATAGTAAGTTAATTATCTATGGCGGGATGGCGTGAAGACCAAAAAAACTGCCTCGACGGTCTTGTTGTTGCATCAACATTATTCCATCTTCTAGAACAAATCTCTAAGACAGACTGTGGAAAATTAAACATCTCATACCTAGTTCAAAAACTTTTATGTTTCTTCTGCATTTTTTTTAGTGCTTAGGTGGGTAGACGAGCTCACGGCCCACCTGGTGTTAAGTGGTTACCGGAACCCATATATTTAATATACCTTGAGACAAGGTGTGTGGCGCATTTACGTTGTAGATGTCTATGGGTTCCAGTAACCACTTAACAGCAGGTGGGCTGTGAGCTCGTCCACACACCTAGGCAATAAAAAAAAAAAGACAAGAATTCGTAGGTCTCCGTCCTCACAGTACAATGGCTGCCCTAACCTTCAAACCGAAACGCATTACTGCTGCACGGCAGAAATAGGCAGGTTGGTGGTACCTACCCGTGCGGACTCACAAAGCGTAATTACGCAAATTATAATTTTGCGGATTATTTTTTTATAACACGATATTATTTCTTCACCGTGGAAGTCAATCGTGAACGTTTGCTGAGTACGTATTTCTTTAGAAAAGTTGGTACCAGCCTGCGGGATTCGAACATCGTTGCATCGCTAGACCGCTGCACCGGACGTCTTATCCTTTAGGCCACGACGCGACGACTTCATTTTGGGATACCTATCTATATTAATAGTTATATTTATATGTTATTAAGTAGATTATAGTATTTTTAAAATTTTGTAGGTACTTATAAAATATATTGTTTTTCTCGTAGGCCACTTTAACGAATAAAATGAAATTATATTTTATCTAAAAGTTGAATTTAACCCTTTTTTAAGAAGCCCCCTGAAACATGGACGTGTGTAGTAGTACAATAAGAGACCTAATAATACACGATAATATTGACGGCTTAATTGAATTTCTCCGATCTGGCTTAAATCCAAACTACGAAGGTGGGTGGCCAATAAGGTTGGCTGCTCGACATGGATTGTTTGCTGTGGTAAAATTGTTTATTCAATTTGGTGCAGATCCTCATTTATTGAGTGGAACAGGTCAGTTTTTTTTTATCAACAAAATAAATTAACTTACTATAAACAAATTTCAAATGCATTTTTAAATTAAATTTGTTGGTCTTATAGATAATATGGGTTATATTTTTATAGCTGTGCTTTGAAAATCCGTAACTTATTTCTTGTAGTAGAATTTAATATGGTTTTCAATAAATGCAAAACTTAAGAATTATGAAAGCAGATTGGTAAAAAAACAGATTTAAGTATCAATTAAATTCAACAGTTTTTCAAGACAAAATTTCAAGGGTATTATTTCTATGACATTTGTGGTTACCTCACAACCTAATTTTTTTTTTTTCAGGGGCTTCTACGTTACAGCTTGCTGTATTTTCTGGAAAGCACTGGAATACTGATAATTGGATATTTTTACTTTCATATTGTGATTCTTCACAACTAGCAGACGGAGCTGCAGTAGCAATTGTGTTTAAAAATGTTGTAGCATTAAAACAAATATTGGCTACGGGACGATGTAACGTACATATACCGACGTCTCTAACGGGTGAATAAGTTCAAATTTTATCCTAATTTGTCAACATTCTATAACTTCTTGACGTATAATCATTGTCCATCACGCTTGAAGGCAGATTTTCAATCGCTGGATACGAGCACGCTTGTGCGTAGACAGAGCTTATTTAACCCTTTGAGTAGCGTCCGAGTGTCAAAGCGCACAGATGCTACTTGTACTTCCAAAACAAAAAAAGCTTGCCGGCAAAAGCTAGCATGTACTTATAATTTAAGGTAATAATTTGGGTAATTTTTAATTTAATAATTTATGGGAATAATATAATTCTGTTACAGGAAAAACCCTTGACCAATTGGCAAAAGGCTATAAAGTATCGAATTGGTTAGAGGCACCGGGATCAAGTCATTTTCCCGAAAACGAAGCTAATAGACCACTAATAATTACTACGCGTCCAATAAACTCGAGGAACCCTTCACAACAAAATAACACGTGCAGTATCAATTCAGCGGGTCGTGACGCTTCAGTTAGTTTACAGAGATCCTCGACAAATACCAACAATGCAGTTCCGAATTCTCCAAGAAACATATTGCAGCAAGAACCTACCTTGAACACAATTTCACCTAGTATCACTTCAAGAACTAGTAGACCGGTACGCAAAAATCATTAGAGTTCTCAAACAATTATCTAGCTTAAACAAGAATCTACACAGCCATTTGCGTAGCGATTATTGGAGCCTATACGACAACCTATTAATAGACACCGCACTGCACCGCAAATGCCGAAACCTAAGCTCACGGATGACTAATATTAATTCATTACTTTGTGAAATTATATTCATGAGAAATTAGTATATCAATGATCTGATCTAGCTGTGTCCCGCGGTCAAGCTCATGTAGAATTTTGGAATTTTCGATAGTATGATTAAGTAGTGTAAATAATCATGTTACGATCTTAAAGCTAGTACCTACTCATAAAAATCTGAATTTTTGTTTCATCGTAACAAATCGTACAATATAATGTCCTACCAAATTATTTCGAGACTCATGTAGCCACTTGATTTTTGAGTCTCTTTGGATAACCACAAAGGAGATGCCAACAATAATATAGCCCACCTTAGCTTAATTTCTGACATATACGTATGTACATGTTATGTACTCGTGTATCATATTCTTAATGTTATCAAGTTTTTATTAATGTAATAATCAATACTTACTTTGTTTCAGAGCATGAGATCATCACCTCACTACACTGATCGTAATTTATCACCATCCGTAGTGAGATTTTTCAATCAGTCCGTAGGACAGTCGTCGCTGACTCCAAGACAAAATATAGTTAGGGTTTCCTCACCAACGTGCAACGAAACGCTGCGCCATTGATTTTAAAATTCAGTTAACATAAAGTAATTGGGAGAGGAGTATTTTATAAAACTAAAGTATGACATGGTTATGATAGCTATTATTTTAATAAATAAATAAACTGATAAAACGCAAGAATTAGAAATTATGATACATACGGTGAAGGTATGATTCGTTCCTTCGTAAAATGAAAATCCGCGTGCTTAGTGCGAGTTTTTTAACGTTCTCGATAGCGTAAAAGTTAGCCCAATTTTGTATGCAGTTGGAACAGCGTCCCTAATGCCGAGTTTACATTACGAAATTAGTGTCATGCATGTTGAGCTCAGTTTTACGAAAGTAGTTTCGATATATGCGAAAGTAATTTCGTCAAAAAATTAGTGTCGCGAAATCCATAGTATCTCAGTAACCATGGCGCCATCACCATCAAAGCTAAATTCTATGCTATATGCTATATTCAATGTAGCTAAAGAAATGTTTATATACCTATAAACTTAAAAAAAAGACTATCAAGAAAAAAAGGTTGATAGATTCGAGGATGGTCAACAAGAAGGCATTTAGGTGCAATGAAGTTAGTCTCTGAATTAGCAGATGAAGATCCTGAGAGTTATAAAAACTATTATCGAATGAGTGAATATAATTTTGCTTTTTTACTGTAGGTGTTTCGGGTCCCAGAGACACCGTTTTCGCTGATATTCATTAATAAGATCTATATTTTTATCTGTACTCCATCGTTGGTTTGCCATTGTCAACGTTTGAAGCGCGTCCGAACTAACAATACACACGTCCGCACAGCGCAGGCCCTTTCGCGACATTAGTTTCACGTCGCGTTTACACTATGAAATTAGTTGCATGACATTAATTTCACCAAAAAATCGCGCAGGGCACGAAACTAATGCATGCATTACGAAAGTATTAAATTACACGTGAAACTGTTAGTAAAACTAATGTCACGAAATTAATTTCACGCCACTAATTTCGTAATGTAAATTCGGCTTAACGGCAATCGTACGCAAACGATCCCAGCCCATACAAAAATATAAGCTAACTTTTACGTTATCGAGAACATTAAAAAACTGCACTAAGCACACAGACCGCCAAAATTGTTCGTACTTTGTTTGGTAGGCCGTTTTGTGAGCCCGCATAGGTCGACGCCGCGGTCCTGTTCTATTTCGCAAACAGCCAAGCGTTAAGGTTTGAATGAATAGGATCGTCGAGAGGATTAATAAACTGCATTGTCTTGAGATTGGCGCCATCTTTCATGTTTTGGGTGTCTATGGGCCTATTAACCGCTTAATACCAACTTGGCCGAAAATCTTGCTACCACAGACCAATAAAAATAGTTTTAATTCTTGATTCGTCATAAATAAATATAATTATAAATATAATTGAAAATAATAATGACATAACACAATTTTAGAATTGTTTGTTTTATTTTAATTTTAATATCGGTTGGGCATAACAATATACATATTGAAATAAAACGCCAGAAGTATTAAAAAAATATGTAATGCTCTTTGAAGTAGGCACGTTAATTACAAATACAGAAATTATTTTTGATATTTGTGTTGCGTTTCTCTAAATATATCTATACATTGAGCTATTCGAAACGTATTTCTTACAATTTAGGAATCCAACAGCGGCGTATCAATTGCTTAAAAAGAAAATTAAGTAGAGGCTAATTACGTTGTAGTTAATACTAGTCCCTCTCAAATATATTAAGTGTATAATCTATGCTAGTCCCTATAAAAACCATAGAGAATTAGCTGTACCTACAACGCTTCATCCACTTCCGATTATAGTTCCTGTGTCGGAGTGCATAAACTAACAGCTTGCGTTTCAGACATGTTTACGATACTCTGAAATAAATCGTTAATGTTATATTTTGGTATGTGGTATTTTATAGTTATAAAGACGCTGATTTTATTTTTTGAGTCGACAGTGATTGTATATTTAAATGAAACTGATTATAATACATTTTTTTAGTATTCAATTATTATTATTCTGACAAACTTTCCTATTTCTTTTATCCTAAAAACCTCGTACGAACTAAGTACTAGGAGCATTTAAAAAAAAAGGGTGCGTGTACTTATTTATGTACGCGCGTAAGAAGTTATACTTAATTTTGATTAAATTTATATCTTTTTTTTAATTAAATTTTAATCAATTTGAAAAAAAATCCATTAAACAACATCCTCAAATACGCATATTGGACATCCCTTTTCTTGACATCGCATAAATTCGGTAATTATCGGTACGGTTCGGAAAGTTCACCTGCGGCTATATTCAGACTCGCCAAGTTACGTCGGTCGTATTGTAATGAGCGATTTAGTGGGCAACTTCATTCTGTTAATTTTATGTCACGGTGCGCGCGCATCGTAAAATTTCACTCTCATCAATTTTTCATAACGCGCCTAAAGAAGTATAACTTAAAAAAAAAAACTATGTCGATCCAACCATACTTAGAGATCAGAGGGGCGAGCACGAAAGACTAATGAAAAACTATTCGTATCGCTATCGAGAAAATATGTATTTGATTCAAATAACCTCTTTAAAGCTCTATCTAGTAGCCGCCTCTACCGTGCGTAAAAAGAACTAATTTTGGCATAACGAATGTTTTATCTTACTTTCGCATCGTATCGCAGTTAAATCGTCACATTCTCGAAACTTATACCTACCCATAATCGAGAAGAGCACGAACATTATTTTGAAACACTATTGTAACGAAAAACGTTTGATTGAAACGATACCTAAATATTTGTGTTACATATTTACACATAAGACGCAGTCTTTTTTTATTTCTCCAACATATGCTGATAGCCTTGAGAGATTATATCAGCGTTATCGGACTAGTAGGTGAGCTCACGGAGCTCAAGCCTGACGAAGTTGCTTGACCCTAGCAAGAGCAGTGCTTCGCAGAATCTACCACCGGTTCGGAAACGCGACCCACTGAGAAGATCCGGCGAGAAACTTAGTGTGATGTGTCTATGGGTTAATTAACTCGCCGAGCCCTTCGTCGCGAACGACGAGTTCGACGAGAACGATGACCGGTGCTTGAGGTACCTAATAGCACCGTTAGTGGATCGGAAGGATCCGATATGACGTGTTTTGGGCGACGTCGACTGTTTACCATTTGGTCCGCAAAATCGGTAATGAGGACGATTTTGCATTATTTTGCAAATTAAGTACCTACTAAAGAAGGCATTACTTATTATACAAGTACAAACATAATTCACTATTAATAATAACAACTACACTTACTTGATGTCTTACGTTATCCACACCTTCAATTATTAAAGTCATTCCGAGAAAATGAGACATTTTACTTTTGAGACAGTCCAAAAAATTTGCCAGTATAATATTCTATTGAAAATAAAACAATTACACATTATTATTTGCTATAATATTTTCCAATATCCCTTATACAGTTTATACAATCAATGGTCCTGTAGGGAGCTATTGTATGGGGCCAGTCCTTAACCATGAGAAGGACAAAGTTGTGGCGGCCGCAGCTCACCCTAACATTTAGGACATTACGAAATTACCGGATCATCTAAATTGAGACGCCCTGACTGTTGGGGAAGCCATCCTGGATCTTTGAGGAGGGGCATTCGTTGCTGATTACCGATCTCGTATATGAAGGCGAAGCCGGCATTCACTTTAATACTGAATGAGCTAGTTTGTCCTACAGCATTAATAAAAAAATCGTGTTCGCTTGAATGGTATAGGAACGCACGTGCTACAAACAATAAATAATAATTTAAAAAAACTAACAAAATACGCTATTATAGAAAATCCAATTAAAAAATAGAAACTTAATTTAATAAATTTGAATTAAAAATAGTGATTAAATTAAAAAATGATTTTATTGTAAAAAAAAGCGTAGTTTTTAGTTGAATTTAAATTTTTTCAAATTTTTATTTTTTTTATTTTTTTTAATATATTTTTTTTTCTTTTATTTGCTTAGATGTGTGGACGAGCTCACAGCCCACCTGATGTTAAGTGGTTACTGGAGCCCATAGACATCTACAACGTAAATGCGCCACCCACCTCGAGATATAAGTTCTAAGGTCTCAGTATAGTTACAACGGCTACCCCCCACCCTTCGAACCGAAACGCATGACTGCTTCACGGCGGAAATAGGCGACCCGTGCGGACTCCCAAGAGGTCCTACCACCAGTGATTACGCAAGTTATAATTTTGCGGGTTTGATTTTTATTACACGATGTTATTCCTTGACCGTGGAAGTCAATCGTGAACATTTGTTGATTGTTGTTGTTTTCATCGGTCCTTAATAAGTATACCAAATTTCGAGTTAATCCGACGTTTTGAAGGGGGTCAAAATCATGTTCAAAGATTCCGTTACAAACATACATACGTCTGAAGCTAATAAAAGCGTATTAAAAAACTTTTCACGAAGCATTAAGTATTAGTAATTCTGTTAACGGCTCAGCGCAGAATTAAGACAAACTTATTAAATCGCTTTTAATTCGATATGTCTACTGTTTATTATTTACCACTAAGAGATTAGTATAAAACACAAGATATACTTCTCTCGGTCTTTGTACTGGAGTCACAATAGGAAAGTCTTTAAGAATACATATTTTCGGGTAGGTCAATGGTTCCCCTCGCCAAAAACGTACTTTGTAATATGGGCATTCATCGTTTGGTAGCCTATAACCATGCTGGTAACAAATAGTTACACAAATTAACTAAAATTTACAAGTTCTAATTTGATATAAAATGTTATATTCTCATGATGAAAACATGTTGCAAAAGTTGTTACGTGTAGAAGAGGCAGACGAGTGTAAGAACGCAACGCGAAAAATCACCTTTCGGGAATCGAAGCGGTAAAAAGCGATCCGAGGTGATAAAATAAAAAAACATTCATAAACTCTATCATTGAGAACTTTAATGTTGTGTATAGTGAAGTTATTAGTGCGTGAGTGTGAAACAATGGCTTGCGTACGTGTGTGTGAGAACGCTTGTGTGTGTTTGTGTGTGTGCACAATTCTGAAGGTGAGAACAATTAATGCGGTTCTTTTCCAGTCACCGTCCTCGCCGAACCCGTCGATTGCGACGAGGGGCTCGACGAGTAACGACACAGCCCACTGAGTTTCCCACTGGATCTTCTCAGTGGGTCGCGTTTCCGATCCGGTGATGGATTCTGCGAATCACTGCTCTTGCTAGGGCCAATGTTAGCAACACTACCGATTAGAGCGCCATGAGCTCACCTACACTTCAAGGAGAAGCTGAAATAGTTTCTCAAGGCTATCAGCGTAGATAGGAAAAAAAAGCTGTTATTGATAGAAATCTTATTCAGAACTCAGCTCGTAAAAATACTAGACCGATGTTCGTTTATTCTTGAGATGACTGTAATAATTTTAGTATTTATATAATTTTGTTATGTTGCAACGGATTTATTGCCGTAATAAAACATGCGACATAGTGCTACTTACAATATTTTTCCAATGCCGACGCAGATCCTTGTAGCATTTAAAATTATTCGATTCAGATAAACTATTACAGAAGTCATCGATGCAAGCTTTATTCAAACTGTTAAGAATGATAATAATATTTTGTTTGCATAAAATGAAATGCCTATGTAAAAAAAATTATATAGGTACCTATTGAAAAAATAAATACCTTGGTAAAACTCTTATTGTTTCACCAACTAAAAACTCTTCCTTCGATCTAATTAAATGTATCTTTACTGGTTTCAGTTCTATAGCAGTAACGAGCTCTGAAATATTTTTTGCACTTAGAAAAACTTATCTATAGGTATTAGGTTGTCCCACAAAGGGTTTATGATATACTAAGCTGAAAAGTAGTGTAGTAGATAGTGTAATTAAGTAGAAATTAAGTAATGAAGTAGAAAATATAAGTGTAATTAACAGAATAATTGATTCGAGGAAAAAAGTTCTCAAATGAAATATACTTTCGGAATCAAGAGTACTTGAGCACAACGAATCAATTATTCTTCTGTCAACCTTTGTTTATACTTTATTTTCATTGCTTAGATGGGTGGACGAGCTCACTGTACTTCTAGTGTTAAATGGATCCCATATATCCAAGAAATCGGATCCCATAGACATCAACAACGTAAATGCTGCCACTCATTTTGAGACATGAATTGTAAGTTTTCAGTTTTTACAATACAACGGCCACCCCACCCTTCAAACCGTAATGCATTACTCCTTCACGGCAGAAATAGGCAGGGCGGTGGTACCCACCCGCGTGGACTCACAAGACGTGCTAGTACCAGTCAGTACTGCCAGGAAGTACTCCGTTTTTTTTTTCCTACCTAAGCTGGTAGCCTGGAGCGGCTATTCCACTGTAACCGTAACTAGTAGGTGAGCTCACGGGGCTCAAACCTGACGACGATGCTAACACGAACCCTAGCAAGAGTCGCGCTTCGCAGAATCTACCACCGGATCCGGTGGTAGATTCTGCGAAGTAGATTCTCCGGTGGTAGATTCTGGTAGATTCTGCGATACTGAGAAGATCCGGCGAGAAACTCAGTGGGCTGTGTCTGAGAGTTAATTTACTCGTCGAGCCCTTCGTCGCAAGCGACGGGTTCGACGAGAACGGTGACCGGTGCTTGAAGTACCTAGAAGCACCGTTAGTGGATCGGGAGGATCCGAGATGACGTGTTTTGGGCGACGTCGACTTTTCATTTTGTTCGCAGGATCGGGAATGAGTACTCCCTACAGGTCTGATAGTTTAAATACTAAATCTAAAGTTACATATTTTATTGAAATTGCAAATGTCTCACCACTACTTCGAATGGAATATTTGATGCCGTCTTCTGACTTTGTACTTGTCAAAAATTCTCTATTATTTATCATAAAATTATATCCAAGAACATTCCAAACTGGAGCCAGTTTGGCGGTCATTGTATAATGAAAACACAGTTCAAATAATTCTGGCGTGGCATTTTTTATTGGACCTTGCTAAAATCACAATTATTTTTGATATTGTATATTTTATGAGATATGGAAATGAAAATATCATTAATTATAAATATTAAAAAGTATGCTTTTTGTACATTATAAAGACCTTACTGAAACCCCGCTAATTAAACGAGTGCGTGCGCTAGGCCTCGCTTCGCAAACTATGGAAAGCATCTGTAAAGGCTTTAATAAGCAAGAATTCCACATGACCACGACTGTTCTGCCAAGAGCAACCGACTATGATGATGATACGCAAAAGTAAATACCGTTTAAAATATCATTTGTGAAAACATTATTGAAACTGACGTAAAGTGATGGACTATTAGGACGCCTTAGGTATCGAACTGCTCATCAGTAGCGGCGGCGTGCGGCGAGGTACAAACACCATAATGCAGCGACCGGTAGTGTAGTGTGTTACTACCGTAGAAAGGAACAAAGAAGCCCAGTCCTTCCAAACTAAACTATATAGGCGAGTTCGCCTACACGTTCGGTGAAGCTAGCACAACCCCTCGAGGTAACTTAAAATAGGTATGATAAAAAAGCATTCGTCTTCACCTCTGAGTACTTAGTGCGAGTTTTTTAACGTTCTCGATATCGTAAAAGTTAACTCAAATTTGTATGCAATTGGAACAGCGCCCCTGGCGGAAACGTAGGCAAATGTTCCAACTCTATACAAATTTGAGTTAACTTTTACGCTATCGAGAACGTTAAAAAACTCGCACTAAGCAAGTAAGCACACCGTTCTGCCGTACCGGTGCTACATTCACCAACGCCGCTACCCAACCAGAAACCAATTTAAATAAATAAATAAAGATTTACTAACAATCACGCCACGTTAACTGGTCCGGTGATAAGTTCGTAAAGAACTTGTGTTACAGGTACCAGATAACGGAAATAAATGTAAGATTTTTATTATACATATACATATATTTGATATACATCCATAACCCTGGAAAAGACATTTATATTTATCATACAACTATCTTCCCTTGGCGGGATTCGAACCCGCGACCCCCTTGTGTAGTGACCATGTCACTTACCACTACACCAGACGGCCCTTAAATAATTGTCAAATGGATGATGTTAACTCAGAACAACGGCTGCCCGTTTATCACTCCCATTTTCACGTCTGTGAGAAAACACTGAGCCATAATGGTGTGAGTGTTGGTTTGACTCAGCAGCCGTAAATTTTAAAATAATGTAACGTACATTATTTCAATTTTGGATAGCTTAATTTTTCGAAGAATAATTAAGAGATATCTTAACTTAGTTTTTATTGCTAATGTTAAAATCTTGGTCTAATTGTGTTAGTACATTCATTACACCTACAGTTAAAATAATAATTACTTACTTGAATAAGTGAAAATCGTAAAAACATTGAGTTTAGCATATCATAGTCATCACCAACTTTATTAAATATTACATGAATTTGTTTGACATCAGTTTTGTCGGGACAAGCCAATATGGACGAATTGGAAAAAATTAACATTCTGTTTGATAAAAAAAACTTAATTATTTTGTGAATAAATCAAAAGTATTTAATATGGTTTAGGTAATCTCACCTGCATTTTAATATTTTCCAATGGTATGATGATGGGGCTGATCTGTCTCGTTTATCGTTTAAGTTTGCAACTGCATTAATATAACCAATATTAAAAAAATTAGGGTTTTTCAATGAATATTTGTAATTATGGTCCATTATTTCGTAAATGTATTTTCTGTCCTTTACGTGCGTATTTCTGTAGGTGATAAAAAATAAATTCTAAATTTGAAACTTGGCGCCAAAATAATTTAATAGTAGTAGTTTTATTTTTCTAACCGGAAAGGCAAAGAGGTCATACCATACAGCCTAATCCTTTATATTTATATTCATATGAATGTGCACTTGTGCACTTTCACAGATACTAAACAGTTAATAAACCAGCGTTATTATGCATTTAAACCTGAAGAAACACTAAATAGACAAAATTAAACAAATCACACAACTGCACTCCTCCCGTTCCCGCCAAAAAGTCCAAAAATAATTAAATCTTCCTTTTCTATTTGATTCGTCTATTTGATAAGCAAGGAAAACATAATATACTGAGCCAAAACTGTTGTGTGAAAATTTAAATGAAATGAAAATTAAAATAAAATTGGAGTGGATGAGGCAACACTGTATGTGTTGGGTAAGTACCCTTTCTCTTCCCGTGGGTGTAATAAAAGCCTATTAAGATATCATCAAATAGCTTATTTTGTTATTGCAATAAAGGTGAACTTTAGCAACTTTTGTATTAAATTTGCAATAGTTTATGAACCGTAATAAATTCTCGTAAGATTGCATTTTTTGTCGTATTAATTGTTTGAAATTTGTTGAAAGAATCAATTTTTTTTATTGCTTAGAGGAGTGTACGAGCTCACGGCCCACCTGATGTTAAGTGGTTACTGGAGCACTTTTTTTATTGCTTAGATGGGTGGACGAGCTTACGGCCCACCTGATGTTAAGTAGTTACCGGAGCCCATAGACATCTACAACATAAATGCCGCCACCCACCTTGAGACATGAGTTGTAAGATCTCATTTTTAACAGTACAACGGCTGCCCCGCCCTGCAAAACGGAAACGCATTACATTACATTACATAATGGCATATAATGTATACCTTTTGATCGGTGGGGGAAGCGGGCATAGATTTTCAAACTGTTGAATGGACATAGTCGAGAGCGTCAGATATTGATAACATATGTATTTTAACGGTAGGCAGCGGCTTGGCTCTGCCCCTGGCATTGCTGAAGTCCATGGGCGACGGTAACCACTCACCATCAGGTGGGCCGTATGCTCGTCTGCCTACAAGGGCAATAAAAAAAAAAAAAAACATAAATGTCCTACGTATTTTTAAGGTGAATGAAGTTAGCCCCTCAAAAAAAATTTTTTTTCCTATTTTATACTTATTTTCTATTAATTCGTTTGTTCATCATTTGTTCATGATTGTTCACTGTTAATAATTGTTTGTTCTGCATTTATTTATTTAAAAAAAATATTTAAAAATATACCTACAAGTTAGCCCCTCTAATGCAATTTTTAATATTTTTTCATCCTTAATGACTCGTAAATATTCATTTTCGATTGTTCTTATATAAAACACGTTTGTTCTCTTTCAAAATTACTCGTTTTTTGTTTAATTTACTATTTTTATTAGTTGAATAAATGTATGCAAAATATGTGTACTGCGCATGCGTCAACTATAATGCCTAAACTTTCTACGCGGTTTTAATCGTGAAAAAAAAAACAAATATAAATCCTGAAGGAGCAATTAATTGGTATACAGTTTAATTAAAAAAATTAAAAAATAAATAAATGAAATAATGTGCATTGGCGTTAAGTTAGACCAAATACATTTTTTCCATCCTCCTACTTATCGTTATGAAGGTATAAAAAAGATAGGGAGTTCACATAGGTAATATAAACAAATAAGTAAATATGTTCATTATTTATCTTTCAAGAGATAATATAGGTATACATTATAATAACTTTTTTACACAGTCGAAATTATATTCCTAACATTAGTAAAATAACATTTTAATACGATAGGTAAGAGGATGGAAAAAATGTATTTGGTCTAACTTAACGCCAATGCACATTATTTCATTTATTTATTTTTTAATTTTTTTAATTAAACTGTATACCAATTAATTGCTCCTTCAGGATTTATATTTGTTTTTTTTTTCACGATTAAAACCGCGTAGAAAGTTTAGGCATTATAGTTGACGCATGCGCAGTACACATATTTTGCATACATTTATTCAACTAATAAAAATAGTAAATTAAACAAAAAACGAGTAATTTCGAAAGAGAACAAACGTGTTTTATATAAGAACAATCGAAAATGAATATTTACGAGTCATTAAGGATGAAAAAATATTAAAAATTGCATTAGAGGGGCTAACTTGTAGGTATATTTTTAAATATTTTTTTAAAATAAATAAATGCAGAACAAACAATTATTAACAGTGAACAATCATGAACAAATGATGAACAAACGAATTAATAGAAAATAAGTATTAAATAGGAAAAAACATTTTTTTTGAGGGGCTAACTTCATTCACCTGTATTTTTAATAATGATCGTTTGCATGATGGGGGTTGGTAAGGGTTTAAAATGAAAAAAATAATGTAATCGAGCGCGTCTGATTTTCTTAGGGGGTCTTAAGTGAACCTTAAATAAAGCTCTCATGCAATAAATAATCTGACATTTCGATGTGACGCAAACTCACGGCTATTATTTTATTATGAAAAAAATATTCTCCATTTTGAAATACTCAAGCGCGTCAGATTACGATATATATGGTTCATCTTTATTAATTAAAATTAATCATCTTAATTTCATTTCACTCTATATTATCATTTTTCATAAAAGGAATATAAATTAAAATGAGACGACCTAAAAGTCTTAATTACCAGGTCATAAAATCCCTTAAAAAAATAAGTTTATTATGGTGGAGGTGACGAACTCGAAAAGTTTAAAATTTTGTTTGTTTACTTCGAAAGTGATTAATGTTTTGTAGAATTATTCTGTAATAATTTCTTGTCTAATCAAGTTTTAATTTTTTTTATTATACAATCTAGTCATATTTTATAATATTTCACCCACGCAATACTGATTTAAAATGAAATACCTATAAATCCTCATATTAAGTTAATTCACTCCTGGATTCTATTATTTTCAATATCTTAGAAATTAAATAACGTATTTCCACTGTTACTAGCATATTGCCTAAAATAATCCTCAAATGAGTAGAAAGTAAAAAAGTAAATTGCTTCTGCTATTTATGCATAAATATTTAAATTAAAATGATTGGACGGCTTATGATTTCTTCGTTTCTCGTACGGCCTCATTCTTATAATAGTTTTTGGAATGTTTTGTGGTTAAATGTCAATAATGTGTGCAAAAACAAAATTATCTATAACCAGATTTTTGTACCTGTACAAACTCTAAAATCGAATACAAAAGATGGTAAGTATAATAACCATTAACAGATTAGGACCTTTAGTTTTATTACTGAATAAATTCAATTGTTTGCTCTCTCTTTAGAGATAAATTGCTACAATGAACCAAAAGCAAAAATAGTTTTACTATTAAACTTGAAATCTCCAGAGGATGCTGTGCCATTCTACAAGCTACCAATGAAAACATTGCTTCACATATACAAGATCACTATGAATGATGTTGAAAATGGTTTCTGTGAAAACCGGCTTTATTATTTGGCATCTCGATTAAAGGTTTGTACAGGCTGTACAGTTATTTAATAAAAATCTCAATCTCTGCACTATTGATTGAGTTACCATATATTTTTATTGGACTATAAAATACTTTAAATTAGATAGAGTAAATTTAAGACATAAATAAAATTGGAACTTGATGCATTTTGTTACAGTGTTCGCCAACTGCCTTATGTGAAAAATTAACTAAAAGAACCTTTGTTTACTCCTTATCATTTGATTGGTTGAAAAATGCCTTAGATATTTTGTTAGGTTAGTACATCAATGTTTTATCTGTACAAAAATTTAAAATCATGTCGAGAGGTGAAAGGATATTTGGTTTATGCAACATTTTGTTTAATAGGCGAAATTTTTCTTTGTAATTAAAGGTCTATTTTATTTGGTATTAGCATCAATAGTTCGATGTTTTTAATATAACTTCAATTAAACTTACTCTATTGAAATAGCTGAATAATTTTTTGTTAGGATATTTTTTCCAAATTTTAAACTTCAAATGACTCTCCTGTTATGTTGCAAACATGTCGCTTAAACCAAATAGTCTTTCTCCCCTCTATGGCATTTTAAATCCTTTTACATAAATTGTTATTGTTTATCCAACTATCTTGAAGTAGAGAGTCATAGTAAAAATAATACTAAAATATGTGAAACAAAAATTAATGTGAATGTCACTGTTCTTTTATGCTTAGTTTTGAATTTTTTTTAAGTAGTAATGAATGATTAATTTTTTCGAAATTTTAGAAATGGGTGTGTCTGAAGACAGAATAATTCGGGATTTATGGATATTAAAATATCATCATGAAACAATACGCCTAAGACTTCAACAAGTCAAAGATAAGGGTATTGACAACTTATATCCTTGGATGGTTAGATGCCCTGAGGAGGTACTAAATAGGTGGGTTAACAGAAAATACTAATATACTAAAAAACCAGACCAATGCATGTAGGACAGTGCACAAACGCATGGTGGTTCATTCAGTCTAATCTCTAATAATAACAAACTGTTACTAATTTTGCTATGCTAAGTAATAATAATAATTACAATATATAGGTTTGATTTTATCACAAATTAACTATACTTTAATACTATAATATTAACTACTTAACTGTAGAAATAAAAATATATGCTGACCTGACACTTATTATGGATGCCTATCTGCAAGCATGTTTTAAGTCCTAAAATTAAGAATACTGACCAAATACCCATACAAATTAGGAGACAAATTACTGCAATAGTACCTGTAGAGCAATGTATATTCCCAAAACCCACTCAATTTAAAACTTCGTATGTTTCAAGGCGGTAGCTGTATGTATGCTATGTTGTCTATGGTATTTTTATTACACACTAAATAATCAAAATTTTATTTATATTGTGTTTTTACTTCTCAACAATTAATTTTTTAAGTAAATTTAAGATTATTTTATTCTCTTTAATTTCAGGTCAATTAGATTAAGCCAAGAAACTAAAAATATTCTAGGAGAAACAAAGTCGACACAGATTTATTTAGCTAATCGTCTGAATACATCACTTAATTCTGTGGAAGAGCTGTACTCAAAAACACCTGCATTAAAAACAATCAGAGTGACCAAAGTAATTATGATAGATTAATTAATTATAGTGACTTTATATTTTTTTACATAGATGAATATAACATCCAAGTAATACTTGATTTGATTTTATAATAAATGTTTTCAGGCAAAAAAGTTCCTAGATTTTCTTATTAATGAAGGATTTACTGTTGAAGACATCGCTAATAAATCAAGAGTGTTATCAGCTTCTCAAAAAACTGTACAGCAAAGATTGGAAATGTTACGTGATTTGGGTGTCAATGACATAAATTTGAATGTTCTTTGTAGAAGTAGAAGAGATTTTAAAAAGTATTGTGATACCTTACAATTACTTGCTAAAAAGGATAAATAGTTGCTCTATTAATACTTGCATATTAAAGAATAATTAAATAAATTGTGTATAATAGTTTAATTTTAATTATAAAATAGAGAGTGTGATTCGAAGTTACTAATAATAATAAAATATAAAATTTAAATATATATATACATATTCCGCGTTTAGATTGCCATCATGGTTTCAATCTTTGTAATATATTTCTTCTGCGCGTGTGTTTGTCACTAAACTCCTAAACGGCAGGACCGATTTAAATGTTTTTTTTGTATGCGTTTGGGTGGCGCTTTGGATAGTTTAGATTCACAAATCAGCCCGGCAGATGGCGCTGCAGTCAGTATCTAGGTTATTTATCTATATTACAACTAAATGGCTGGATCCTAAATGTCCTTCTTCAAACTAGGCTTGTGGAGAGTATCGGTAGGCAGCGGCTTGGCTCTGCCCCTGGCATTGCTGAAGTCCGTGGGCGACGGTAACCACTCACCATCAGGTGAGCCGTACGCTCGTCTGCCTACAAGGGCAATAAAAAAAATATCGACGTGAATGAATTTTTGCAGGACGTCTGCCGGGGATCCGCTAGTGTTATATAAATTTTTAAATTCATCTTTTCGATAGCGTAAAAGTTCATAAAAAGCTCATATTTGTATGGAATGGGATCGTTTATCTACGTTTGCCGCTAGGGGCGCTGTTCCAACTGCATACAAAATTGGCTTAATTTTAAGCTATCGAGAAAGTTAAAAAATTCGCACTAAGCACACAGCTTTATAGATTCGTTGGTTTGGTTTGAGAATTAATGTCAGTTAAAGGACAATTAGTTTTATACATACAGATGAATGAATAAACAACCTAAGTAAGTATTTCAAAAATCTGTAATAAAACTTATCCTACTAATATTATAAATGTGAAAGTTTTAAAGAATGTATGGATTTATGTTTGTTACTCTTTCACGCAAAAACTACTTATTTGATTCTGATGAAATTTACAATAATATAACTAGCTACCCAACAGAATAACACATAGGCTATAATTTATAAGGAAATAGTGTCATTTACCCAAAATGTAACGATAAGTGTCAAGTAAGTAGGAAAAAAATCTACCATCTGCGAATTATTCTAGCGTAGGGACGCTGCAAAAGCTGTTATAATTTATGTATTATAGAAATGATTATCTTAAATATTTCTACAAATAGCCCGCGACAGCATGTAATATATCTCTTTTAAGTGTAAATCATTATCGCCAAAATAGTGAACAAAAAATGCAATAAAAATTGATAAATAACTTATAAACGCACATTTGGTAGTCACAAATTGATCCATATATGAAAATAAATACTTTTATCGCATCTGGTAGGTAATTAAAGTATACAAACTTTGTCTTTTGGACAAACATTTGAATAGTTATGACTATAAACAACCGAGTGCTTGATGTCATGAAAGATGAAGATAGAAAATTCAATAAGACCAATAATAAATTACAGTTCCCGAAGCGAAGCGCCGGCGAGTCGCTAGTTTTGAAATATTTTTATAGATTCTTCATGACACTAATGAAAATCTTAAAAATAAATAACTGTAAAAAACTTAAGAATATTATGTAAAATAAAACTTTAAAAAGGTAAACCACCTACACGCAAAATGTATCCATGATGTAGATTCATTTAAATTACAACTTTACAAAATTAGTCCAGGCACCTGTTTAAAATACACCTTTGTTGCAAACTAAGGATATGTCATCCACAACCGCGTATTAAAAATGTTACCCGCCCAAGTGATACCTAATTATGTTATCTATAACGGAACGTAATTTCCGAACGTGCGATACCGCCCCCGCCGCCGCCTTACCGCCCGCTGAGACAGAGCTCTCTGAGCGCGAAAACACACGCCCTCAGCGCGCGCGACGACGACCAGTAAGATATTGCGAGTCTTAGTGTAACTGTACGATTCTCAACTCATTTTGTATTTTGTTAGTTATTGTGTCGCTTTTTTTT